GAAATTTACTTTTTGGATCCATTATAGGATGATTGAATTTTTTAATGTTACTGTTGAGATTATAAAAATCTTAAGGTATGAAAATAAAAGATTTAATAGTCTACGAGGTGATGATTTTGGCTTAGGAGCAAAGTCTGGGTGGGTCCCGTAATGATTATAGTCGGGCAGTTTTTAAAGATCGTGGAAGGAGCGGGCAGCCTTTAAACGGTGTATAGCCATGGCTGACCGCTGACCCAAGCATTTTCGCTTCTTAGAGGTTCGAATAATTATGTAAAAATCTTAATTAATATCAATAAGAAATCGCAACTTTGGAGTAAAAAGAAAAAGTTGAGACAGACAAATTTTATGGGTGAAGTAAACGTTACAAAGCTATGGCCTCAGCTACACGTAAGCTTATGACAAAGCATGACTTCAAATTAATTAAATTTTTAATTAATATAATATTTTCATCGATTGCTTGTGTTTAATTTTATATGAATTATTTGCTTCTTTTTTTGTTAGATAAATTATAAAATTTATGAATAATTTCGTTGCTTCCAAGTGAAATTTTGGTAGCAAAAATTAACTTACAAGTAGTTTTAAATTTCTCTGACCATGACTTGAATAATTAAGTATTTAGTTTATAAATAAAGTTTAGAATTTAATTAATTGAATAATACTAAGTTTAACGAAATTAATTATTTGATCACGTACGCTTAAAATCTGCATGACATGATCATTTAATTAGCTTTGAATCCACACTATGATGTTCATCTAATGTATGGAGCATGATAATGACTACATATACAAGTTGGGGTTTGGCAGATTGGTTTCACATGGGTAGATCTACACACATAAGTGCATGATGAGATATCTCTTTCGCACGGTTTGAGTTTTGAGTTTTAGATATGAAAATTACTTCCATATAAACTATGTAGTAGCCGAATTGAACATGATCAGAATAGACTTTCGGACACCGATAATTATAGAAACCTGATAATAAAGGAAAATGTGGAAGGAATTTGATCTAACTCGTTGATATTTTTTTTGGATTTAAAGAAATTGTGATGATGATAGTGCAAATATGGGTAAATGTCTAATGGAAAGAAATATTGATTGTTAAAATGGTCAAAAAAAGCAGGTAGAGATAACATGTAGAGGGCAACAGCTTCTACCTTTCTTGACGTTACAGCATGTAAGAGATAACATATGGAGCCCAAGAGATGCGTTCACTTTGCTTCCAGACTCCTCAACCGCTGATCATGTCATGGTCCTCCACTATGCTAGGACTCCTCATCATCATCAAAAGTAATAACAAATATACAAATATATATATATATATATATATATATATATTTTTATATATATTCAAATTTCCCATAATTTATTATGTCCTCTCATCACATCGATCTTGTATTATTTTATAATTTATGGAAAACCCTTTTCCTTTTCTTTTCTTTTTGTCTTCTTATGGGCTATATATTTTATATATATTCAAATTTCCCATAATTTATTTGCCTCTCATCACATCGATCTGTATTATTTTTAATTTATGAAAACCCTTTTCTTTTCTTTTCTTTTCTGTCTTCTTATGGGCTCTGTTATTTTTACATTTCCTTTCTTATTCACTTCTCTAATTGGAGAAAATTGTTTGGAGTGCCCCAAAACGACGATGTATATGGTTTTGGGGTAAAATAACATAACCCAACATGTATCCAAGCTTTTATGCCAGCTTGATATTTAACTATGAATTAATTGTTTTTATTAACTACGCCAAACTTCATTATAATATACCTTCTCTTTTTCCCTATATATATATATATTAGTTAAATTAGTTCGGACACTAGCTAACTATATACGCACTTAATTCACAATTAATACTACATCCGTTCCATAATACTTGTCACATCTAAGAAAATAGTTTGTTTCAAAATACTTGTCACATTTGTGATTTTTAAGAGTCATAAATATTTTTTTTTCATGTTTACCCTTTATATATGGTCAATAATTATTACTTCAATTTAATAACTTTTTAAAAAAATTAGTATTAAATTAGGAGTAATATATTCAATTTACTCAATAATTTATTATAACTTATAAAAATTTAATGATTTTCTGAAATGACATGAAATTTCAAACCTGACAAGTATCATGTATAATATTTTTACGAACAATTAATGAGTGTGGGTTTTGCTACGTCTAAGGTTATCATGGGACTCTCAAAGGAATGATTTGTAAAAGAAAATTAATTCATATGATATGATTGGTTATAAATTGAAATGTGGAAAAGGAAGCTAATGGACCTATTTCATTCTTATGATTCAACTTAGAGAGACAAACTGTGTCACGCTATAGCCAAGACATGATCGACTCAGATCATGGATCGTAAGTTATGATAAGAAAATAAGCTTATTGTCCCTGTCTGTTTCTCTTCTTTTTGCCTTTGCTCAGGTTTTGATTTCAAAAGATGGCATGATTAATGAAGATGTAATTCATAGAATTAAAGCATTAAAGATGTTATTTGATTGGTACATGGGATCAACTGGACCAAGGTCGAGGTTAACCCACTCAAAAGAAATAAGAAAGCGTCTGTCCACTGTCTTTAGCCCGAGTTTGTACAATGGACCTTGCAAAATTCAAGTCCATCGTTTTGTTTTGTATTGCGCTCGACTGCGTCTCATTATTGTTATGGAAGCAACATCAAAGCCAAAGAAAATGCAGATAAAGGATTAAAAGGCATGCCCTCCCTATTACATCTAACCTAATTATTTATGTAAATATAATTAACAACAAAAGGCAATAGAAAAGCTAATTACTTTGCTGCAAAAAACAAACCAATCAAAATTTATTTCACAGAGAACAGCTCAACTCTTTTCAGAAGATCAAGAAATAAGCAACTTCAACGTTAGAATGGATGCCGCAATGTAATAAAGCTGGAATACATCAAAAGTACTTACCAGGTGAATGCTAGATTCATATTGCAAATAAAAATTATAAAACTTGAACTTGCCAACAGAATAGCTGTGAGCATGTTCTTTTCTAACAAATCATCTAAAAAAGATTAAAAAAAAATTATCTAATTTTGAAGAAAAAAGAAAAAGAGGATTTATGTGAAAAAGATGCTGAATAAAGCTCTCTTTGTCCAGTTACAATGTGTACTCCAGGAAATGATGTCAGTATGTTAGCAACAAGCAGACCTATATTTGTTAAAGCTCTATTTATAACTTTCCCGCACTATAGATCCTATGAGGCATAATTCTTGACAGATCATAAACTGAACCATAATACTAGTGAAGAAAAAAACAATAATTAAGATTTACTATCAACTTGCGACTTAAGAGATAACTTGAAAGCGTTTAGAGTTTCATCACACAAGACACAAAGCATCACAGAAGCCAATTATTAGCCTCAATCATAAGAATGAAAATGGGAACAAACAACGATGACATTAAAACTTTCCGCAGTGAAGATTTGCTTCCATGCCTTAGACCAAATTAAGGAATAATTAAATCAATGTAACAGTAGACAAGTGATTTACATGGAACATAATATAGTACAAAAAACAATCAGTTCTCTCTGGACATAAATTGGAAAGTGTGTCACAGAAAGTTGAGCAGACAGCTGCTCGCAGAGAACATGGCGGATGTGGATGCAAATAACAATTACACATTTGACAAACACCTTCACTAATAGGATTTGATGTCAGTGTTTACCACTTTCAAACAGGGCAAGAAAGGGGTACAGCATCTATCCTATTATGTTATGACTGATATTTGTAAAGAATGAGGTAGAAAGACATAAAGAAAGATGAAGAAGGAGAGAGGTCAGAAGTAAGAAAAAATATGTGAATCAAAAACTTGAGCTATCTTAGATATTAAAGCTGCTCTAAAAAAATCAGTATATGAGCAGCACTAACAGCCAGTAGCAAAAGTCATGTGATTGATCGTACGCTCATGCTAGTTCTCGACTTGTCGACTTAAACTTTTATTTACACACAGCTGGCAGGAAAAGAACACCAGCAATACTAAGGATAATAAATTACAGATGTTTAGGAGACAAACTAAAGTCATAACTTAAACAGAAGTATTAATACAATAAAAAGAGAGTGATAACCAACCATTTCCTAAATACCAATACTTGTCGATCTTCGAATGAGAATATGATACAACAGGAAAACATTTTGATTGCAATTCAACACTAAATACATTGAGAATCACATAGAAAAAGGCAGACAACTGGAAAAATATAAACTTTACGAAGGAACATAATGATGAAGTTGTGCAACAGTGGCATATAAATGAAAAACATGTCATTTCAAGTTGTTAACTTTCTATCTTTGTCAACAAATTTTCTGTTAACATCAATCTTAACTAATCAGGCAATTGTTATACCTATCACCAACATCAAATGGCAGAACAAAATACCAAAGCTTAAAGCCTCGTAACAAAACTATGTTGCCTTTATTAGTTAGAAGGATCACAATTCATACAAGGCCAGTTTTTTTCTTCTTCCACTTCATGAGTAAAAAGTTACAGTTTTTATAACAAAATTAAAAATATGTAAAAAAACAAAAAAGAAAAGAAAAGAAAGAAAAGAACCTCAAGAAAACTCCTTGCGAAGCTTCTGAATTGCAGAATAGAGTTTCCGCCGAGAACCCACAGCATTTATTCCCATATCCTTAAGATCTTCCAAAGTTAGCAATGGCAGTACCTCATCATCAACTTCGTGCACCTCAAAAACCGGTGCGTATCGGCTCAAACCCAATTCAATCAGCCACGTCCTTACACCCTCACTGGTACTGCACTTTCGGTCCCTGGAATCAGAATCCGGGAGATTATCCATTTCCATTGTATCATTTTCCCTACTTTCCGAAACCCTAACCCGACCCGTACCCGTTTTCCGATGACCGTGCCACATATCGAGAGCGACGTTATCCATAGAATGGACCGGACTTTGTTCCTTTAGTGGACTATCTGAGTCCTGATCGAAATCCCTAAATCCTTCGTCTCCGTCGTCTCTACTATCTCCATCGGCTACCCCTTCTTCGACCTTCGATGTCCAATTCGATCTTACTCTCTTTGTCGTGGCTCTCTTCGCTTTCTTACGATGCCCGAACTCGAGATTTACTTCACCGTTTTGAGTGTTTCCTTCAGGTTCTTGGATTTCAAGGCTATCGTTGCCGTTAACGAGATTGGTTAAAGACCGGGCCTTGACAGATTTAGAGGAGTCTTTAGGCATGCGCCAGGCGTGCTTGGTGCGACGCATGTGCGATTCGTATGCGAGAGTAGCCGGTTGGTCGCCGATCTCACCGAGACGTACGCTGGGCCGGCGTTGCCGTTTCGGGGCCGGAGGTGGCGGACCAGCGTTCTCGGTTTCAGAAGGTATTATAACCGGCGCAATTGCTGTGGCTGATGAGGTGGCTATACTGGTGATTGGGACTTCCGGTGGCTGTAACTCGGCGGCCATCTACGGTGATAGGTGATAGAGGAGTATGCGCGAGTCTACCTGAAGTGTGCGCAGGATAAGGGATCGGATGGGGCAATCTGGTGGTTCTAAAGTGTGACGTGTATGAAGTTTGGACCGTTGGATGAGCCTCAAAGTTTGAGATGTCGGCTTTTTAATGAAAATCTGATGGCGGGGGTTGATACTTGATTCTTGATCGAACGCTCGGTGATGGTATCTAAAGGCCTCAACTTCAAAGCCCAGCAGAACTTGCAACTAACTCGAAGCTCATCCTCAATGATCCATTAAATATATTCTCAAAATCTTATCAAAATTGCCCGTCTAGCTCAGTCGGTAGAGCGCAAGGCTCTTAACCTTGTGGTCGTGGGTTCGAGCCCCACGGTGGGCGTAATTAAATATTTTTTGCATTTTTTTTGTCCGTTTTCATTTTCCCATTATTCAAAAGCAAACTTAATGTTTTTCGTCACAACTCATCAAAATAAATATAGAAAGTTGATTACAGGCATCAAAGTTCATTACACGCATTAAAATAAATACAGAAGCTATTCTACTAGTTGAACGACATTCTGAACAATAATTATCAGCTATGACTTAAAAATCAAGAAACAAAAACCAACAATGGAGCAAAATGTAAAAATTTCTAATCATATGTAATCAAGCATTCGAATATCTAGTTGTTGCCTTTTGATGATGCAACATTAATGCAGTAGTGTTTCGTCAATGGAAGATACGAGCTGGCCGGAGCTCGCTTGGCCTGAGCTCGCTTCTTGAAATTTTGTCGTAAATAACCCATGCTGCAACAAATTGATTTTCCAATTGTTAAAGAGAAAAAAAAAAAAAAAAAACAAATTGATTTTCCAAATTGTTAAAGAGAACAAAAAAAAAAAAAAGACAAGAATGGACAATATTATATGGCATTGTCTAATCATCAACATAGAATTTTGTATGAGTGATTTATGTTTAGGCCCCGGCAATAAATTACGAGAATAATAACACAGCAGAAAAATAAAATGACACCAGATATTTACGTGGTTCACCCTTAAACTGTTTAGGGCTACGTCCACAGGGCTACGTCCACGGGACCAACTCCGAATAATTCTTCCACTATTAAAAATAGTAGGCTTACAAAGAGAGTAATACAAAAATAGTGGCACTCACACGTGTTTCCCAAAAATACCCCAATAATCTTCACTATTTTTCTAAACCCTTAGTTTTAAGAACTCTTCTTAAAACTGAAACTCTCTAAATATGAGATTTTACTCCCTGTTGGTGTGTCTCAAACGAAGCAAATCCTCTCCTATTTATGAGAGAGGTAATGTGAGAGCTGTGTGTGAGTTACTCCCGACTCTCCATTTATGTCATGGTTGGTTGCCAACCTTTGAATAGTTGGCTGCCAACTTTTTGACTTTTTCTTTTTTTTTTTTTTTTAATACGTAGTGGTTTTGATTACTACCATTATTTATTTTCAACAAAGTGTTGGGTCCCACTGAGTGGGGCACCGCACAACAAATTTTATGGTGAATTATGCAAATATCATTCTCAATTAGATATTGTTTATAGTTGAATTACTCAAAAAAATTCTTGGCGTTAAATACCTGATGGGGTTGGTAATAGTATGTTGTTTTTTTTTTCTTTTCAACTACGTGTGGTTGATTACCTACCATTATTTATTTTCAACAAAGTGTGGGTCCCACTGAGTGGGCACCGCACAACAATTTATGGCTGAATATGCAATATCATTCTCATTTAGATATTGTTTTATAGTTGAATACTCAAAAATTCTTGGCGTTAATACCTGATGGGTTGGTAATAGTATGTTGTTCATGGCGCAGTTCATTTCAAAGTTGTTGCTGCCATTTACAGAAGCAAGTTTTGCTGCAAGGAACTGAACATTTGAAACGTACATAAGTATTTATATATATTTCATATATATTAATTAAAGAGTGCTCAATTAAGAATTTTATAAATTGTATTACCTCTACTTGATTCTGTAGGGTTAGAACATAGCTATTTATTAGATCAGTATATGCGCCTTGCCAGTTATCTGTTCATTAGTTAGCATCATGAACATGTTCATTAAAATCTCTCACTAAAATTAGTTTCAACACACACACACAAACACACGTATGTATAATTAATTACCTTGTCGCATCCAGGAACCAAACATTGCAACAACTTCATCCTCATACTGATTTTCTTTCTTCTTACCTATACATATGCAGATTCCTACCTTTTCAATTTGAAAAGAGAAATAGACATTGTTAATAGCCAGTGTTAATTAAATTAATTACCCTCTCTGCAAGGCTATGGGGTCTGTTGCTTCTCCTCTTCTTGCTCTCACATGAACATAACTTGTCGCTGGCTGTTGAGGAGTAACTTTCTTCTCTTTTCTTGCGCGAGGCTTAAGTTTATTTTTCCTCCCTGATTTTCTCAACCCAGAGCATTTCTTTGGCTCGAATGGTATGGTTGGAGAAACTTGATCCAAAGTTAAATTTCGAGTCGCAGTCACGGGATTGGATTGAGATTGATTTATATCATAATCAATTGAAGGGACTTGTAGGTTCTGATTTTCAAAAGGGCTGGTTATTTCTTGAAAAGGAATGCCTTGGAAATAATACTCAGGTGATGTTAAGACGTTCTCTTTCTCTAGTGAAGCAATGGAGGTATCATTGCTGAATATCTGTATCTCGAGAAACAAGTTAATAGCATGATCAGGATGAAGAAATGGTGACATTTTGATTTCTAAAAGCTGGAAAGGGTTTTTAATAGAGAGAGTATTGCTATGAAACAATTCACAAGTTGTATATATATACACACACACACAAAACAAAAGCAATGTAAGGACGAGGACTAAATGTTATCCAAGGCGTATATTATTGTCCTGCTTATAAAACTGAAGAAGGAGACTACATACACTAAGGTTGATGTCATATACTCATATAGTATAAAAGAAAAACAGAAAAGGTTAAAGAAGCTTCCATGTATGTTGACCTTGACCTATATACTCCCTCATTTCCAAAATATTTTATCCTGTTGACTTTTGCGCAAAGTTTAAAAAACACATTAATTATAATGTCACGTCAATTATATTTTCCTCTTAAAAAAAATTATTTTTAGAATTTAAAACCATTTATAATGAGGGATATAAAAGAAAAGTAAATATCTATGAAGTCGAGTGGACAAATATTTCAGAACATCCAAAAATAGAAATACGAATAAACATTTTGGAATGGAGGGAGTATAAGGTAAGCATATTATTTGCATAATCAATTAAAGGAATCCCAGCAACAAATTAAGAATTTTAGGAGGAAAAAAGAAAAAAAAAGTGAATTGTGAGGCAAAAAACTATTTTCTCTTAACATTAAAAAAAAAACGATAAAAGGGAACGAGAATCAAGGACAATGAATATTATTTGTCCCTAAAAGTCATAACCCTTTAGAATTAGGCCTTTTTATAATAATAAGACACAGATGGGACAATTTGAGTTTATTACGATATTTTATTCATATTTTAATTAGAAATTAAGATAATAGTTGCGTCATTAATAAAATACAATTTACGTCTCTGATACTAATGACAAGTATTGCCGTTAATTTTGGGAACAACTGATCTCCCATATACGAGATGAGATAACTTTTGTCTCCTATACTAATAAAAAGTAGTCATAAATTTTGCAGACGATTGGCGTTCTATGTAGGGATACAACTTGCATTTCATATATGAAGGACAATTATTGTAGTCAATTTTGAGGATAATAGATATCATATATGTAGAGAATACAACTTACATCTTGTATATTAAGAATAATTATTGTCATTAATTTTGGAGAGGACTAACGTACCATATTGAATGTGATAACTTTTGCCTCTTATACTCATAACAAGTAAGTCATATATTAATACAAGGGAAACTAATAATCAAAGGTGCGGTGGAATGATTCGGAGAGTTTGAAAAACTCTTGGGTAAAGCGTACTCATTAGCGGAAAATCTTAGAATAGATGACTTATTGAGATGTTGCCCATAATAGGATAAAATTGACTTTCCTCTACGTGGTTAAAGTCAGGACGTGATATAAGCAATTATTGTTAATAAAGTTGGAAACGAGTGATGTTCCATATAGAGAGGATATATTAAAAATCGTCTCTTATAAAATATGGTACTCTCGTTAAGGAGACATTCACAAGGGACGATGCTAATTGTTCCAAAAAGTATTGAAGACATTTTTTTTTTTAATTAAGAAGACAACTTTGAGTCCTGTAACATACTTTTTTTTTTTTAAAGTGTAATTAGAGTTTTAAGTTCCAAATGAGCATGAAATCCCTGAAACGAGCATTTCGTTTCCTTCACGAGCAGTGTGAATTAATCGAATTTCGGACACCATATAGTTTAAAACATTACATATATTGGGTTCTGATTCGTTGGATTTAGCAACTGGCCGCGACTCACAAGCCATGAGTGCCCCAATGCGACAAACAAATTAAGTCCCCCTTTCCAAACTTTGAATCGTTTTAAGTTCAAAAGCTATGTTTTAGTCCGCGGTTGTCCAGTAACCAGACAACTTTAACAACAGATACATGGAATCAAAATTCATAATATATATAACAACATTAGATGTGATTCACATGATACTACTCTTTTCTGTTTTGAATATAATGTTGGATTCTAGCTCATCACAAACAAATTATTCAAACTCTAGTTAGCTATAGAGAAACATGTGTGTCTGTAATTGCTAGTATGACCAACAACATGACAGAGACACAGGAAACATGTCTGCAATTCTGTTGGTTACCCTTTTTTTTTTCTTTTAAATTTCTTCTTTGCAAAATTTAGTTCACTAAGTTTGCAAGGAAAAGCCAAATGTCAAATCGCTGAAGAAATTTCTTGCTTACACCCGATACATGGACGACTTTAATTGGAGACAGTTTTTCGCGGATGTTAATTTGTATGTGGCTACAAAGATTTCATCTTTCTTTATCTTCTGAAGAGGAAAATAAAAGATTGTCATCATCCTATGATTCAAAAGTATTGACAGTCCACTGAGTTCATGCAAAAAACATGTCAAAATTTTAAACCAGGTAGACCCAAACTACAGGCTATGGATATTGGAATGTATTTCAGTTAGCTTTCTGTCAAAATGGATTAAAGCCCAGTGGGCCGAATGATTTAAGCAACCCAACTGGGAGCGTCAACTTTGCTCGAGGCCTGTTCAAATTTTAGTTTATAATTTGTATTTTCGTAATAATTATTTCTATATTTATTTCAATTATATTAAACTATTTATTGTTATAACTCAATTGATCTCTTTTTTTCATGAAAGATGAAATTTCAAGATTTAATTCTTCGTCTACCGTAATTTTCTTTAATTTTATTTTATACAAATTATTAAAGTGAAAATTCTAATTATAATATTGTAAATAAGATTGGTGCTTGGATAATCTTGAAAGAGAAGTGTGAGAGTTAGGAGAGTAAAATTAGAAACGAGGAAGAAGATTATAAATTCAAAATAGATTTGTAATTATCACAAAATTATTATATTTTCAGAGAATTTTGAAAAAATCAAAAAGAAAATGAAAACTCTTTACAAAATTGAAATTTTAAAAAATTATACTCTCTTAGAAAATAAATATTGGAAAATTTTTGGTAATTTCCTTATATATATATATATATTTTTTTTCTTAATTTTTATTTTCTGTATTATTTTCTTCTAAGTTACATTGGTTAGTGGAGAGTATAGACATGTGTCGTGTGTTTTTGAACAACAATATGTTGTTAATTGTAATTTGCACAAATAAACTTAGGTCTCTTGTTTTATAACGCATTTGATTGATATGTTTTGTCAGAATAATTTGCAAAAAAACATAAATTTATTTTTAAAAAATAAAATTATTTATGGTATAAAAACCCTTGAAAACGAGGGTATTTTGCAAATTTCGAATGATAACCCGTCACTGATTACCTGCTTCGAGTCTTCACGGACCACTTGTAAATTAAATTCCTGTTCTCAGTGGCGTCATACAAAAGAAATAGAGAACACCATTTTGCTTTACCGGATCGATGACGTGTACGGCCCAGATTCAAACTTCATGCGTATACTAGATTCGCATTACATCGCTTCTCTTTATAACTCCTATCCTTGGTCGATCTTCCAATTTTTTTTCTTCCACTAAATCAAGCTAATTTTTTCTCGAAAGAAAAATCCTTCGATCGCGATTAAATAAAGTACCGGGTCACGATCTGAATCTCTGCATCTCTGTAACGCGGATCGGAGATCAAAATTGAAAATTAGAATACAATTTTATTATAATTTATCGGGATTAATATCAGATCTCAGAGAAAAGAAAAGAAAGGGGAAGAAAACCCTAACTTAATCTGGGCCAGTCAGTGTAGTTTGTTATGTTTGTTTTGTAACCTACTGAGGATCTTTTGGAAGTAAAAGTTTTCAATTTTTTCATTATTTTGTTTCTTATATTTGTTATATTATATATATATGCTTATTGTGGGTGGTGGATCTAATTATTTTGAGAGGACTAATAACGTTGAAGAAGAAACCCTAGCTATGGGTAAAGAAGATGAGAATTTAAAGGCGGAAGATGTGGAGGAAGGTGAAATTTCGGATGCGGCGTCAGTGGAAGAGATCAGTGAGGAAGATTTTAATAAACAGGAAGTTAAGGTTGTAAAAGAGTCCAAACCAAAAGAAAATGATGGTTCTAGTGGTAGGTTTTGGACGATGAAAGATCTGTATAAGTATCAGATGGGGGGAGGATACGTCTCCGGTTTGTATAATCTTGCTTGGGCACAAGCTGTACAGAATAAACCTCTAAATGACCTGTTTGTGGAGGTTGAACCTGATGAGAATTCCAAGCGATCCTCACCATCGTCTTCTGTAGCGTCTGTGAATAGCAATAGTAACAGCAATAAAGAAGAGGAGAAGAAAAAAGTGGAAAAAGTAGTGATTGATGATAGTGGCGATGAGATGGATGTTAAGATTGTGGATTTTGAGAAGGAGGAAGGGGAATTGGAGGAAGGTGAGATTGATTTGGATTCAGACCCAGCTGAGAAAGCTATTGATGAAGGCAAAGAAAGGTTTTTGAATAATGATGAAATGGATATTGATGTCTCAGAGACCAAGTCCAAAGACAAAGACTTGGAGAAGAAAGTGAAATTCATCCGTGAAGCTCTTGAGGCTTTAACTGTGACTGAGTCTAACAAGTAAGATATTCTAATAATTATGTGACATTTTGAGAGTGGCTCAAAGGATTGCCCATGTTGAATATCTTGGTGAAGTTTTGATAATTTCATTTTTGTTTGCTTAATCTGTTCTAGATCATTTGAGACAGCTTGTTCAATGCTGGGCAATACGTTGAAGAGCTTGCGGGAAGTGATTGGGAAAAATAATATTCCCACAAAAGACAATCTTTTGCAATTGTCCTCTAATGCTGTTCAATCTGTTAATTCGGTGAGGCGCCCTTCAGTTCTTCAAGTTCTTGTACGCTTAAAGATTTTATAGTTTGTGCAAAAGCAACTATTTAATATTCTTGAATTAATTGCGATGCTGGTTGTTGGTCTTTCCAGGTTTTTACCTCCATGAACCATAAATTGAGGGAACAAAATAAAGATAGCTTTTCGAGGTTTCAACTTTTGTAATGCTCATCATTTGCTTTTGTGAAAATTTTCACATTAGAAACCCGTTAACATTTTTTCTTGTGGCATTTTTTGTAGCAGGTTTCTTTCTGTTGTAAATAGCCACGTTCCCTCTCTTTTATCCCCTGAGCTAATCAAGGAGGTATGATTAACTTATCGTCAGCCTTAGATTTTGTTATTGTTTTGTTTATTTTTGTGGTACACTGTCATTGGGACAATTTTGTCACTATGGAAACATAACAATGATGTCTGTTTCCACAGATTGAGGTCATGACTTCCTCTCTAAGTTCAATATCTGGTGAAAAAGAGAAAGAGTCACTGATATTCAGTGACGAGGGGAATAAAAAAGATGATATGTCAGCTAAAAGTTCAGGTCATAGTTTGACTACTGCGAAAAAGCTTTCTTCATTTGCTGGTTCTTTTGCTAGTAATAAACCAAACATGTCATTAGAAGCTCCAAAAATGGGAGTATCTACTTTTAAGAGTAGGGCAGGTTTGCTACCTTTGTTAGACCTCCACAAAGATCACGATGCTGACAGCCTTCCATCGCCTACACGGGAAGCAGCACCTCCTTTACCTGTACGTAGAGTATCAACACCTAAGGTGGCTCTTGACAATGAAGATACTAAAATGCATCCATATGAGACGGATGCACTTAAAGCTGTTTCTAGCTACCAGCAAAAATTTAATCGCAGTTCATTTGCTGTGAATGATAGGCTTCCTAGTCCAACTCCTTCAGAAGAATCTGGTAATGGGGATGGTGATGTAGGTGGGGAAGTTTCCAGTTCATCAGCTGTTGGTCAATTTAGACCTGCCAATCCACCCAATTCAGGGCAATCAATTGTTTCTACTTCTCCTCACCCTGAGAGTTCTAATATGCAGGGGGTTGTACCTGCTAAAAATGCTGGACCAGTGAGTTCTGGTTCTAGTTTAACTGTGAAAGCCTCTGCAAAGAGCAGGGACCCTAGGCTTCGATTTGTTAATTCTGATGCCAATGCTTTGGACCAGAACCATGTCTTGCCTCTGGTGAACAATACACCTAAAGTGGAATATCTTGGAGGACCAATGAACTTGAAAAAGCAGAAGTCTGTTGATGATTCAGTCCTGGATGGCCCTTCATTAAAGAGGCAAAGGAATGTGTTGGAACATTCTGGAGGTGTCGGGAATGTTAAAACCATGATTGCAAGTGGCGGTTGGTTGGAGGACACTGATATGGTCAGACCTCAAACTATGAACAGGAATCAATTGGTAGAGAATTCTGATCCCAGGAGAATGGACAATGGAGTGGCTTGTCCTAGTACTGTTAGTGGTATATCCAGTGTGAGTATTAGTGGAAATGAGCAGAAACCAGTAATAGGAACTGGTGCTATTACTGAAGGTGAACAGATACAAATGACAGGTACTAGTGAGGCCTCCCTGCCTGATTTATTGAAAAATATTGCAGTGAATCCAACAATGTTGCTCAATTTACTCAAAATGGGGCAACAACAGAGATCAGCAATAGATGCTCAGCAGAAGCCTTCTGACCCTGCTAAAACTTCAAAACATCCACTAAATGCAAATGCAATACTGGGATCTGTTCCTGTGGTGAATGTTGTTCCTCCACAGCCCTCCGTAATGCCAAGACCAGCAGGAACACTTCAGGTTCCTCCTCAGGCTGCTGTGGTGAGTCCTTAATCATATTTCTATTAGTGAGCATCTACCTTGGATGGTGATTGTGTTCTATATATCTGTATGCTTAGACTGTTCCTTTGATATTAAAACAAAGGGATTTCTGTAGTTATACTCTGTATTTGTTTGTCCAAAAAGTCCCATCTTTGTTCCATCAAGATTTTCAAAAAACATACTAGTTTTCTTTTCCTCTATACTGCAGTTGGATAATATGAGGTATAAAGTTTTATGATATCAAATAGCTAAAATATTCAGGCTATTCCTTTTTTAAGCATCTGAAAAAATTATATTGCATGCTTATTGTAGGAGGAACTGGGAAAAATTCGCATGAAACCACGGGATCCTCGTCGTGTTTTACATTATCAGACACTTCAAAAGAATGGAAACATGGGCTATGAACAGTTCAAAACTAATCTTACCTCTCCACCAACAGATCAGGGGACCAAGGACAATCAAATTGTGCAAAAACAAGACGGTCAAGCAGAAACTGAGCCAGTGCCTTTGCAATCTCTTGTGGTGCCAGATATTTCGTTGCCATTTACAAAGAGTTTGAAAAATATTGCTGACATTGTGTCTGTTTCCCATGCATCAACAAGTCCAACTGTTGTTTCTCAGAATCTTGCCTCTCAACCTACACGAACTATAGTTTCAAATTCTGAGCAGCCAGCTGGGATTGGTTCTGCACCTTGTGTAGCACCTGTAGGTCCTCGTCCACAGGATGCTTGGGGAGATGTTGAGCATCTCTTTGAAGGGTATAGTGACCAGCAAAAAGCTGCTATACAGAGAGAGAGGGCACGGAGGATAGAAGAACAAAAGAAAATGTTTGCTGCACGCAAGCTCTGCCTTGTGTTGGATCTAGATCATACGCTTCTAAATTCTGCCAAGGCAATTTCTTACTGCTTCATAGAATTTTTTTTCACCTCCTCATTTTTAGGCTAAATATGTGGGGAAAAAGTACTCTTTTTATTGATTTGGTGTTATTCTTGTTTACTGTTTTCAGTTTGTTGAAGTTGATCCTGTGCATGATGAGATCTTACGGAAGAAGGAAGAACAAGATCGTGAAAAACCCTATAGACATTTATTTCGCTTTCCGCATATGGGAATGTGGACAAAGTTGCGCCCTGGGATATGGAATTTCTTGGAAAAGGTAGTTTTAGTCAGTGTGTCTCTTTTGGATAAAATGCTTTTGGCTCTTAAGTTGTATGTGAAGCATGCTGATTCTTTCTGCATTTTAGGCTAGTAAATTGTATGAGCTGCATCTTTATACAATGGGGAACAAGTTGTATGCCACAGAGATGGCAAAAGTGCTAGATCCAACTGGGGTTTTGTTTAATGGACGAGTTATTTCCAGAGGTGACGATACAGATTCCTTTGACAGTGATGAGAGGGTTCCCAAAAGTAAGGATCTCGAGGGGGTCTTGGGTATGGAATCAGCTGTTGTTATTATCGATGATTCTGTAAGGGTCTGGCCTCACAACAAATTGAACCTGATTGTTGTGGAAAGGTAAGCATTAAGATAACCACTTAATTCCTTAGATGTTTTTGTTTTTTGTTTGGTTGTTATCCTTTGTTTCTACATCCATTTACCTTATATTTGTGGCAGGTATATATATTTTCCATGTAGTAGACGCCAGTTTGGGCTTCCAGGTCCTTCTCTCCTTGAGATTGACCATGATGAGAGGCCAGAAGATGGGACTTTAGCATGTTCTTTGGCGGTGAGGCAGATACGCTGTGATTTTTCTTACAATCAATCAAGCTTTCAAGCCCTAAAAAATTTTATCTTTGTATGAAACAGGTTATAGAGAAAATACATCAGCACTTTTTCACCCATCCCTCCTTAGACGATGCAGATGTTAGAAATATCCTTGCATCAGAGCAGAGGAAGATTTTAGCTGGCTGCCGTATAGTATTTAGCAGGGTGTTTCCAGTCGGGGAAGCCAATCCACATCTACATCCACTATGGCAGACAGCTGAACAGTTTGGTGCTGTCTGCACAAACCAGATAGACGAACAGGTCACTCATGTAGTTGCCAATTCGCTTGGAACAGATAAGGTATTGTTACTGTTTTCTCTCCCTGCTTGGCAACCATGTAAACTGGGATTTAGCTGCTTGAAAATATAAGTGTGCATGTGGGCACTTGATCGGAGTGAATTCTTTAGCAACTCTCTTTAAGTTTTAGTTTTAAGTTGGTTTGTTGTATTCATTGTTTTGAACAGGTGAATTGGGCTCTATCCACTGGAAGATTTGTTGTATATCCTGGGTGGTAAGAACCTACTGTATCTGTTTGATTTTGTTCTGATATTTATTTTTTCATGGCTCTCTTTGACCAATGGCTTATGTCTTGATTCCTGACGTTGAACACAGGGTGGAAGCATCTGCTTTGCTTTATCGGAGGGCAAATGAGCAAGATTTTGCAATTAAACCATAACAATGATCATTCTAACCCACTTCTGGTAAAACATAAGACCTGATAAGCATAATCTGAAGTTGGAGATGAGTTGAGTTCTGATGGGTGGCTTGGGGGTAGACCAGAGAGCAGAATCTGGTGACCAGAATTTATACCATTTCAGTCATTCTAAGCACCCTTTATAACTGACGAGTAAACCTGCAATAGAATTGAATCTTTGACATGCCAGTATTTTGAAAATAGGTTGTGGATTTGCAGGGTCCTGAAATCGAAATTTTGAATTCTTGATGGGCTGTGATAGGGAGATGGAAACTGATTGGTGTATAGTGAGGTGTGGCGGCAGTATAAGCAGAAGTTTACCAAAGTTGAAGCGCTGTGGCTAACAATTAAACATGGATGATTGCCAAGTGTAAGTTTGGAAGAACCAAATGTGTGAAATAAACAATGAAAACAGCTGAAAAAAGTGAAGTCAGATTTGATATTGATCTCACAAAAGGTTGTGAGAAAGGAGGTGAAATTGGAAAGTCAAAAAATGGTTGCTGATAACCCACAGTAGTAAAAATGAGTGCGATTTATTGAAGATGAATTTTTTTTTCTTTTAAAGTAAAAAAAAAAAAGCATTGAAGTAATCAAGGTGGAACATTTTCAATTGGCGGTTATTGTCAATGCCGTCGTAGGTGGTGATACCTAAATTTTTTGCCTTTCTGGATTCCGTTTAACATCAGTACCGCTGACGTGGCCTATCTGTCGGAAGGAGCTAGTCAACCTTATCTTTTTTTTTTTTCCTTTTTTTTCTTTTTTCTTCTAAATGAGAAATTGAGGGGAAAAAAAAATTAGAAAAACACTAAATATTGTTTTGTTGGAAGTAGCTACAGATGGTGGGGTGGTGATATAATTTAAGAAAAACTTAGCAAAAAGCGGAAAGAAAGGGATATTACTGGATTATAGAAATAATACCGAAATTGACAAATTTTGAAATGAAAGAATCCATGTTTCGCAAATTAATAAACCTGTTTGAATAAACAGATTGTTCAAGAGCACCAGGGGATTTTGGCCAACGACAATGGAGTTATGTCACGTGCTTCTTCTTCTTCTATCTGCCTCTGATATTTGTCTGGAATTTTTACGGGTTTTTGCATCCATTTCCGGTAATTACACCAACATGGGACTCCCTTTCCTTTTATCATAAGCCTTTGATAGTCGTTGACATCGAATTAAGGAATATCAGAATGAAACGTGAAGATAAAGCAAACATCAGAATGAAACGGTTGAATTTAGGATGTGTAAATATATAATTTTTGTTGGTGGAAGTTTCAGTGTAATTAATACTAAAGACTATCCTTAGTTTTAATCATCCTGAAAAGGGGATTTAACTAATAAAAAATTATTATATTAAGTGAGATAATTATGTTCATACAAAATTGTGGAGTTACATTTTTCTTTAATAAAATAAAATGTAACCATGAGAAGACTGAAAAAGGAAAACAAGTTACGCTCGATGTGCCTGTCTTAATTGCTTCTCAATACTCATAAATAATTAAATACACAATTACGCAGGACAATCTTCAAATTTAAGAGTTAAAAAAAAAAAAAAAAAAAAAAAAAAAAAAAAAAAAAAAAATAAAATAAAATGTAACCATGAGAAGACTGAAAATAGGGAAAAACAAGTTACCGCTCGATTGGTGCCTTCCTTATAATTGGCTTCTCAATACTCATAAATAATTAAATACCACAATTACCGCAGGACAATCTTCAAATTTAAGAGTTACAAAAAAAAAGAGAAAAAAAAAAAAAAAAAAAAAAAAAAAAAAAAACACTTAACACTATGAGTGGCCACACAGAGAGAAATACATCGTGCAGTATAGTCCTCAATAATATAAGTAACTCACCCATACATGTGAAATTAGGATGATGAGAAAATCTTTCAGGAGAGTCGATGTGGAGATCTATATAAAAAAAAAAAAAAAAAAAAAAAAAAAAAAAAAAAAAAAACACTTAACAGATGGACGAGAATAATGCATATTTATATTATCCATCACCTTGTGATTAGGAGTGGAAAATTCTTCAGGAGTCGATCGAGATCTGAAAAGCTAAAATCAGGGCATGCCATTTGATTTGTTAACGAGTATCACTCAGTTGAAAATTGAAATCCGAAGAAAGAAATGAAAACGGAAGGTCCCTTTTTGTTTGAGTGAGAAAGAGTTTAACACATTGTTGGTCAGTCTTCTCTAAGTTTAACAATTGCTGTCAGAGTCCCTCTCCCATCCCATTTTTCTTATTTCTTGGTTCTTTTCAGATTCTGTATTCCCAACTTTCCAATGGAGGAATTGAATGACGACTCGCCTGCTTCTTTTTCATGGTGGTCTGGTAGCCATAATCGTCCCCATCAATCGCCATGGCTTCAAGCCACTCTGTCAGGTCTTTTTCTATTACCCTGAATTAATTATTTCTTGTTCAATTGAACAGTCCTAACTCGGTAGATTGACAATATGCAGATTTGGATGATAAGATTAAAACAATGGTAAATATTATACAGGACGATGGAGATTCATTTGCAGAGAGAGCTCATGCGTTCTACAAGAGAAGACATGAGCTTTTAAAGATATTGCTGGACTTGCACTCGTCATATTGTTCTTTAGCTGAAAAGTACGACCAGCTGAGATATGCAGTCAGGGATTTGTCGAACGAGCCAATAATTTCAAATAACAAAGAAAGCAACAATTTGAAGATGGAAGAAGATAAAGATGAAAATTTGAACGGAAAGAGTAATCTCCAAACGTGGAGCCAAATGATGGTAAAGGGATCGGAACTTATCGAGGATAATCTGAGGCAACAGTTTGAGCTAATAAAAAGAAATGATGAAAACAGGGAAGTGATAAAACAACTGCGTGACCAAGTCACTAGATTAATGGAACAGAACAGAGCATTGGATTGCTGTCTTCAGAGTTATAAAGAGCAGGAGATGAAAGGAAGCGAATCTCGCGTCTCCAAGCTCAAGAGCCTCAGTTGCATTGCCAAGTTTAATACCTTATAATCATTTATTAACTACCTAGTGCTCTTCCTTCTTCACCTGTTTCGTTTTTGTTTTTTGTTTCCTTTTTCCATATATGTCAGGGTTGATGAAAATTGTTTGCTATCATTTATTGCTCCCGCATTGGAATTTCAAAGTGTTCAGTGCGATTCTTTCTATTTCAATACTGTGTATGAATGAAAAAGAAAAAGGAACCAAATGCTGCATGGCAAGACTTATGTTCAAAGAATTATTCGAGATGCTCCCCTAGGTTAATTACTATGACTACACCTTCGTAGCAAATTGTTGTCCTATAATAGTCAAACTACTAATTAAATCTTAAAATAAACAAAATTTATATATCAATCTTTTGGCAGATTAATATTAATCCGAAATGAGTAACAAAAGGTAATTTGAAATTCAATCATAGCAATACACGTTAATAGTCAAAAGAAGAAAAAGGTTAAAAAGAAAATGTAGCGTGAAAACTGTAAAGGCACTTCACCCGTCCCGTCCCGTTCCGCTCCATGCCACACGATACACGCGCGCAGTTCCACAGTCACACGCTTACAGCTTCTGCCCGCTACTGTTGATAGTTGTTGATACTTATACATCGTCGCTTGTCTCTCCTTTCGTTCTCTGCTTCACGGCGGAGATTTAGGTGTTCGATAATTTCGAGATAACTGCAGGCTATATACATTTGCTTCACTTACTTACTGTTGCTTTTTTATGGACCGGAGCAAAATCGATAGCACTGCATACGCGCGCCATTGGAGCAGCGACTCCAGCAACGTCGGCACTGGCCCGTCGTCTCCGGCGACAATGTCGCCTGGACGTCACCATCATGCTCGCTCCTCTTCTGTTACCGGAATTTCCAATATCAAGAGAAACCAGAATTTCGCTGCCAAAGCGGCGGCTCAGCGACTGGCTCAGGTAATGGCTTCCCAAACAGCTGACGACGACGAGGAAGAAGACGAGGATCTAGGATTTCGATACAGTGCACCACCGCCTCTTTCGCTTTCGAGGAATCTTAACTCAATTCCTACGAGTAATAGAAACAGTAAACCTGCAGTTCCATCTAGCAGTATCACTACTAGATCTCCTTCACCTGCCGTATGTGTCTTTTGCTTTTACCGTTTTGAATGCTCTAGTTCGGTTTTCTCTACTTTTCCAGTGAATGTCTTGGATTTTAATTTGATTTTCTTGCATTTCATTTAAATTTTAGTTAGCTCGAAACACGGCTGAGGAAACTGCATCCGTTCGCTCAACATCTGCTGGAAGGCCTTCAATGTCTCTTCGAACAGCTCCGCCAGTGCTACCCAGTAAAGGATCACTCAGGACTGCGGTCTCTTTACCACCAATTGAGCCTCCCAGAAATGGCCAGAGAGACGGTAAAAGGTAAAATAGACATCTAAGATGTTGTTTTGCTTATTCTTTTGGACTATTTAGAAAATTTGTATATTAATGATGTAACAATTGGCATCATTGCAGATTCTTGCCAGATGCGGGACAGTTGAATTCTAAAGATAAGGGGGATCAGCGCGAGGCTTCTGCACTTCGTGATGAAGTATGTGTTAATAATACTTGTTAATTTTCTAAAGGAAGGATCTTTTTGGTTTTATAATATTGAGGGATTGGTGCATGTTTGCAGCTTGATATGCTACAAGAAGAGAACGAGAACATTATTGAGAAGGTCTAGTTTTGATTATTTTCTTATGGTAAGAATATATTCATATTCACTTATTTTAGCACAATGAAACCGAATTCACTTCACAGGTCAGGCTTGAGGAAGAGAGATGTAAGGAAGCAGAGGATAGAGTTAGAGAGCTTGAGAAACAGGTCATTGCTTTTTCCTCACATTGTTGGCAACATTTTTAAAGTTCACCACTTTGCGATGTTGCTGCTTGATTTCTTATCCGAATTGCTGAGTTCCAACAATTTCATGACTGCTATACTCATTATAATGCAGAATTTGTTGTTTCCATGGCCATTTGCTTTTCCTTGTAAAACTAATTTTGGGTGTAATTATGGGAAGACTTACTGTGAACTCTTTACCGCTTGTTCTGGGTCTTTTAGGTTGCTGCTCTTGGTGAAGGGGTGTCTTTGGAGGCCAAATTGTTGAGCAGGTAAATTATAAATCTGAGAACTTTAGTGCCTTCATTTTCCTTCCTAATGATTTTATTCTGACACGTGCTTTGGTCTGCAGAAAGGAAGCTGCATTGCGCCAAAGAGAGGTAAATGGCATAAATGATCCCATTTGATTTGAAGTATGTTATTTTTGACAACCTGTGCTGGCTCATAATTCGAGTTCATCTCTAGATCCTAATGAGTTTGACAAGATAAAACCTGTATATAGGCCACCAAAAGAGTTGAATTTTCAGTCCATACTCAATCTAGAGATTGCATTGTGACTGGAAGGACATTTGTCATCTTATTGTAGCGCATGATGACTGTTTGATTTAGAACTTTTAAAGTAAAAGTGCAGGAATTGTTTTTATGTTTTTCAACTCTGATTTCTTCAGGCTGCACTCAAGGATGCAAGACAAAACAATGTGGTGGATAAGGAAATTGCATCTATTCGGTCTGAAGTGGAGGTAAATATGCCATCATGTCATTTCCTTATCTTATAGTTCCCTCTGTTGTAGATTATCTGATTTGTTTAGCCACTTTTGATATTGCTTGTAAATTTACATGAATTTATTGCTTAAATTCAGAGTGCAAAAGAGGAAGCTACAATTGTTGTACAACAGCTTCAAGGTGCTGAATCTGAAGTGAAAGCCCTTCGCTCAATGACACAAAGAATGATTTTGACTCAGAAAGAAATGGTTTGTGCTTAAATAGTTGCAACCAGCCTCTTAAAATCATTTGAAAGCCAGTTATTCAGTATATTGCATTTCAGGAAGAAGTTGTTCTTAAGAGGTGTTGGCTTGCTCGCTACTGGGGCCTAGCTGCCAAATATGGTAAGCTGCTGGTCAAGATCAGTTTTTGATTTATCATTAGAATTTTCTTTCTAGTTTCAAAGTTTTGTTGGTTTCATTTGTTCTCCATGTATTATGAGGCACACCAACGCTTATTTTTTATCGTTCTAGGTATCTCATTATGAAGGAAATTGGAGAATCTCATGGAATTTTGTTCTGTCTGAACTTATAACTGGAATCCCATTTCCTCCTCTATTTTAATTTTTGAGATAGGCTGACTTATTTTATTAAAAAAATAGATTTCTATAAATATTCACATGGATTCTGAGTTGGCGTGCAATTGGATTAATTTTGCCTCATGCTGTGTTACAGCATGTATCTGCTGATATTATTGTATACATCTTTGGATTTTGTTCTAATGAGCAGACAATGCAGTCCATTCGTTAGTCCTGATGTTATGGTAATTTTTTTCCATGTTTAGGTATCTGTGCCGATGTTGCTGTGTCAAAGCATGAATACTGGTCATCCTTGGCACCCCTTCCATTTGAGGTGGTTGTTTCTGCTGGACAAAAGGCAAAAGAAGAATGTTGGGAAAAAGGTTCTGCCCACTAGTTTGCAGTTAATACGTTCTTCTTCATCATTGACAATGTTGCTGGATGCCTTTTTTCCTTTTTCAGTTGATTCAATAGTACTGCACTTCGTTTATCTAAATGATTATGTTCAGGATTTAATTTGTTTAACTTTGAGTAGGTGATGATGACAATGAAAAGAGAAGCAAACTTGTTGAGGACCTGAGTGATCTAACCGGAGAAGGAAACATTGAGAGTATGCTTTCTGTTGAAATGGGATTGAAGGAGCTTGCTTCATTGAAGGTTTTCTTTTCCATTCCATTGCTTTGTTTTTTAAATGTTTGTTCTTTTGTTATTCTATTTAGAATTTCAGTGTATGGCTATGGCCTAACAGTACTTCTTTCCCTTTGTTGTTTTCTACCTTCTTATTATTAGCAGTCATTTTTACATGGTTTAGAGTTTCCTTTAATGAAAAGTGCAACTCTAACCATAATATCATGTTATTTTCTAGGTTGAGGATGCTATTGTGCTTGCATTGGCTCAACAGCGGCGTGCAAATTCTGCTCGACTATCCATCTCAGGTATGGATTGCTGACTTCATAGTTTTGCTAAATTCTCTGCTAATTCGAACTCTACTTGATTGATTTTTTTTATATATATATACTTGTTATAGTTTTTCTTTTTTCTGGGATCCTATTCATTTAGCAATTGCTTTTGTGTACACTGAATGCACACTTTGCTTTCAGATATCAAATCACCAGGTGATCCAAAATATATGGAAGCAGTTGGTAAGTCATATTTGGGCTCCTCATATTATGCAATTATATTCTGGTATTCATTGCTGAAATTAGTAGTCATACAACCTTCTATCTTGTATCAATAAAGTTGATAGCCAATATTATTGCCATTGTGACTTCAACTATAATTCCACTCCATATTTTCACTCGCAGAATTAAGCCCTGAGGAATCTGAAGATGTTCTTTTCAAGGAGGTGGTGGCATTTTCTTCTTACATTCAGTATTCTTATATCATTTATTAGCTAGCATTTTTATGATCTTTCCTCTGTGATGGATGAAACTACTTGGTGAAATTTATGATATGTCCGCCTTTTATAATCTTTCTTTTGTCATCCCAAGAAATATCAGTTAATAATAATTACATTCTTGAAATGCTTCCAAATCCATTTCCTGGAATTTGTGAGTAAATTTTAGCATCAGTGCAATTTTGCCATTTAAATGCGCTTTTTTCTTTGACATTAATATTTCTATGGGTACGAGAGATGCCAATGCAAAGAAGAGATGTGCATGTCATGCAGGATCTAATTAATGTACAACATATTTAATCGAACACAGGCGTGGCTTACATATTTTTGGAGCACAGCCAAAGCCAATGGTATAGAGGAGGACATTGCCAAAGAACGACTTCAATTTTGGATCAACCGCCGTGGACACTCACCAAGTTCACATGATGCCGTTGATGGTAAGCTTCATTCTTTTCTTTAATAATTTAATGCAAAATAATTCCTCACCACGACAGGGAAGTGGATTGTGGCAACTTTTGGTTCATATAAATAAATCACGTCAGGTTACTTATTGAGTATGTGGTGTTCAGTTGATCAAGGCCTGGTGGAGCTGAGGAAGCTAGGGATAGAGCATCGACTGTGGGAGGCATCTCGTAGAGATATTGATCAAGACTCTTCCACTAACATAACACGGAAAAAATCTTCTGGAAAATTTAAGGCATCCGGTTGATGATGTCTACTATATATGTTTTTTTTTTTTTTTTTTTGATCAGACTCTTCCACTTAACTACACGGAAAATCTTCTGGAAAATTTAAGGCATCCGGTTGTGATGTCTACTATAATATATTTTTTTTTTTTTTTTTTTTGCATGTTTTTTCTGTTCGTTAGAACATATATATAAATTTTCCTATCCCTTGTTCTTTGAGTGATGAACAGCCACTGTGCTTCTGGTCTGTAAATCATTTTCAAAGTTGGCCCTGTTGCAGACAATTGGAGTTTAGACTGAAGGAGCCAAGGACAAACGTATATGTCATTCAACTGACTGATTGAGAGTGTATCTTCCAGGGAAATATTTATTTACTGTTGGTCTCAGGTTAAGAAAATCGCATTTTAATGTCAGTCGATCGTAATAAGGTCCACAAATATTGGAATCAACCAAAAACTTTAAAAAAAAAAAAAAAAAAAAAAAAAAAAAGAAAAATTTTATAAAAAAAAAAAAAAAAAAAAAAGAAAAATTTTATGTCGTTCGGGATCATCATTAAAACCACCAACAAAATCCTTATTTTGCAGAAGTTATACCCTGAATTAATTAATTAATTACTGGATTTTCTTCTAACTTGATAGCGTGACAGTCCTCACAAATTAAAGAGTAGATATAGAGCCTAGATCAGAGGATTGAATGTACGCCCACAAAAATTTGGCTAAAACATAAATAAACCATTTCATAGGTTTCAGCGGGTTGAGACTTACATACAAAGCTAAAATAACGACTAATACTTACTGCGTGTGAAGTGAACTCTTCCAAAGTAACCTCTGATGGTTAAGGGCAGTGAAGAGAATGAGATGTTAGTTACCAAGGTGAAGCAGCTAGACTTTCAAACTCATGCATGGCACTTAAAATGTCTTCACTGATACCATTGGCACCCACTTGTAGAGCAATAATCTCAGATTCTTGCGTCACCTTCAGAGACACTTTCATTGCCCGTTGCTCTTCTAACTCGCTTATAATCTTGTCAATTTTATCAATATCTTCTCTCAATTTGGTTTTTTCATGAACACACTCTTCAATCTGAATGGCAACATCTTTTGACTGATGCTGAAGCTGTTCTTGCCTATCTTTGATCGCTAACAACCGATTAAGACGATCCATCACTAACTTAACATCAAATCCAAGCATTTCCAAATCAGTAAGAGTTTCAATATAGCTATCGAAAAGGTCTCTAGGATCATCTACTTTCAATTTGGACGTCCTCTCTACCACAGTGGCAAAGGTCAACATATTGCCAATAGCACATCCTTCACGGCTCGCCACTTTGCAATCAATCAAAGGACCAAAATGTGGTTTCTGAGGCAGGAATTTGAAAACTTCCAGAGATTCTATGTTTTTCCATATAGAGGAGCTCTTGACAAAAGGTATCCCTTGACCATTCACTAACTCGCTGCCTTCTGGCACGTTTACAGCAGAACATTGCGAGAGATTTTCAACTTGTCTTTCCCCAGTACCTGGCAATGATGACACTCAAGCAGGCTAGTCTAAGAAATGCATCAAATTATACTTGAATCACCCACAATCATCATAGAAATGTACCTTCAAAGCATATTGATAGTGCTTGACCATCATTAGTGGTGTTGCTGGATGCTCCGACATCAACCAAACTGACTTCTTTTGCCATGTTATTTGCTGAGGAAACTAAAGCAGATATTTTGACCAAGCCATCTAAGGAGAAAAAAAAAAAAAAAAAAAAAAAAATAAAAAAAAAAAGAACAGGATCAGTTGTAGAAAAGAAGGCCAAAATCATGCATAAAAGTTAAGGCTGTCATTGGTCTAAAAAAAAAAAAAAAAAAAAAAAAGAAAAGGATCAGTTGTAAAAAGAAGGCCAAATCATGCATAAAAGTTAAGGCTGTCATTGGTCTGCTTATTTCTTTCAAACTAGTTTTAATGCTTCACCTTTTGTCCTACTAAACAAATGAATTCTTAGGCAGGAAATGACAAGGACTTTTCACATTTTCCTCTTTGTGAACTTTCCAGAAGTATGCTCTTAGTTTTTATCATTTGAAGTATTAACTGAGAAGAACATTTTGCAGGATTTTCAGGTCAATAGAGGCAAACCTTCCATCATGCCTTCCATTAGATTGCTGAGAAAAATGGCAACCTGAATTCTTAGAATAGGTTAATAATTTCCAAATATTTATACCTCAGTGTTTTCCTCCTAGCATAGGAAGAGATAGAAACCAAAATAAAAATGCAAACACAACCAGCTCATTGCTTACAATATACCTCATTATTTCACTCAGGTGTTTTAGAATCCATAATAATTTCATAAAGTTTCTAAAACAGAGAAGGATTTTTAAGTTGTCAGCCCATATACCTCCAGACTCCATGCCAATTACTGCAGACAATTCTACCTCTTTAGTTGCACAATCTTCAAAACCCATTTTACTGGCACCATCTTCGACTACATTGTGCTTTTTACCTATGCATAAGGCATTAAATCAGTTCTTCCATACACAACTATTCATCCATTATTTTAGGTATACTCCCGCACCTTTTTGCTGCCCAATCCCATCACTTTCTTTCTGCTTATTAATCTCCTGTGCAGTATCAAAGCAGTACCAGCAGGTTCAGTAAATAACATGCATGTATATGATGAATTGACCAAAGACATTAAAATTCAATTAGCTAGACATTAAAAATTCAATTAGCTGCATATTATTCTTAAATTCAACAGAATTTGTAGGAAGAATGGGGTAGCATATTACTCGCAAATTCTACAGATTTATGAGCAGAGATAAGTGGCATGGAAGAAGTGTGTGAAGATGCTGGCTTTCCCTTAGTTAATGCGACTTTTCTTCATTTTTTTTACCCTCCAATCTGAAGGTTACATTAGGTTGCTGGATCATGAAAGTTATCTGTTTTGATATTCGAACTTTTTCAAGAAGTACCTGATCAGGAAGCTGGTAATTTGCATGCGAGACCTTCCTCCACTCAGCCAAGGCAGCAGAAGAATCAGCATATTTTTCAACATGCCCAACTTCAACAATGAATTCAGCAGATTCTCCTTGTATCTTGTCCTCTACATCTGTAAATAATTAGCATTTGATCTTTAGTGAATATGAAATTCATTATTGTGTCAGCTAGATACTGGTTTGTACCTTCAGAATTCAGTTGTCCTTCCTTGTTGCATATGGAACCTGTCATTTCATTCACCAGTCCAGCTTCTTGTTGATTAGGCCCCTACATTATTATCAATGATTATATGCTTATGGAACAAAAAAAATGGAGAAAAGCAAAGCCAAAAGCACTATGTTTGCTAGGTTCTTAATTGAGGGGATCACATATATCGATCAGAGAACAGCAATCTGATTCACTACTTATACCAGATCCAGTGGTGCATGCTGCAACCAAAACCTGAGTCTATAAAAAAATATATTGCATATACATCATCATATTCCACATTATCAATAACAAAATTAAGGCGGTGATTGCAGTAGGTGATTGTAGGCTGATATATCACTATCCAGGACTTCTGCATTTGCTTTCCTTCTAGTATTGCCAAAAGCAGAAGGTGAGTTACCATGTTGTTTCCCATGATGCGACTCTCAGATCCAGCAGAAGGATTACTGGCATCCAAATATTGGCTTGTGCATTTAGTTAGTGTACTGTTTGTGACTTGTCCTTCTTGGTTTGTTGTCTCAGTTTGCACCAACTTCGCAAGAAATGCTTGAGCTAATGAATGGTTGGCAGATTTTTCCTTTCTGAGCTTCTTGGAAGGACATGAAAGTGCCTCATCACTTTTAGGTGTTCTTTTCTTTGCTTTCTTACTTACTGATTTTGCATCAGTAGGGGTTGACTGCTCCAACCGATTCTTCTTCAAACTTTTGCATGGGGATTTCAATTCAGAGCTATCCTTTGCTGCACTTGAACTCTCAATTTGAATAGCTACCTCAGGGTTTTTGCCATTGTTGTCAGCATATCTTGATTGTTCGTCAATTTGAACACTGGTTGATGTATCCTGAAACCAAGGCCAGCATATAACCTACACATACCAATTTAGTTTTTCAAATGGAATTCTGCTTGAGAATCTTAAATAAATAAATCTTGCAATTGTATTAACTACTAAGTTTACACCCCATACTGTTTGTCAAATCACCAGGATATAAATAACTACCAATCAAATCTTAAATAACTACTGTTTGATGCCATTTATCCTCTATTATTATCATCGTTATTCATTTATTTAGGTCAATCTTTTTCCATAGTTGAAATTAATGTGCGCCAATTGCACAATGCTAATGAAAGAAAAAATCTGTCTTCTCCCCTCTAGCAACACAATTTGCCCATGAAAACAAATATTAATGTTAACACACATAGGCAAGAAATCATCATTACAAAGTGTTCACAAAAGAGACCGAGAAACAAGAAAGTTAACGATAATTCAATGTCAAAATGCTGTAGATATAACAGAAAACCAAAGGAAGACAGAATACCCGGCTATGACTAACCCATGTGCCATTCACCAAATTCAGGTGTGGCCTTATTTCTGATTGACTGAATTGTTTTTCCATGTCTGCATACTTTATAAAGACATTATATCTTCCATTTGTGAGAATTTTGGTAATAAGGCCATGCCTCCAACTTGAATCATAGAAAACATCTACTGTTTCCAAAATCTCAAAATTTTTAACTTCGATGTTAGGAGGGGGAGCTCGAATGTGGAAACAATCAACCAATCTTTTCATGCGGCCATCTTCATCACCATTCCTTGAGCTGCTATACTCCACCAAGAAAGAATTGAAGCCAACTTCCTCGATAACAGTTGCTGGAAACCAAGCATCATTTTCTTTATCAAGACTCACCTCTACAGCCATTCCTTTGCCAAACTTCAAGCAATCCATTCTCTTTGAAGGATCATAAAATCAAATCAGTCTTATGTTTCAAAAAATTGCTTAGTGATAACATTGAGAAAAATGAGTGTAAATGGATAGTTAAAACAAGCATGGTATCAAAAATGCATAATTCTACCCAAGAAAAAAGGAAAACAACAACAACAATATCATCATCATCATCACTCACTCACTATTCAAGAAAATTTAGTCGGTAGAAGTATAAGTTCTACACCCGTTTTTTCACATATTTGCATAACAAAAATCATATGACTCAAAATCATGAGTAATCTGTTGAAAGATGTAAAACATTTCAAAAAAAAATAATAATGGTGGAGATGCTCAACAACCAATCAACAAGCAATGACAAAGGAAACTTTAGTCTTGAATCGTGCTGTTTCTAAGAAAGAAAGGGATTCAAACTATCCGTCAATGGTCCTATCCAATGTGTGTAGCCAAATTCAAGGCATGTAGACTCTAAAAGAACAGGCCCAAACAGAGATTAGCTGTCACAACTCACGATCATAACCTAATGGAACCAAAGATGTCACATTTAGGTGTGTAAGTCATGAAATTGAGTAGAAGACACAAAAAGTAATGGACTGAAAACAACTGAAAAGGCTCAATAGTAAAAGCTTCATAAGCCATGAAGAACATAGAAAAGGGCGATCAGTGCACCAAGCATCCCACATGTGTGGGCTCTGAGAGGGTTGGCGTATGGAGCCTTCCCTGCTTTTTTGTAGAGAGGTTGTTCCGTGGCTCAAACCCATGAACTCCGAGGTCACAAGTGGACTAACTTTACCGTTAGTCCAAAGCCAAACCCTCAAAGCCTTGAAGGACATATATGCTAAAAATTTGGCATTATGAATTCATGCTTCCACATTATGCTAACAAATCACGCAACAGCAAAACCCTTGCTAAAAGATAATAAAAACAACAATAATAAAAACTTTAGCTTTCTTCTCAAAGAAAAAAGAAAAAACTTTACCTCCTGTTTTGGGGGTCGAACCCATTCACCTTTAATCCAATCACAGTGAAACCTCAAATCCTTAGACGCAAATTCGAACTGTTCAGGTGGGTTTTCAAAGAAAACAGTGTACTTTTTGGAGTCAGTATTTCCCTCCAACACGTTAAGGACCACGCCCTTCCACCATCCATCGCGGTGGGAGGCGTCAACAACGTCATATGGTTCGAAAGATTGATCAAAATTGGGATTCATAGGCAAAGGCAGAGGCCTAATGAAGGAAGGAGCAACGTACTCGGTCAATGGCTCGTTCTCGTTAATATCAGAAACTAAATTATGATACTGAACCAAGGCCTTGGCTTTTCGCTTAGAGTTACTGGTCCTAGAAGAGGCCGGCGATTTGATGATTGTGGCGACATACCATGCGCCTTTGAAGCCTTCATCGTCGCTGCTGACCTCGACTTGGTTGCCTTCCCTAAGAAAATCAGTCTTTTTGCCATTGTCTTTGTCGTTGGCTTTGCCCGCCGTGGATCTGCTTCGTGGAGAGTTCACTCCGCCTTTTCGTATTTCCATGGAGCAGACATGCAGAGTATACGGTAGTCAAATGAAATACCTTTCCTTTTCACCTTTGTCTCTTTCTAAGTTCTATAGCTTCTGACTTCTGGGTTGAAATCACGACTCCACCTCTTGATTTTCTTGGGCTAAATATGTCAGTCTCTCCTTATAAAGTAAGGCCCAAGATGAGGCCTGATGTTGACATGGTTGGGCTGTAATATGACAAGCCCATCAAAGACTGGCCATTTCAATAAAGGGTCCACCCAACCATTGGAACAATAAATGGGCTAAAGGGCTAACTGCTTGTCGAAATTTCTTCTTCTTTTTTTTTTTTTTTTTTTTTTTTTTCCATTTCATAAAGGGTCCACCCAACCATTGGAACAATAAATGGGCTAAAGGGCTAACTGGCATTGTCGGAAATTTCTTCTTCTTTTTTTTTTTTTTTTTTTTTTTTTTTTTTTTTTTTTTTTTTTTTGAATTATAGAATTAGGGAGCAAGGATTGATTGATTTGAAATGTGAAACTTATTTTGAATCTTTGGATCCTCCCTCCTCCTCCTCCTCCTACATGCTACTGTGCTAATGTAGTGTAGTAGTTGGAAGTTGAAAGTGTCGTTGTCTATTAAATATTTCTTCAACTATCAAAAAGCCAAAAAGAAAGAGCATAGCCATAATTAATAATCGATCGAGTGCTAATTAATGCCAAACCTCCTTTTATAGGCACATGGTTAATGCTTAGTGGCCAGTTGCAGCAGGCGTGTGAAAAACTATTTACCATGAGTTAGGGTGTTATCGTAGTACTAAACAAAAGTAAAATTATTTAAAATAATTTAATTAAGCGATAGAACAGCTGATCATAAAATGAAACTGTGGAATCAGCATTTAAAAAAAAGCTTTTAAGTTAAATAATCTCTCTTGATATAGAATGTATTAGTCTCTTATTCAACTATTAAACTAATTAGAAGGATATTTTTGATAATTAAAAAAAAAAAAAAAAAAAAAAAACAAATGGGCAGTCAGGTCTCTTTCATTCAGGGTAATCTATATGGCATTTAACATGCCCTGCCCACTGCAGGTCTTGTTCTTCGCGGGCTTGTGGCTTGTGGCTCATGCCCTAAGCCCTAAAAACCCAATAATAATATGCGGGGGCCACGCTTATTACTATAACCTTATCCTAAAGTTTATATTAGGCAAAAAGTGGGTTTTCAATTTTTCAATTCCATGAAACTTGATTTTTAAAAAAAAAAAAAAAAAAAAACATGGCAGTCAGTCTCTTTCATTCAGGGTGTAATCTATATGGCATTTAACATGCCCTGCCACTGCAGGTCTTGTTCTTCGGCTTGTGGCTTGTGGCTCATGCCCTAAGCCCTAAAACCCAATATAATATGCGGGGCCACGCTATACTATAACCTTATCCTAAAGTTTATATAGGCAAAGTGGTGTTTTTCAATTTTCAATTCCATGACTTGATTTTACAATTTTGGTGGAAAGAAGGGAAAGACCACCATAATTCTAAAGGTCATTTTGACCCTAATTAGCTAATCCTCTCCCTTATCATCTACTAGTTCATTTTGGCCATTCTTTGTTTTTTTTTTTTACATGAAAATTAAATTCAACACATCATAATTTGCATTCCATTAAAATTCTCTTCCATTGGGCTTTCTTTTTCTTTTTGTTCGTGATTATTACATTGAAATGATTACAATGGATTAATTTCAACTCTTCTAAATACACTTTTAACACATCTTTTATGTAATCTTCTTGTTGTGAAAGTTCTTATAGAAGTTAGTTCACATGGGTCATTATAAAGACAGAAGGAACATATTTAGTTGAGGTGGTTGCTTTCCTTCCAAGAAGAATTTTTAGCTTTCCTACATTTGGTTTTGCTTTTTTGTCTCTAAAGATTAAAATGGTTGGTTTGGGTTGGGATGAAAATGTGTCTCTCATGGATATGAAAAGGAAAGTTGTCTTCAGTCCAACATGCTCTGGTAGTGGAAATCATTCCTCTCTTGACCTAATCATCACATCACACAAACCTAATTAATTCTCTTCTTTTTTTCAATTAACTTGTGTTCAGAAAATTCTTGTATAATTAACTCTTCTTACCCTGATAAGCTTGTGATCTCTCCAACCTATTAGTATGATTTGTTTTCTTTTGAATTGAAGAAATAGTCCAATGAATAAAAAATCAAACTTTAACTATAAGCCTGATTAATTCTTAAAATTAAGGAAAAAGAATGAGTTAATTACCATTAATTTCTTAACCTTTCCTAATCAAACTACCTTTGATGGATAATTTTCTCCTGTTTCATTGTATTTTGTCTTTTGACAACCCCAAACTCAAAAGTAAATACTTTTGGGTAGTTGGAAACCTAGGCATCTCCATATGTATGTATACATATACATAAACATAGGCTGGACTCTGTAAATTGTCCATTTGAAAAAGCAATATCCCTTTCTAGCTGCAATTCTTGGTGGAAAAAGAACAAGGAAAGCAATAGGCAAGTTTTCGTAATAGATAAAAGATAATTAACAAGAAAATGGATTCTTTGGTGAACAAAATATGGGCAACAAAGTTGCAGTATGAAAATATATAAGAAAGTAAGTTGGCTTTTCCCATGTATTCAAATTAAAATAAATCATAACAAGTGGAAGGAAAATAAAAAAGTTCTTAGGGAAAGAAATATAAAGCTTAAGTTTGATACTTTACTTCCATTACGAGACAGAGAAAAGCTTACAATAAGGGCTTCATTTCATGCTATATTAATCTTTAATTCCCAGCACATTTCCCAATTTCCAACCACAGCCACCACTCATCTTTCCTCCCTCCTTCTAAATTATTTTTCTTTTCAAAAGTTACTCTAGTGAGAGAGAGAGTGACTGTCATCAGTTTTGAATCCATTTGCCAGTAAACAATCCCTGTTTTATTTTTCATAATATATATACACTGAACCAAAACAAGTTATCCGTTTTGGCTTCCATAGCTGATGTATACATGTATAATGTATTGGAGTAGACAAAGGAATAAAAAATGGGGCAAAAGAAAATAGAAACAGGCTTTTCTTTTTCCCAATCAGAAATACTTCTGCTCCAGTGAGGTGAGGGTCTGTGCTTCCATGGCCCATGGAATCATGCATATACCCCAGACCAGTATATTATAGAGAGAGAGAGAGAGAGAGAGATTGAAAGACTCGTGAACTTACCTGTCTTTACACATTAGTTCCAAGAAATGACTCTTTAACTTCTATACAGTGGCCACTGGCCAGACAAAACGTTGGGCTTTTTAGGACAGGTCAAACAAAGCAAACCACCCCAGAAAGATTCTTCTTGAGTATTTACAAGAAAAATGAGAAACTATAATTACGGTATCTTTTTTCTGTATCTAAGGATAACTTCAAATCTCCAAATCAACCAGAAATTATCCATATTCTTAAAAGAACTGTAAAAAATTCAAGATTTGGGTTGTTTTTTTTGTTACGTGTTGATGATTTGGGATTAAAGTGTGGGTGTGAAGCCAATTCTTTTCTGGGAAAAGCAAAAAGAAAGTCCTGATTGCTTGTGGCTATTAAACAATATACAGTTCTCATTGCTCATGATTCTGTCTTAACCTTTTTTGAGAATAAAGCCATTTTCTTCAAATTTTTGCATAAAGCAAAGAAAGAGAAGCAGTTGTATTCCCCATTCACCAAAATGGCTCTTTTCAAAGAAAATAAAAAATAAAAAAGGAATCATTTTACTGTATATTATGAAAGCTAATACTGTTACTACTAATTTTATTTTGGCTTTACTATAACACTAAAAACAAGCATAGTAAAGCTGTAATTGCCATGGGAGCAAATTCAAGACTTCAAAAAGCACATTCTCTCTTTTCATTTTCAGTTGCAGTCACACCCATTGCTGACTGAGACCCGCCCCACGCACCACCGCACCACCACACCACCAAGTCATCTCTCCAACTCATACCCATCTGTTTCTGCTTCGAAAAGTCTTTTTAACAGTCTTCCAAAGGAACAAAAAGTTTCATACAATTTTTTTACATATAATAATAATATTTAAAAAATACACAGTATGTATGTATCTACCTTCCGGCTAAGTCTTTATGTTTTAGTCTTTATATAATGCCCCCCGCTTGACAACATTTTAGCTAACTTTTCTTTCTTTTTTCACTGTTTCTCTCTCTAGGTTCTTTGCTATCTGGTTTGGAACCAAACAATGCCTTATCTAACAATAGAAGTGATGGCATTGGCTATGGTTTTGCTTCAGCTGTGTTTTTTCATGAAAGTAGTGTGCCATCCCTTTCTGTTTGATAGGATTACTCAGTTGCCGGGTCAACCTCAAGTCGGGTTCCAGCAGTATTCTGGTTATGTGATTGTTGATAATAAAGAACAGAGAGCTCTGTTTTACTACTTTGCTGAAGCAGAAACAGATCCAGCTTCTAAGCCTCTCGTTCTCTGGCTAAACGGAGGTCTTGGAAATTTTGAAGTTCTCGCTTTGAAATGCTATGTATTCTTCTTTTGGATTTTGACTTTTGCTGGTGATGTTTCCTTTCAGGGCCCGGTTGCTCTTCTCTTGGAGTCGGAGCATTTTCTGAAAATGGGCCATTCAGGCCTAGTGGCGAAGTTCTTGTCAAGAACCAGCATAGCTGGAACAGAGGTATATATCCAAATTTATTTTGGATTTTTGTATTGTATGTTGATTTTGTTGTTTTTTGCACCAAAAAAATCCGCGAAGTTCTCATCTTTGCCACTCTCATTCCTTTGCAGAAGCCAATATGTTGTATTTGGAGACACCAATTGGAGTTGGATTCTCTTATTCCACTGATACCTCTTCCTACGAGACTGTTAACGACAAAATTACAGGTATATGCCCTCCAAAATATTCATTCTCTTTCTTTTAGATTGTGATTGGCGTATCTATCTTTTTTCATCCTCAAATTGCCGTTTTCTTTCCAATTTCTAATTGGAAATCTTTGAAGAGAAAGGAGAAACAGAAAAACTGTTCAATTCAAATATTTTGAACAGCAGAACAAACTAAATTTCTGTACCCAAGATTCAAAGTCAACTTCTTTCTCTTTTTCCTCTACTATTTCTTTAAAAAAATATTCTGGGTTAATCCATTCCCCTGTAAAGTTCTTTCTATTAAAAGAATTTTAAATGCATTTCTGTCTTTATTTCTTTTTCTCTTCTCACTTTACATAGTATGCCATTTCAATGGTTACTGTGCTTGTTTGTTTAGCATTTTAGCTGACAAAAGATCAACTTTACAGACGTATACCTTTCATTTTGAGCCCATTTTTGTCTTTTGCCCTATATAGCTAGAGACAATCTGGTGTTCTTGCAAAAATGGTTTATCAAATTCCCACAGTACAGAAACAGAAGCTTGTTCATCTCTGGAGAAAGCTACGCTGGTATTGTTTTGATTCTAAAAAAAAAATTCATACATGTCCACAGTGTAATCCGATCGAAAATAGATTAGAACTAATTCTTTTGATTCTGTTGTTATAAATTACTAGGTCATTATGTACCCCAACTGGCAGAACTCATGCTTGAATTCAATAAGAAGCATAAGTTGTTCAATTTGAAAGGAATTGCTGTAAGTAGCAAGATTTTTTTGTTTGCAGAAATTTCCGTGATTCAAAAGGCAATCATCTGTTTTTTGTTTGCCTCTAACAAGTCTTTAATTCAAGGTTTTTGTTCATTTGAAAACAGCTAGGCAATCCAGTTTTGGATTTTGCTACAGACTTCAATTCAAGGGCTGAGTTCTTCTGGTCTCATGGATTGATATCAGACACAACCTATAAAATGTTTACTTCAGTTTGTAACTACTCAAGGTATGTGAATGAATACTACAGAGGTTCAGTCTCTCCTATATGTTCAAGGGTGATGGGCCAAGTGAGTAGAGAAACCAGTAGATTTGTAGACAAGTATGATGTTACCCTTGATGTCTGCATATCTTCAGTACTCGCCCAGTCCAATGCCCTTAGTCCCAAAGTGAGTGGAACATATCATTTGATCAGCTTGTCTTTTGACTATAGCAATTCTGCTTTTGATTTGCTAATTGTTAGACCTTTTTTCCTGTCCCTCTTTCTTTTGGTTCTGCAGCAAGTTGGTGATAACATAGACGTATGTGTTGAAGACGAAACAGTTAATTATCTAAATAGGCAAGATGTTCAGAAGGCTCTCCATGCGCGTCTTGTCGGTGTCCGAAGATGGACTGTCTGCAGCAAGTAATTATTTTTAACAGAAAATAATTTTACAATGTTTTGCTAATTAATTCTAAAGCAACTAACAGGATACTTTCTTATCCTTTTTCTTTTTCTTTGTTGACTAGTTCACTAATTTTACTCCCACTGATTTTCTCACAGCATTTTAGATTATGAGCTGCTGGATTTGGAGATACCAACAATAGCTATTGTGGGCAGACTCATCAGAGCAGGAATCCCTGTCTTGGTTTACAGGTAAACGCCTACCTTGTTTGTTGGTCTGCTGTATGATTCCAGGAGGATTCAGATCATTAAAAAAAACTAAACATCGCTTTTCTAAATGCAGTGGAGATCAGGATTCTGTTATTCCACTGACTGGAAGTCGAACATTAGTCCGTGGACTGGCTGAGAAATTGGGACTCAAAACCTCTGTGCCTTACAGAGTTTGGTTTGGGGGTCAGCAGGTAAGCCTCGTTTAAGAGAACAGAAACTTAAAACTTAATTGCAAGGTTAATAGGTGTGATGGGATTGGTTTTCCACTCTCAGGTTGGTGGGTGGACTCAAGTCTATGGCAATATCCTTTCTTTTGCCACAATCAGAGGAGCATCCCATGAAGCTCCATTTTCCCAGCCTGAAAGATCTTTGGTGCTGTTCAAGGCATTTTTGGAAGGGCGACCTTTGCCTGAAGCATTTTGATCTGATCAGCTGATCAGTTATTTGATTGGAATACGGAATCAATTGTAAGTAGTGGATTGCAATTGCAAAAAGTAACTTGTCAATTATCTAAATACTGCATTGGTTTGTTTGTTCCTTGGATTTTGTCCATGCTGTGGAATGTAGAAAAATTTTGTAAAGAACAAGTAAAGGAAGAATGTATGTTCTTTTCTGAATTTTGAATCTTTTCTCCTGTAATATGGATAAACTTATTAATCTTGACAGAAATTACAAAAATAGGTGAAAGTACTTAGAATCAAGAAATGGTGGCAATTTGAACTTGCGAAAATTTTATGGTGCTAAATTACAAGAGAAAAACAAAAAAAGCAACGATACATATTTAGTCAAGAAACTCCTAAAGAATTTCTGCATGAACTTTCAGAGCAGTGGGAAACAGTAATTGGGGCTTCAACGTGCATTTTCAAACAACTGAACTCCAAAGCCAATATAGGTTTCGATAACATAACAGATATGCTTAGGTTCTGTCCATTATCAAGGAGTTTTCCATTACTAGAATCTGCAGATTGGCAATTGTGGTGGCCCAAAGGTTCTGTGTCATGCTTTGGCGCTTGCCGAGGGCCTGATACTTTCGCAGGCTGCATTGTTCGCACCCTGTGACAATCCATTTATTTTAGAAAGGACTATTCCACAATGAAATTTTAATTGGTTTTGTTACTTATGCCATACAGATTTCAGGTTATTGTTACTTGAAATTACCCAAAAGCCTTAAGATTTTTTAGCCATTTAAGCATGCCTCCTTGAGCATCATATAGAATGAGGACCCAAGATTGCTTCTCTTACACCCTTTTTCATTGGCTTTTGCAAATGCAGTTATATAGCCAAATATATATTATCCCTTTGCATCGAAAGAAATATATCCTCTGTCCCCCCACAGCATCAGCAAACAATTATTAGCAAAAAAGAAAAAGGTACCTGCACTCAATATTGCATGAGTACTTCAGAAGGTTGGGATTATGCATTGTACGCCCACTGCATTCTCACAACATAAATAATTTAAGTCATACAACCAACCAGGTGATTCTCTAAACACCAACCACCTTGAAATTTACCTAAAACTTGGTAGTGACATTTTGATTGCTGGCCCCATCCCCTTGTCCAGTTTGAACCCTGGGCCTGCCATCAAAAAGTTTGTGAACCCAAAGGGAAGAAAGAAAATGCATAATGAGACCAGTAAAGCTCCTTTAAAGGAAAAAATGTTATGATTAGAAATAATTTCTGATGAGAAAATTCTTGCCTAACGTTTAGCTAAATCTCTTGATATGGCAGAAATTGAGTTCTATAGAGAAGGAAGGTAGCACGCAAACAAATCAACAATCTGATGCGGACACAATGAGAGGCTAATCTCATTGTAACTGAAACAAGCAAGTGCTTTTTTCTTTTCTTGTAATGGAAAAATGCTAAAGCAACTATTTTTATTGCACCAGAGTATAAGTTTGAGTACAAACAACTCACCAAAAGTTGGAAGGTTGATTTCGCAGATGTTTATTGCACGAGGACCATTGATCTCAGTTACTTGAACATCCATGCCACCATTGGGTGTAGAGGATGCAGTATCTAAGCCAATCATGCTGAGAAAGCGATTAAATTTACTTGTTTGCTGCCTCGGAATCCCTTCGATTCTCTGTTTCAAACGATGCATATTACAGAAATGTTCTATGGTTGTCAAGTGCTAGCAGATTAGAAACAAAGAAAATTGAGATATATTGTGGTTTGAAAAGTTGAAAAGAAAAAATGGAAGGACAAAGTTCACACCTTTGAAAACTTGGCAACATGACTGGGGAGCCCTACTTCCTGCGAGAGAGAAAGATAAGAAATAAGATGTCAATTATTATACTTGTAGTATAATAAAATGTTCCGGTCAAAACCAAATAAATTCCACCCATACAAAACATAAAAACCCAAAAGTTTCAGAATAATTTGGTGACCTTCTACCTTTCTTCCATGATCACAAGCATCATTGCTGCTCACAAGCACTCTGGCTGCCCATCTGTTGACAAAAGTTGGAAATTCTTACACTATAAATTCCAAACTACAATATCAAACAGTTTACTTATTCCTCAAAAAGGAAACTTTTTGACATCTACAAACAATGGGTTTTAGCTTTGAGGCCCAATGATAGGGAACGTGCTAAGTTATAAGGTTGACTGACCCAACAATAATAATACAAATATATATACACATAATAGTTGAAAAAACCAGGCCTTGTGGAACTGGGACAAAGAAAACTTCTCCACAGATTTGGGCCTGCTATATATATATATATATATATTGGTACTATAGAAATTTGAACCAGAAAAAGAGATAAAACAGGAAGAGAGAAGATGTTAAACATACGCGCAGGATGTTGGAGGGTTCCACACGATTCCCGCTATCACCACTAGCTGTGGATAGAAAAAAACTATTATGAACTGACTGATTGGACTTACAAAAGCAGCTTATCAACTATTTTTCATTTCATCAGATGACTAATTAATCACCAGAAAACTGATTCAGAACTTCAAAAGGCAAAATTTAAAAACTAATTATAACCTCATCGAATGCCCCTGCCGGACTTTCTTCGTAGTTGGCAAGAAAAAACCCTCCAAGAGTATACCTGTAGCGGTGAAAAATGAAATTCTTGCCTTCAAAATGAATTACTTCATAATGAACATCTAGATATTATCAATATTATATGTACCCAAAAGCTTCAACTAATCTAAACTCTTTTGGAATGAATGTTCGAGCTGTTTCTGCTTTCACAAGGTGAAGCTGGTACAAGGCACTGAAATGACCATTCCCATCATTAAAAATAAAATAATTAATAATATCAAACAACCTCCATGGTTGTTACTGATATGTAATGAAAATTAATTAACAGAAAAGAAAGAAAGAGTTGGGGCATAGACATAAATACCTGCCTTTGAATACCCAAGGAGGCTTGCCGTAACCTGAAGAACATTTTGTTTCTGCAACTCCCATGATTTCAGATATATATGCAGTGTATTTTGCAAGACCTGGAGATGCCAATATATACAGCAATTCAAACTCCAAACCACGATACCCAACGAAATGCAGTAACTTCCATTCTTTTATTTGACTAAAAAACTTCATAAACAATTAACAGATCTTGTTCTTCTGCATTGCCCTGTAGTATCATATTTACTTCGCAACCAAAGAAAATTCATCTTCGTACTCGAGATTTGAAGGAATTAAATACACGCATGAATACTATCCTATGAAAAATCAAGAAATTTTTACACCCAGATGCTTCAACTTTAGGATTAGAACGCAGTTGTTATAGAGAAACTAAACTCGCAAGAATCCAATAAACTAATGGAAGTTTAGCACACAAGAAGAGACCGGGAAGTAGACATAGATATACCCAAAAAACAAAGCAGTAATCTTATCATATAATGAACATAAAAAAAAAAAAAAAAAAAAAAATACCGGAGATTTGAAGGAATTAAATACACGCGATGAATTACTATCACTATGAAAAATCAAGAAATTTTTACCAACCCAGATGGCTTCAAACTTTAGGCATTAGAACGCAGTGTTATAGAGAAAACTTAAACTCGCAAGAATTCCAATAACTAATGGAGGTTTAGCACACAAAGAAGAGACCGGGGAAGTAGACATAGATATACCCAAAAAACAAAGCAGTAATCTATATTATAATGAACATTAAAAAAAAAAAAAAAAAAAGAAAGAGAAAGAAAAAAAAAAAAAAAAAAAAAGAAAGAAAGAAAGAAAGAAAGAAAGAAAGAATTTCCGTTACTTGGAAAGTGAGAAGTGGCTAGTGGAAATTGTGGATATAGCTGACAGTGGCGTGAAATTCAGTAAAATTTGAGTGAAAGATGCAGAATTTATGGGAAAGAAAAAAGAGAGAGAAACTAGATGGAGAAGTTAGGCAGTAGGAGGTCGTGAGCTAAGCAATCAGAAACAAGCGCAAGTGGATAGGCTTTATCCATCCATTCATTTCATTTTTATCAGAATAATAATAATTCCTTACGTGAGCTTTTCATTGGCGCCAACCGGATTTAACAATACCATCAACAATACATTTACGAGATTGATCCACTTTTATTTATATAGTTATTTGAAAACTTTCAGGAAAAAAAAAAAAATTTAATCAACTAAAATTATGATTTAAACCCAACTTGGTGTCATATTTTAATCATTAAATATTATATTTACTTTTTTCAGATATTTCCAATATAATTATAAAAGATGTAATCTACAACAGAATTAATATTATTAAATCATAAGACAGCCTTCTGAATGGCAAGAACAGAACCTGATCTGATGATTCAGATATACAGCTACCGCCAACTATCCATCAATAGGAACCCACTCAATTTTAGAATTCCATTTCAGGAGTTTATAAAATGTAATGGAATTAGGTTGCCCTAAAACTAACACCTGGCATGCTATTGCTGCTTTAGCAAATGAGAAATTTGGTGGTTTTTTGAATAATTAATCAATTTTAATTCTGTGATAATCTAGTTTAAGCAGATTGTTTTTCTTTTTCTTTTTTTTAAAAAAAAAAATGGAAAAACCAAAAAAGTTAAAGACAGTCCTCCAAAATGGACGCATGCCTTGACCCATCAAATCACAAGCCAACATACGATATAGTTAATATCAGACGATGACAGGACGACTTTCGTCGAATCGACCGACAGATTTCTTTTAGGGTATGTAATTGTATATGAAGTCTTGGTTTCTTTTTTTCTTTCGTCTTGGACCCAAATGGGCTTTGACTTTATCTTAATCAATATTTGACTAAACCAAAACCAAGAGAGGCTATATTTATTTTCCCAGTGATCAACTCAAACATGTCCATGGGCCTAAAAGCTCTGCCCATTAGCAACTGAAGCTTGTGCTACCTATTTGCGAATTCCAATTCCGAGTATGGTGGAGAGGTTCTTCCATGGCGGCCAAACGGATTATCGCCGCCACCTGTCCAACCCAATTATGCTTCTCTCTGGTCCTCCTTCTTGGTTTGTGCTAATGACCTTTCCTTCTCTCTTCCTAATTAGAAGAATTAAGTTGTCATTCAACTGGGCCAATTTTGCAGCGGGAAAACGTCTCTGCTGTTCCAGTTCGCATTGAATACCGCCATAGCTGAGGGAAATGAAGCTGGCAACCCAGCAGTGATCTTCATATGCAACCGCAGCAAGTTAGAAAGCAAACCCCCTTATCTTTCTCATGTACTGCTGGATCTATTTCCCTGATTACTCTCTTGAAATTTTGTCTCCTTTTCTTTTCCTAATTTTATGGGTTAATTTTCAGGGTATTGACCCATCTTCTGATGCCTTCCAACGCGTACAGATGAAGTAAAGAACTTCTCAACTCTTTCGTACTCGTTGATGTTCCCTTTTTCCCTGTTATTATTGGTTTGTTTTTTCTGAGGTCTAAAGGTATGTGGATGATGACGAAGGGATCAAGAAGTACTTTGCTGCATTCCACCTGTATGATAAATTTCCAGCAGCTGTGATTATTGATGATTTTGGAGACTTTTTCAACGAAAGGTGTGTGCTTTATTAGTGTGAGATTCTTACCACATTTGCATTCTTTTTTTTTCCAATTGATTTTACTTTCGAAAATCTGTTAGGGTATGTCAAGAGAAATATGGGAATCCTCGCGGAAGGGACTTGGCAATGGTTCGGATTCTTGCTTTGAGCCAAAATGCAGCAATGCATGCCAAGTGAGTTTTAGTTACTAAGAAGCGAGGCTTAACTCTTATATTATAACTATTTTTATTTGCAATTGCAAGCGCTAATCTATGGTTTCTCTTTGACTAGTGAAAAAGGAAATTTCAAGCTTTTGCTTTCTGATACCCACCATGGGGACTCCCCAAGGTTGCTTTTCATCTATAAACGATGGGTTTCATCTATTTTCACCATCAAAGGTTTGCACTATAATAAAGCTGTGATTTCTGGGAAATGGATTTTTTTCGTATTGTTTGTTACTTTTGGTTGCTTACATATAAATAAGAAGATTGAACTTTAATGTTGAAGGTGATGGCAAAGGATCCTTTCTTCTGAGAAGAAACAGGAATTTGGCAAGTGGGAAATGTGAGAGGAAAAGGACTGCCAAGTACTCCATAGCTCTTCAATATTTATTTTTGGAGGGCTTCGTTGAAGATGATGAGAATAAACCAGATTGTTCCTAATTAATTCCGGCACCATATGGAATGTCGATTCTCAGTTTTCCAGACAGAAAACTATTTTTCTTTTCCATGATATGACTTGTAAAATATGTGAAAATCTTTCATAAGAAAGTCAAGACCTTTTCTATAACAATCAAGTAGTGGAAATGAAAATAATGACATTTGGATTGTAATATGAGAAGCAGAAGGTCAGAAGAAGAATATGAACATGAATGTGATGATCACCATGTAATATAAGTGCAAGCAAAACAACTACTCTAATCATTGTTGATCTTATCACTAAGACTTGCATTATTTCCAAATGGGTTGATATAACGTCACTATCAACGTCCACCCTCCAACATGACAAACTAAATACAAATAAATAAATATATTCATCCACATTAAGATTTTGCTAAAGCCCTGCCATACACGATAATAATAATTAAGCCTTAATTTCAAATCCACTATATGAATCTTTTATTAATATTATTATTATTTTCACTTTGTTCAATGATAGCAAGAAATAATAAATGTAAGGGTAAGTAATGTTTAAATAATTCAGAATAAGGTTGTAGCCGCAAACTGACAAAATGAAAGCAATGGCCTAATCTTTAGACAGAAAATAAAATGATACTGATATATTAACAGTAGGCATTTTAGACAAAGATTCGCAACCACAGCTGTAATTTGATCTTCTTTTCTTTTTCTTTTTCTTTTTCTTTTTTGTTTTCTGCTTTCCCAATTCACCCTTTTGGAGCATGCATTTGTATTTGGCCCCACTGACATACTTTCCATGCTCCCTAGGGCATGCACTCTTCATGGGGTACATTTTGTCCCACAATTCAGCAATTACAAACTTAATTTACTGCAATCAACTTTTCACTCTTAAGAACATCAAAGCATTATCACTAAAAAAATTCCTTTTCTTGAAAGAGTGAAGACACCAATCACTAAATAAAGAAGAGCAATATGTGACCTGCATCTGAAAATTTTTCTTGATTGTCTAGTTTTCTCCTGTGGCCACAGCCCCAGGCCAAAGCATGTGTATTTTATCATGCAAAATTTATGGCAAAGCTAATTAGATTAAGGTGACATGTGCAGATGGTTTGTGCATCATAAAGAAGAAATGTGTGTTCTCCATTAAACTAAGAAGCAATAGCAGAACTTCTTGTAGGCAAATCTTGCCTTTAGCACCTCGACCAAATCGGGTTTTTCAATAGGTTAAACTTCAAGAAATGGATGATCCCGGAATATTCAACTGCATACTATAATACCTGTTCGATCAAAATGACCAGGCGCTATCCTAAACATTGGCATTCTGCCTGCAAGCAATCAACGAGAACCATTCCACCATTCTAATTTGATGCAAGAATGTTAAAAGCTCCAAGCAATGCTCTAGGCCTCATGGCCCATTTGGCAAGACATCTACATGATTTTTTCAAGGTAAAAGGGCTTGTCACTTCAGAAAAGTTCTGTCCAAGTACAGACAGCCAACAGTACAATACCCCACCATCATTTTTTGAGAACACAATAATAGAGATATGTCCCACGCAGTCATTGATAAAACAGTTCTTTCTCTCGCGTAAGTAAGTCCCTTGACTATATCAATCCTCAATTACAGTCACAAGTCGTGTACACAAAACTGTATGATATGATTAGCAATACAAATTCAAGAAATAGAAACTAAGCAAAAAGGCCACAACTTTATGCAGCTATCTAAGGTCTTTTCGCAATTTGTTAACAAGTTAAAGCCCCCATCAGAATTGCAAACCAAACCTTCAAAGCAGAAACCTGATTTCCAAAATTTGCATACCACAGTTTAGCGAAAATACTTACATTCCTGTTAAAAACTGTGCAGTTGGGACAGCATGAGCACAAGTTCATCACTAGAAGGCCTATCCGCTGGCAAATCTGATAGGCATATGACAGCAATTCTAACTGCCATGAGCATCTCATCTTCTTCACCTTCTTCTCCGAGTATACTCTTGTCAAGTGCTTCCCTTGCCTCCCCGGCTTGCTGCAAATGCTGAAGCCAACGACCTAAGCTACCTCCACTAGTTGCTTCCCCAAAGAATGGGTCGGTAGGGTCTCTCCCAGTTAACAAAACACCCAATATCATCCCAAAGCTAAATACATCACTCTTATCAGTATACCTAGTCAAATTTGGAAGAAAATCACCTTTATCAGAATTCAAGGTGTGATTAAAACGGAAAAAAAATAAAAAATAAAAAAGACAAAAGAATGGAAGGCATACATCTCAAGAACAATTAAAGCTAGAGAAAGGCCAATCATAGATTCGAAACAACTAACTGATATCAAGAAATCCCATAGAGCAGAATTAGTGGGGACCAAACTTCTTAAACAGACTTTCTTTTCAATTAACAAAGCGTATATCTTTCTCATAATACAGAAAACAATAGAAACACTATTAAATAGAAAGAAGTCATGGAAAAAATAGCGTCAATGAACTGCCACTTAATGTGGGTATATCTTGTTGTTTACAGTCTATATTTAATGTTGAGGGATGAAAAATGCTATGCCATCAAGTTGCATAAAACGCAGAAACTTTAAGCTTAAAAGGGAAACCATAAACACATAATCAATAACAACGAAGTACAATTAAGTTGCTGATTAGAAATGCAATAATTAGCATATACGTAAGTTTAATTAGACTTAAGAGAGGCATTGATATCAAAGATGAAGTTTAACCACCATAATCTCAGAAATGACCAATATTGCAAAGGATTTTCCATTAAAAATAAAGTTGTAAATATAAATAAGAAATTTATGTACCTGGAATTCTGGAGACATTCAGGAGCGCTGTAGCCAGATGTGGCTCTATCCAAATTGGGCATGAGCTTAGCCAATCCACAATCTGCCAACCTTGGCTCAAATTCAGCATCCAACATCACATTTGTAGGCTTCAAATTAAAATGCAAAATATGAGGGACACATTCAAAGTGAAGATATCGAAGCCCCTTAACAACCCCAACTGCAATCCGAAGGCGAACTTCCCAACTGAGCTGCAACTGATTGTCTCTCACTCTATTCATTGCATCTTCAAGACTACCAGTTGGCACAAAATCGTAGACCAGAGAAAACCTATCAGATTCTCGAACATAAGCTCTTAAACTCATCAAATTCCTGTGTCTCAAGCTAGCTAGTCTTTCTAACTCCCGCTGTATCCTTCGCTTGAGAGACTTGCTTTGCCTCTCCGGCGAACCGCTCTCAAATGGTTCTAGCCTCTTGACAACAACTGTGAGCCCATTGTCTAAAACCGTCCTGTAGTATTTACCGTTTGAGCTGGAACCCAGCAACTGGTTTTCGCTTGCAAGAGCTGATTGAAGAGTTTTGGGAGCGATTTTTGGAGAAAATATAACAGGGCCTTTGAGGATTGGAGTTCGGTTCATATAACGAATCAAACAACGGACCGCAAAAGCGCAAAGAATGGTTCCTGTTAATCCAGTTAAGACTCCTAAAACGATACTAAGAAGGATCCTTTTGAGCCCTGAACTGAAATGAGGAGGTCTAGAAGGCGATGGAATTTCAGTAGAGAGGTGTCTTGTCCTTTTAGTCCTACTTTCTTGGCATTGTACCAATATGGGGTGAAAGCAAAAACTCAACAACAAAAGCATAGCTGTGACTTTGGTGGTGGTATGTTGGGGACTGTATCTTCTTTTCTCCATAGGACTAATAAAAGCCCCACAAGCACAAAGATCCTCCTATAAATGGAAGCAGAAGCTCAAAGCCAAAACAACCGTGAAAGTGCAAACCAACATCTTCAATCCAGAAACTCCATTTTTAGTCCAAGACCAACACTCCACCGGCATCAAGTTTCAATTTTTCCAATCATAAAAGTCAAACTCAAAGTAGCTTCAAAATGAACAAGAGGTTTAACGCCACTACCTCCTTTTTGGGAGGAGGGAGCTACCCGAAAGCAAATATAGATAGAGTTGAGTGACTGAGCTAGAGGAAGGCTTTCAAGTGCTTCGAAATGATAAGGAATAGAGCATATGGGATAAAAATCGAATTTTAACTCAATATCTTCGCAAGAAAGACGCTAAAGAATCACATCTCCATCGATTCCCATTTCTCTGAGGCTAAAGTCGTGACCTTTCTACATGAGTTTGGCATCCAAAGGTGAAAAACGCTCAACAGTAAAAAACTGGCAAATTAGTGAGAGAGGTGTATACCAAAAAAGAAGACGCAAAAATTCAATCTTGCCTCATTGCAAATATGCAGGAACTTGGAGCGAGGAGGAAGAAAGAGTCGTATTCTATGTTTCCTTTGAAGCAAAACAAAAACCCAAATAATTTCTTCATGAAAATGAGAAGACAAGTCCTGATATAGTAGGTGAGAAAAGAAACACGCTCACAGGCACAGCTACCAGCCTGCGCCTCTTTCTGTCTCCCTCTATCTATCTCTTATACGGAGAGGGTAAGGGTAGTCACATAATGTATATGTTCTCAAAATAAAATAATAGTGCAATAATTTGAAAAAAAAAAAAAAACTGTTTGGTCGTATTTACAGAGTACAGAATACAGAGGAGTGCGTGGAGGTGGGATTGGGAAGAGGACCATTCTTCTCTCTGGACGAAACAAGGGGTCCCCTTAACCTTCCCGCCTTTCAGAGTGAGGAGATGACCTCCTCAAGAGAGGCGGGGTCCATTGCCACGTCGACAGAAGAGTCGCCTCATGTCCCTATCACGAGACCGAAAGAGAAACATCGAACCGTGTGCGACAAGGAGGATCACCAGCATCATCACCGTTGGTGGAGCTGTTGATGAAATCCGGACCGTTAATATTGAAGCAAGGGAATTTGTGCGAAACTAGGATTTTGGTATTTAAAAATAATAGTGAATAAAAAAGGGGTGTCTTATCGTGGGATTAGTAAAGTTTATAGCTTTTTGATGTGAGAATAATTGCTTTCCATTTCCACTCCACGTTTTTTCTAAACATGTTCATTATTCATTCATATTCATTCAATAATCTGAGTTGTATATCTTTTACGTCTTTTATTCTAATCTCTCTCTCTCTTTTTTATTTTTTTAATACAACTGCTTTACAAATTTGGTGCATCTTGGTTTGTCTACAGGGACGTGGAAAAGAGCGGCACCTGCGTACGTGTACTTCTTTTAAGGAAAATGGGTTTAAACCTTTTTTTTTCCCTCGCCGTTCACTGTGCAGTTTTTACTGCATACAATGAAGAAGTATATTATCAGTTTCAGCTGAAAATTGACCCTAAATCAAATCAAATCAAATCAGACAAAGAATCTTTCAAAGGTTAATCCAAAAATTGAACATTTGATATATACTGTAATAGTTGTGAAATTATTTGAAATAGCGCCTGATAATATCTATTTTTGATTTGTTACATTACATGTATTGAAAAATAGAAAATACTTTCTTAATTGAAGAAAACTGCATCATTCTAAAAGAAAACAACTTTCTATTTAAAAATGAAAAGTCCTTTCACATATCATATTATAGAATAAAAGAGAAAAAAGGAAAAAAAAAATTAAGTACCAGAATAAATATAGTCATCATCTACCTCTTAATCCGCTGACCATCCAAGTGTCAACTATCATATTCTTAAATATTAACTTCGTATTCGAAACGTAACATTCTTATACTTGCCACATTTTAATAAACTTGCAAAAAAAGAGTTCCAATGTAGTTCAGCAAAAAAAAAAATACAATTCCAAAGAAAAAAATAATATTCCTAGAAAAAATTATTTTTACAAGTTAATTTTGTGAAAATAACGGGTTTAATGTAATATCATTACCTATAATCCCCACAAAAAAAAAAAAAAAAAAAAAAAAAAAAAAAAAAAAAAAAAATAAAAGTGCAAATACAATTTTCACCACAGTTTGGTAAAAAAAAAAAAAAAAAAAAAAAAAAAAAAAGTGCAAATAATTTTCACCACAGTTGGATAGTCTGAAACGCATAAAGAGAGAAAAATCAAACAATGCATTCAGGGGATTACAGCAACAATAGCGCTTCACTAAAATAAACCAATGTACAAATACACAAATGCCCTAAACTAAATCCTCACAGCTCCACCGCAAAAGGAACCAAACAAAGCTGATTAGGCAAAACAAATCACATTACAAGAGCCCCTTTGGCCGAAAGCTTCAAGCTGCTATCAACTCGGAATGGGGGCAGTATAAAGATGTAACCCTGACCCTGAGGGACTAATTTGCATACATACCTTTGGGGCAGGCATGCCAACCTACCACCGTCCTCTTCTGTTTCAAACATTGCTCACATCTTCAATGGATAACCCAGCTCTTCAACTTACAAAATATACTTACATAAAAAGCAATACCATTATCAATTTCCAACTCCCTAACCTCAATTGTAATTGGCCTTTAATTATTTGTCTTTTCTAAGCATGTCACCCATTTGAGTCGGACAGCATCGCAAGCACATCCGTGTCAAAATTTGACCCAATTGCAAGCTGATGCGGTGTTTTACCCTCCACATTGCAAGCCCGAGGATCTGCTCCCCTGTATATGCATTACCACCCTTGAGTACATGTCATAGAAATCCATATTCTTTCACTTTCTTTTGTCTGTGTGTGCGTGTGTGTGTCTGTGTCTGTGTGTTTGTTGTGTAAGTTATGTGTACGTACACGTCAAATGCAGATGATAAGAATTGATAGGTATTTACACAGTGACTTCCAAAATCAAGAGAAGACAAACTAATAAACAGCTTAAAAATATGACAGTGAGCAGCAGTAAAAGTCACCTTGAAAGGAGCAACTTTGCAAATGCAGCTTTGCCTCTAAGAATACAACGGTGCAATGGCGTCTGACCTCTTGAGTCGGTAGCATTTATATTTGCTCCATACTGTAAGAGGAGTTCTAACATGCCAATATCTGCAGTTTCACAAGCCAGGTGAAGCAAGGAGCAGCCATCTAGATCCTCCAAGATCTGACCTTCACCTGTACCAGCCAAATTTAAAGAGCTTGTGGAGGACCTATCTAATGAATTCCCTGTTGAGCAGCTAGAGCAGTGATCAAGGCCTGTCTGCTCTTGCAGTAGCATCACTTTAGCAAGAGTTAGAGAAGAGCTACTTGATGATTGGTCATACATAGCATTGACATCTGCTTCATTATTAACAATAAGACGGTACACAGATTTCTTGTCATTAACACGAACAGCTTCCCACATCTGTTGTGACACTGAATGAGGATATTGACTCTCTCTAGGTTTGCGAATAAAAAGCTTTTCTGCATACTGTGAACCCAAAAAAAAAAAAAAAAATCTCTAGGTTTTGCGAATAAAAAGCTTTTTCTGCATACCTGGGTGAACAAAAAAAAAAAAAAAAGAAAGAAAGGAAAGGACAAAAAAATTCAGCTAGTCAATTTAAAACCTTAATGATCAATCATCTCTAAGTTTTCGTTTTCCAAAAAAAAAAAAAAAAAAGAAAGAAGGAAAGAACAAAAAAATTCAGCTAGTCAATTTAAAACCATGAGCAATCATCTCTAATTTTTCGTTTCTTTTTTTCTTTTTTTCTTTTTTGAAAAAAAAAAAAAGGGGTCAAAATCAGGCTAGAGGCTAAACCTTTGCATGGATAAACTTCTCTTTAACTGATATAGAATCACCAGGACTGGGCTTTCCAATAAAATGCAGCTGTGATTTATCAGGCTTGTATGAACTTCACCAGCAGAATATTAAGGAATCTTAGCAACAAATGATAAAATCAATTGTTTGACTGGCAATAAAAAGAATATTTATTTGGATTTAAAAGGATTCCTTACCCTGCGGGGATGAGATCGACCTGAAAGGTACTTCTTGATTGCAATAATTCCTCCCAGACTGAGTTTGCAAATGCGTTTCCTAAAGACTGAAACAAACTTAAAACAGAAGGCTCCCATACTTTGACATCAAGTGTGAGGGACCTTACCTGCAATTAAATTCAGAACAAGAATAAAAGTGGCACTAAATGACAGGGAAGTACTAATACAATTACCAAACAAAGAATTAATTTATAAAAGAAGCAGTTCCAATGATAGCATCCTATATGACAAAACATGCCAAAATAACTTTGAAATTTGTATCGCTACATGGACGAATGTCAAATCTACAAATCTTGTTATCATAACTTAACGCAGCTAGCTTAATTTATTTAAGAAGATATGCACAGAGAAACTTGGGCCAGTATGGGATCTGCTAAACGACAATCTTCAGATCAAACACAATAACTATACAGTTGAATGCATTAAGCAAAGGACAGTCCACCTAGCAAATACCATTCACACATAATGCCCAGTTTTTTGAAGGAACATTAGGTAGCTTGTAGTGGATCTTGCAAAAATATTGGCCCATAACACTGTCCAACTGAGTTTGATGGTGAGATGTACTCAGTAATGCAAGCATGCCCCACACAGAAACACTGTGAAGAGACCAAATCATCTGCATTGAATAGTGTACCTTCGATATGTGTACACCAAGATTACGGTGAACACCAGAACACTCTATGCAAACAAGAACACCAAGATTTAGGGATGCCCAATCTGGCTCCAGGGCGCCACAATCAGCACATTTATCATTCCCGCGTACTATTTGCAACACGTCAATTGGCTTCTCCGCATTGGATCGTTGCTGTTGTGAAATTCTCAATGGTCGTTCATGATGTCCACCAGCAAGGCTCCTCTCACATGTAAATTCATCAACGGCAGAGTGGTCAAAGTCAGCACTTTCAAATGAACTGCTCTCACTGGCAGACCGATGATGACCACTTCCCATGGGACTAGCAGGCAGACACTGAAATTTAAATGGACCATTAACATCAAAATGACTAGTAATTAAAAGCAAAATATGATGGATTGATATTCAAAATTACCCTTTCTGGAGCCTGAGAACTGAGAAGTGAAGCAATAACCCCTGTTATCTTTTCAATCCAATCCATTTGATCCAGTGCACTCTCTGCCTGCACTGACAAGCATAAATGGACGTTATTAAGGATCTATTGCTGAAAAATAGCCCAAATTATATGTCAGTTCACACAACCCAGGAGGATCATTGATGGAAACTATATTTCCTGCAGCATAATCTAACCTAAACTCAAACATTGATATATCAAACATCATACCTGCAAGGTGTAGTTTTTTGTTGGTGAAATAATCCTGAAGCAAAACCGCAGGTCTGACTGGTCAGCGTCAACCTTTATTGTGGATGTAAGAAGGTTCACAGTGTGGTGAGCAACAGATTTTTCATCATGCACTCCACCATGATAATGAGAAGAAAGCCACCGACTCAACAGTCCAGTTCCAAGCTCAGAACTATTCCTTTGACCAGAATGTTGACTACCAGAGCCCTAGAAAGACATAAAGCACAATGATAAAGGCAGAAATTTTCAAAAAATAATTTATATAAACCTGAAAAAGAAGAGGAAGAGTGAGCCTCGTGCTGTGTACATTTCCTTTTTCAGATAAAATCACTTACAGATGATTTGCTGCATTGTTTGCGATAGTAATACAACATTCCTCGGCTATCAAGAACAAAAAACCTCCTTTTCCAGTCACCTCGCAAATTTGAGGAACGTTTTGACAGATATCCTTGTCTGATGGTTTGAACCTGAAAGTTTGCTTCTCTATTAGAACTAGACACCCAATGAACAAATTGAGCTCCTCTTGAAGTATCTATGTACCTTTCCCTTTGCAGCAGATTGCATAACTGCCTCTATCATTTTATGCGAACTTCTGCCGATGGCTTGGATACCATCTCCATTAGGAGATCCACTAGAACCATTGGAAGACCATCTGCTTTCACGGTCAATCTGCCTTTTGAACTCTTGCATCTTTTCATTGAGAGCTGCCTGCTCATAGTTGGACCTCTCCCTTGATTGTTGAGCATAAGTCAAAACCTGTGAAATAACAAGTGGTTTACTCTTTTCCATGAGTCAATGAAGCAAGTCCTAGGTAGAATATTTTGGCTGACTACATAAAACTTTCAAGTTATTTAACAAGTTGATCAATAACCTATCCCAACATCTGTAGGAACTAAGGAAATAAACATTCAGGCATTAGCTTTTCAGATAACAAAAGACTTTCATCAATTTCTTTATATATTCCCAATTTGTCAATATCCCAACATTTAGTTCTATAACCAACTAACAGAGCGTCACCTAAAACAGGTCATCACATTAACTTTCTCAGCCATCTTAGCATCCGAAAACCCCAATTTATACCATTAAACAAGACTGTAATGTAGTGAGCCAGAGAAAGCTTTTCAATTGAAAGTGTATTGTGCAACATAATAACACAAACATCTTAACCAATTTAAAGAAAAAAAATTATACCAAACCTGATTTATATATGGCTCCATTTGATGCAACAATTCATATCCCTACAGCAGAAAGAAGGTCTGTAATAAGTATATAGCTAACGAAGCATGTTGAAGAGGCAGAGGAGTCGTATCATGCTATATACCTGTTTGAAGTAACGAAGATGTGCATCCATTGTCCCACTGACAGCCTCTAAGAATTCAAACCTCTTTTTTGCTTCAACATTTGAAAGAGCTGTCACCTAGAGAGTGAGCAAATTATTGACTTAACAACAATGTTAGCAAAATGAATAATTATGGTTAAAACAGTTCGTTTGGGATGTGCACTCACTAGATTAAAACGAGCTTGCTCAAATGCAGATCTTGCAGTATGAAGCTCCTGATATATGGCAAACTATATTAGCATAAAGGCAACCATGGATAGGCTTATGCTCATATACAAATAACAATATGTTACAAAATACCTCCTCCAACAGAGTAGCCACATCATTCTTTGTGCCCTTCCTCAATGACAGAAACTTCTCACGGGCCTATAGCATAGCAAGAAAGCTAAAACTAATTAACCAAGATCACAATTTTCACCTGTTCATAAATGAGTCTGATTCCCAATAGGGTTGAGAATCCCGAATATAGTCCAAGTTTGGAGATTTTGAATTTAAGGAACTAAAAAGTGAATCCTATCCTACCGCAGGTAATTGTACAATTTGGCTAACTAAGCCAGTTCAACAAGTTCCTATCACATCCTTACAAAAACCCGAGCCATGCAAAGATTTGGAAAAGCTCAGAGTCCAAAACTCTAGTATAATTGAAATCTTACATCTCAAAAAATTAATCATTTTTTTAAATACCTAAATGTATGATCAGTGAGTTTCTCGCTTCTGCTAGATCCAACTAGCCTAGAGCAATTGCAAGTATTTTAAATTATATTTGACTTTATGTTGCATAAGAGTTATCAAGGACAAAGATAACCTAGCCACGTGCAAATGATACCAACTGCAATGAGAAAACTATGAGCAAACTAACAAGAGGGAAGCACCTGATCATAAAGAAGGCTAGCCTTGTCAAAACGCTTCCTTGCTTCCTGCACAAATATGAGATATTTCAAGATACAAACTAAAGGAACATCTATGAAGTGGAGATAGTGGCAGGGATGGGGATATCAAAAAGAAGGAACTTTATAGCAGAAAATTTGGTTGGGCAGGGGGGGAGGGGAGCACGGGGGAATTTGTGGCAATCAATTTTCAAAACACCAAAATGCCAAACAATAAAGTTAATGAAGAAAAAGTGATCAAATCACTTTGCTGCAACATTGCAGAATGAATATTCTGCAACAACTTGTACATATTTTCCCATATGGTTGCATATTGGATGTTAACTAACATATCGTGGCAGAAATTGGGACACCACAGTACCTTGACCTCATGCAAATCAATATTGACAAATTGTATTAATCTGTCATTCAGCATATGCTCCACCTGAAAAGAGAAACCAAAAGAATCTCAGGCCAGAAGAGAACAAAATTTAAACTTGTAAATATAAAGCTTTTGTTCTCAAAATTAAAAATAATTAACACAAATCATCATGCTCCAAGTTCCGTGTACGCTATTATTTTTCCAAACTGAAAGTGCAAAATGGACCAAAGAATGAACCACATCAAAATGGTCTAGATACTCCCTCCTCTTGATCTGATTATCACTTTTATTAGCTATCAATTGCAAAGGAGTCAGTTCCTCAAGAACTGCTTTCCTGAACTAATCAATATTTGGTGCACCACCAATTTGACAATTCACCAAAGCACATATCTGCTTGAAAGCTCCATTTGATTTCAAGGCAAAAAAATAAAAGACAACTCGTTAACCTATCACAAAGTTGAAGCCATATTTCTGCAAATCCCGGGCTTGTCATATTCTCCTCCTAGTTACTTTAAAAGTGAAGACATGCAAGTTATTTCTCATACCTCAAAAGCAAACTATAATAACAATAGAACTTATAAGAATATACTGAAAGGTAACAACCATTTTATACGCACAATCAACTTGGGTGAAATTTTTGAAGCACTGACACTTAGGTCTTAAATATATACCCAAGTCAGACAATTCTCCAACACAACACAAAAAGGCACACTTCTGACATGGTGTCAGGCTTTTTTTTAAAAGATATATCCTTGTCAATATGTCCATATTATATCAATGTCCTATCCTGTGTCTGTGTACATACCTTTTTATAGGATATCATGTTAATGAGAAGATTAAGATATTGAAATGCTTTCAACAATTAGAAAATTAAATTGCCCTCCAAAATAGCAGTTTAAAAAACTAAGAGTCCAAGACACCTGGTGAACCAGTAGAGAATACCATCAATATAAAAATTACCATAATGTTTTGCAAAACATAGAAAGAACACACATAAGATTCACCTGCGATCGAAGGACTTCCTTGTATGTCCCAATTTCTCTCAAGGCTATGGTAAATTTGGTCATAACAGGACCTATATTAGCAAACAGATATTCCATCAACAATTCCACCATCTAAACTAGAGAGCAACCAGCCACAGGTAACTCATCACATAAAATATTATTTCTGTTTTTTCTTTTTCTTTTTATTCTGTTTCTTTGGGGGGTAGGAGTCACACTGAATAAAATAGCTTACAATCCAAAATTACCTCCAAAAGCCACACTGATAGGATCATTATGCCCTCCACCAAAAGTTTCTAGAGCACTAGCGAAGGCAATGTCTCCATCATATCCTTCTCCTAATCCTTCACTGTAAGTTAAGAAAAAATGCATGCATATAAAATACACATGGTTTTTAAGCTTTTACAACGGGAGAGAGAGAGAGAGAGAGAGAAAGAGAGAGAAGGAGAGGAAAGCCACTAAAATGCACCAAAAGAGAAAATGAAGACAGAAATCAATACTGATGAAGGGCATATATAATGTCTATGCAACTAGTTATAAATACACAAAAAGAGAATGAAGACAGAAATCAGTACCACTTAAGAGCATATATAATGCTTATGCAACTAGTTAAAAACCCTACGAGAGTAGTACAGTAATTTAGCATCTTTTTTTGATTTATGTAATTATAACATGTTGATGATCAAAAGGCATGTTTACAGGTCAAGGAAAGAAACAAACATATGACACAAGAGAGGGAGATTCCATCACCTCAGAGATTTAAGATTCTATCATATGAGGACTGTGTCTATGATTTCAATCAAAGCAAAACACTAATTCCAGTTGTCATCATATAAGGATTATATAAAACCAAGGGCTAGATGAGACATTCTTATAGATATTTAATTGAAGTGAAAGGACATACGTATACTTCCGACATCCTTTGTAGAACTTTAAACTTCTGTCTCTTAACAATTCAGCACTTTCCTCCAAGGATTGTATCTGTTTCACCAGATAAACTATCAGTTGATTGATATTATTCTACATATAAACATAACCATGCCACCATTAACTCCCAACTAGTAATGCTAGTGCACATAGCATTAGGAAGTAGCTGACAATCTCATACAGAATGCTGTGCAAAGGCAACTCATAAAATTAATAGTAGATAACCTAGAGAATGAAGACGCTACATATTGGGAAAAAAAAAAAAAAAGGGAGAAGCTTGAAATAAGTGAATAGCTCCTCACATACGCAAATTAATATGGTAAGCGAACAGCTAATAACTCATGTAAACCATCACAACCATTTACTGCCGACTCTCAACTCAATAAATGCAGAGCTTCTATATGATTTCATTGGAAAAAAAAAGTAGCCAATTACAAAAACAACCGCAATGACCGATTTAATTTTCATTCAGCAAACAATATTGCTCTTTCTATGGAAATAATAAAATGAGCTTTCTTAAAACCATATTCTTACCGTAGTTAAGTATCAAAATATATAAATAGGAAATCATATAAACAATGATTTGGCTCAAAAGGAAACATAATCACAAAATCTAGGGAAAGTAGCTTTCAAAAGAATTGAACTATGAAAATGCACGTACTTATACCGCTCGTTCCATCTATTGTATTTTATTTTATTAAAATTAGCGGATGGGTTTCGAATATCGTTTAAAGCGTTAATTCAGCTTAACAAACAAGGAAATAACAAAAGGAAGAACCGAGAATATACATCTTCTACTTTAAACAGAGAAAACACATATCCTTGCGTTTGAGAATCCAACAAAATGAAGATAACAAGGAGATTGAGAGAAAGAGAGAGATACCTGCTTGCGAAACATAGGAGAGTCGTCGAGCTTCGCGAAATGCATTTTTGAGACAGCGGTTCTTCCTCTTTCCGATTAATTCCTACAACCATTCCAACAATGCTCGATCTTGGCAGCCTGAAGCTAATATAATGTCATAACCACCTTCAATCATCAAAATTAAGCTGAGATCTTGGCTCCTTAACCGATCCTAACGATAATCACCTGCTGTACCAAATAACAAACCGAAAACGAAATATAGCTCGACTAATTTAGACAATTAACAACGGCGCCTGTATGAGCTCGATTAGCGGGCTTCCCGAGCTTTAGCCTTTTTTTTCTTTTTTATTTCCTTGTTTGTTCTGGTTTAAAAACCCTAGGAGAGTACAGTACAGGCAAAGATGGCCAAGGCAAGAAACCCTAGAATGGGCAGGAAAACATGATAGAATTTGGATTTAGGAGGTCGTGTTTATGGAGTCTTGGGAATTGAGTGGATCGATTAGGCGACTTCATTAACCAGAAATTCGAAACCAAATGCGAGAGAAGGACACAAGCATAGATAAAAGCGCAAAACAGAGAGCCCTTTTTTCCTTGTATTTTTTTTTTTTTTTTTTTTTTTTTTTTTACGTGTTTTATGAGTCTTGGGAAAATTGAGTGGATCGATTAGGCGACTTCAATTAAACCAGAAATTCGAAACCAAATGCCGAGAGAAGGACACAATGCATAGATACAAGCGCAAAACAGAGAGCCCTTTTTTCCTTGTATTTTTTTTTTTTTTTCTTTTTTTTTTGTTTTCCTTTTTTTTTTTTTTTCTTTTTTTTTTTTTTTCCTCTCCTTTCTTTTGCCCTCCCTTTTTGAGCTTTTGCGAGGCAAAATTTAGGAGATGGCGATTTTAACAGAGTAGATAGTGGAGCTATATCAAGCATAGGCAATAACAACATCGTTAGGAGTAAAACGATGTCGTTTGAGTCCCTTGAAAGAAGAGTTGCTGGCTCTGAGCCACTGACAATGGTTACCTTTACACCATCATGAAAAACGAGGACGATCGGTTTTACCAACGCAACTTACCGGCGCGTGTAGGAAAAATCTTAACGAGGAGAGAGGACCAACCGACTATTGACTATTAACATTGAGATTCCAACTTCTATAGTGCCAAAAATTTAGATTAGTAAAAATTAATTATGTAATTTGAAATTAAAGATTTATTTTGGTTGTTATTGTTATAAGTTATTGGTCTTTTGACTATTAATATATATTCATTTATATTTTTTTTTCTTTTTTCGTATATGATAGAGAAAAAAAAATTTAATAAATTACTGATCAAATATCAACTAAAATCAATTATTGATATTTCTTTTCAATTGCAAAATTGATTTTTAACTTGCCATCCCCGTTTATAAGCCTATAATATTGGAAAATCAAAATCAATAAAAAAAAATTATGTTTTTTAACTATTATTCAAATTGTTGTGTTCACTTATTTAAAAAAATTAAAATATTATTTAGAATGTCAAATGTAATTATTTATAATTGAATACCTATAATGTCAAATATTAATAAATAAATAGATATTCTTATATAGCATGTCTTTCAGAATATATTATTTTTAGAAAAATTTTTTACTTTAAACCAAAAGAAAATCCTTTTGATTTGAAAACAGTATTTAAAGATATGTATAAATATAAAAAATTAAAAATTTTGGCTATCACAGATGTAATAATAATTATCTCTTGCATATTGCATATAGAATGGAGAATGGAGAAAGCTCCACGAATTGCCATGACGTGGAAAAGAGTATCGCTCAGAGCGCGTGGTTGGTTGTCATCGAGTCTGAAGATGCTTCTGTAATGCACACTCAGCACTTTGAAGTAGTGTGGGCCCAATCCAAACTTCCCTCCATTACTAGCTTGATCGACACGATAAAATGAAAGTCAAGAAAAAGGAAAATAAATAAATAAATAATTAACAAAAATTAGACTACTTACTTATAAAATAATGCGACAGCGAAATCACTCTCATTACATGAAAAATAAAGAAAATATATAAATAAATAAATATCTTGCAAGTGGGACCCGCGAACTGCTCCACTGGACGCACGCCTCGCTTACATTCCTATTACCTGTTAATATCATTTATCCACTTTGCCACGCCATACGCTTTTCATTGTGAAATTCCATAAATGCATCGAATCCATTTATAAATAAAATACCCATGCAAAAAGATCCATTTTCATTCTAATTTTTATAAATGCATCCAATCCATTTAAAATTTTATTTTTATTATTTGAATTTATTTCATTTCTCATTATAAATATTAGGCTGATACCAAAATACGATTTAAAACTAATATTTCATTTTATTTTATTGAGAGTCTATTTCTTTTTTTAACTTTCTGAAAATAAAAAATAATTAAAAGTCATCGAAATCATATTTTGATTTGATAAAAAACAATACTCTATTTCTCTAATAGGTATAATTATAATCATTAATAATATTACAACAGTAATTAAACAAATAACAAGGAGTGAGTATCCAAACTTTTTAGATTTAGTCTCAACGTGGATCATAAAAAATAAAAATACAATAGGAATCCATTCATCAAAATATATTGCATTAGAATTCAAATTGATACGCGAGTAAGCTCGATCATTTGTCAAACCTAAACTATTTATATTTATGACCAGAAAGAGATTATATTAGCTTCATTAATTAATTTTTTAAATTAATTAAAGTATTTAATAAATATATTAATGTCTAAATTGGTAAGAAAGTTCCTTATTGACAGTGAATTATGATATGAAAATAATTTCAATGAATTATATTATTGAATATATTGCAATTTATATTCATAAATAGTAATAAGTTAAACCCATTAATTTATATAAAGATAAATAAATCTCAATATGGAGATGCATTTGTCAAAGCACAATATATGCTTTTCACATTGAATAGGTAATTTTCCTAAGGAAAAAAAAAAAAAAATTGAAAGCAAGAAAAGAGAATTGAACTGTATATGATCAATATATAGAGTAGATGATAGAAAGTGAAAACAAGTAATATAATAATAATTTTTTTTTTTTTTTTTTTTTTAAAGAAAGCTTTATGGTGACATCTATGGCCTAATGTCTGTTTACTTTTTGACTGCTTGTGTTTCTTTTACTTTTATTTGTTTTTTTTTTTTGTTCTCTCATGTTCATTCAAAGTTCAAACCACTATATATGACCCACACCACTCTTTTTAAAATTAATAATAAATAAATAAATGGCTCTAAATATATGGATGTGTTAAAAATTTGAAACCAATAAAATGTAACGTCGAAAGTAAATGATATTAATTTCCATAATAGTGAAAATATAAATTCAACATATATGAATACGTAATTAATCTCATTTCGTAAATAAATATTCATTTAAAATTCTTATATATTAGAATTAGTGTTAAATTTTACAAAAACCAACAATAATGAACCAAGGTCATATGAATTAGGAACATGTGGATTGAAGTAAAGTGCCAACCAAGACCTAAACATAGATTCAGAAAAGGCAAATGATATACAAATTGGAGTGCTTATGTGATATGTCAATGAGTTCTAAAGTATGATAACAAAAATAGGAAAAGAGACCGACAGACAGTGACACCTCATACCAACGAGGAACTAAAGTAAACAATTTTCTTGCTTTATCTCTTACAATTACAGACATATGTCGTTTTTAACTTTTTATATGTTAATCCTGTAATGAAAGTCAGGAAATTACCCGAATTTGTTCAAAATTGGATTCACCCCTCTAGCCTGAATCGGCCCACATAGGACCCATCTACGGAAATGGAAATAGTGGACGATGCTAAAAAGGCCCAAAGGCCCAAAATTTAAATTACAACAACGCCCCAAATCCCAATCCGATAAAAATTTGGAAACCAACGAAGGCGGTGCCATGCCTCGTTGCTTATCGCCTCGTTAAAAAGAGAAACCGAATCATTATACTCCATAATCGCGAATGGCATCCTCAGAAGCTATGGATGATAGTTTCAGAGTTCGAGTAGAGAAGATTTTTGGATCGCTCAAGTCATCCTCGCAGCAACCGTCGTCTCTGCAATCGACTCTTTGGTCTCTCAACGACGACGAGGTAGAGAAAAGAGAATGGAGAAGAGACGCCGGTGCCTCTGACAGGGACGATGTACCGTGCTCATCGTCCTTTAATGAGTTGAAAAGAGATCGGAAGAAAAACTTTCGTAGAGCGCTTGCAGAAGATCTAGATGAGCTCGATGGTGATGACGATGAAGAATCCAATACGTTGCGCCGGAGAAGAGTGGGCTCTGATGGCGTGGATGAATGGGATATCAGATCATCAATTGGCTTGGACCGCACTCTTGATAATGAGGTAAAGTTGCGTTCTTTTGTTTTTGATGGCTTTTGGCTTTCTTTTTTTAAAAATATATATATTTTTGTGATTGTTATTGATTTGCTGTGGAAATGACCAAATCGAAGAAAGCTATTAGTCTGAGTGTCAAGAAACAACCTTGGTTACTGTTAAATGTAGCTAAAGCATCCTTATTTATAGGAGTAGTAGCTTTTCATACTAGAAGAAATTGTCTGATCGTAGGAAACAACTGTATGAGCTAGAATTTGAGTCACAAGGCCCCCATTAACCGAGAGAACACCCTCCATTTATTATTTACAAGCCATCCAAACCATCCGGATAAGATTTTTTAACGTTTAAATGTACCAAGAGTAGCATTAATATATTCAATTTGACGAAATTGATTTGTGTTTTTTCTTTTTTTGAATGGTAATTGATGTATGTTAAGTTAGGGGTTTTTCCATTTTTGTTTGTGATTTTTGGTACATTTAGTCAATAGAGTTTATGGAACGTTAAAGTTAGGCATTGCTCACCCTCATTGAATACTTTTAAATTTCAAAAGTCTCTTGTAATTGGAAGATAATGAATTAATTGTTTCAATTGTCATGTTATTTTCTTTCTTTCCACCACCTTTTTTTTTTCTTCTTTGTCCTTCTCCTCATTTGCTGGTTATAATAGAGTATGATCTGATGTTCATTCAATAAACTGGATGCAGGAAGAGGAAGATGAATATGATAAGGTGGCTTCAGGAAGAGAAAATGCTGGGGAGCGTCTCTATATGAAGAATGTCACTAATCAAGAGTCTTATTTGAACATTCATAATGTACTTCCCAAGTCATTGCGTGGTACCAAAGACCCACGTGCTAATCTCATGAAGGCAAAAATCAGGTTGCAGGAAGATGAAGCTGAGGCTCCTGAACAAAATTCCCACCTTTATTGTGATACAGAAGTTAAAGAGCTCTGTGTAAAGCCATCTCATGAAAATGGATCTCAAGTGAGATCTATATTGAAAAGGAAAGACAATAGTTCAGATTCCAAGCCGCATAAGCGGGTCACATTTGACCCAGTTTGTGACACTGTGTGCGAGGAAGAAGCAACCAAAAAAGTTGAAAATATTTCCATGGGCAGTTCCTCATTAAACAGTGTGAGATCAGATGGTGAATACATGTCAAGCCAGAATGCATATGGCGTTCCTGATTACTTACGGAATCCTTCAAAATATACCTGTTATAGTTTTAACTCATCCAGCGAAGTTGAAGAGAAATCCAATACCCAGGCTTGCATGGATTTTCTTGAGCTGGTCAAAGGTCTAAAATCCACAGGATCGGAATCAGAGTTGAAGGATGCAACAACCGACCTTCATAAGCCAGTGACTTTCATTCCTAGGAAAAAGGTGGGCCATGCCAATGCTATTAACTACTGCAGTAAGGTTGACAAACATGATGGTAATCGATCATCCCAGCAGAATGTGTTACCTGTTGGCATTGCAGCTGGGGACTCGCAAGAGTTGGAAGCTGGTGTGATGGAAGAAGATGACCCAGAAACAAATGCCATGATCAAAAGTGACAGTTCCCAGAAAGCTAACCGCATTTATCGAACAAAGTCAAGCTCAGATGAATGATCCTTGCTCTGCTTTTTTTAAGTTTCTGAAATTCTATTCAGTAGATTTCTCTACTGTAATATATTTCTGAAGTTCTATTTTCAACATGTTCAAGCGTCATTATGTTTAGTATCGTTTGGGTTTTTGTGATTGTGAAAAATGAGTTACAGTTATAAGAATTTGTATTAAATGCTAAGTTTTTCCCTTTGGACCCTTCCACATGTTTTGCTGTTCAGTTGAACGCATATTATTGTGCTTATGAATTATGATGAAATACGTCAACTGCAAGTATGTTTAATTTTGGCACTAGTGGAAGGAAGCCAATGTCTGAAATTGAAAAAGCAATGAACGTTATTAAGACGAAGCTCAGCTCTGAGCTGCCGTTTGAACATTAGATGCCTAAAACAGCATGTAACTCAAAATTTCAAAAGGTTTGTGGAGTGAATCAAAATCAAACTTAGCATGGTTTACAAAAAGCACTGCCATGTAAATTTGCATTCAAATTCAAACCAAGAGTGAGAAAATAATCAATAACCTGTACAAATCTCCCGAACATCCCGAGGAATCAAGATCCACATAAATTCCCAAGTCAATTACTAAAGAAGCAGAAATGTGGTATGTAGTGTACCCTAAAACCTATAACTTTATTACCTGTGTATGGGACCCTCTAATGGCACTAAGCCACAAAAGTGGCGAATATAAAAGAAAAAATGTTCAGAGAAAAAAATGTCAAAGCCATCTTGAATGTGATCCTAGAAAAATCTTCAAAATTAATTCACCAATACTATAACCTCAACTATCTTCTATGGAATTAGGAAAGGAGCTTTCATTATGTACAGTCTTGACTGCCTTTTTACTACAACTTATCTGCAATCTTTCCAAGAGCATCTGCAAGCTTATTAAGAACAGCAACCAAGCTATCAGCATGATCCTTACGCTGCTCCCGGTCCAATTGGAAATTGTTGTTCTGTGCTTCAAGTTGAGCAGTAAGCATCTTACTGTTCTTTTCTAAGACACCAACCAAATGATTGTGGAGGTTGGCCGTTTCTTCATCCACATCTGCTGTGAACCGTTTCCGCTTTCTACTGTCATGTGAAGCAGAACCCACTTCAGGATTTGAAGCTGGCTGTTTCTCATTTGTTCCACCTGCAAGGTAAAAAAATGAGTGTAATTTCAGCAGCAACAACCAAGCCTTAGTCCAACCTAACATTTTAGCAGGTGTTTTTGAACTTCATTCATTCACGTCAGACACCAAAAAGGACCTCAAGCTTGGATCAACATTGAGAAAATTATATATTTTTACACTAGGCTGTCAAGATCCAATAACCAAATGAAGTTGGAATCAACTTTTCATGCAATTCTGGTTCTCAATTTTGGCAGCTTTAAATATTCAATGTTGCATAATTTCTAGGACACTTGCCTGAAAATTCCAATACACCTATGGCTCTGCAGCTCAACTGGCAATTTTGATCTACTAAATGGTCTAAGGTACAGAGAATGGTGTAGTTGTACATCCAGTTCTCTTTTATCCATTAATGGATTGTAATCACAAGCACAACACAATAATTGTGTTTAGAAGTCCTTCAAACATCAAACGATATGTTGTTTTTCAGTGCTGAAATGTTAACTAAAGTGCAAGTGAAGACCTCAGAGCATAATTGGAAACACAGATAATTTCAGAAAAGTAGTAAGTTTCATGTTTTTGGCTACTTATAGTTCTAAACGAGGGTATAGCTGATATGTGGAGAAGAATAGAGTCATATATATAATGCAAGTGGTTGTGATGTGATGAGAATGGCTGAGAGCTGATTGGCAATGTATAAGCATCTTAAAAGAAGACAGTGAATTAATTCCGATCACATGAACTAAAAGTTCATCATGACAAGCTGAACCAAAAGGGTCTAACTGAAATCCCTAAAGGCAATTACAAATAATAGTCACAAACCAGTCGTGGCATTTGGTTATACATCTCTAGGGCTAGGATTTTATATTTTCAACATTAATTTATGTGCTTTATTAGCTTTTCAAAGTGACCGATCACATTATAGATTCATTAATTGAGACGCTTCACCCAAAGCACAAGCCAGATATGCAACTTACATTCGATTGAAATCTTGCACTACAAAATGTCCTCAATTAGTTCGAATTGTAATCAAAACTAGTTTGTCTTATTCAAACAAGAAGGGAAAGAAACTGATTAAAGAGGGGGAAAAAATTGAACTCAAACCAAGAGCTTATAAGTAGGGGGTAAAAAGAGGAGGTATCACGTTCAGAACTATATTCAGCCAACTATAATATAATAGCATTACCTTGAGCTTGATCTGCTAGATGAGATGGTTGGTACTGCTTCTCTGTATATCAAAAGAAAAATTTTAAACAAATAAAAAAGACAAAATTGTATATCAACAAGAATTTAACAACATAACATTTTTTTATTGCAAGTAGAGGCTACCCACATGCAGTTTGATTTGTTATAATACTCCCGCCAAATAAAGAAACACGAAATAGTAAGGAAATATAAACAATGGAACAATAAGAACAACCATGGAGTGTGTAGACGTGCTCATTATACCCTCAACACAGGAGAAAGGAGAACATAAAGAGCCAATTCCCACCATTCAACAATTAGAGCCCCACCAATACCAAATACATCAACTTTATACCACCATCTAACTCTAAAAAATCTATGCGCCCAAACAAAAAGAGAAATATGATAATCCTATTCAGGACCAACCACAATTATTGATAAGCCTCTGATGAAATTCTGCTCTTTGCAGTTTTTGAGGGAGAAAAAGAAACCAAAACAAGACGAAACGACAACCCAAACAGCCGAAAACGATAAAAAATTTTAAAAAATAAGATCCGGAGCACAATTACCTGAGATTGGCAAAGGAGCAGCAACCCCTGCCGCTGCCGTCTTTATTGGCGGAACCTCCTTAGCGACCGCCGCCTCCTTTTCCGGGCTCCCACCGGCCTCATCTTGCTCAAAGTCTGAAAAGAGTCCATCTTCCGCCGCGGCACTCCTTCCACTATCAAAAATGGCCTCCGCATCATCCGCTGGCTCCGGCGCGGGAGTAAGAGCCAAAGCCAGACCCGGTGCGGTCGCAGAGACACCCCCAACTCCATCGAGAATATCGTACACCTCCCTATCAAAAAAGCCCGGCAATTTCCTTTCCCTCCTCAAATCGTTCCTCATCACCCAAAACGACTCCGTTTCCTCGCGTATCTGAGACTCCCATTCTTTTATCTTCTTATAATCACCAGCTAAATTGCTCCACCTCTTGCGACACTGAACCGGTCCCCGGTTTACCCCATGCCTTTTACAGTACGACGAGACCGATGCCCACTTCGGTTCAACCTGACCCGACCCGAAAGCCATGCCGGCGGTCCGGCCTCTTCTGACACGATTCTCTGCAACTTTCTTGCCTTGTATGAGGACCAGAATCTCTTGCCTAGTCCAACGAGGGAGTCTCGGGGCTTTGCTTCCATCATCTCCGCCGTCGATGGAGGTTAGGCGAGTGTCAACGCCGTTAATTTGCTCGCCGTCAACGGTAATTGGGGTTAAATTTAATTGCTGCTCAAAAGCCATAATTAAAAGAAAGGGATTAATTTTGAAGGGCACGTGACTGAAAAGGGGTAGGGAAGTAACGGCGTTTTTAGGGAGGGTCCGTTACGGCGTTTATAAAAAGAGGGTCATCCCTCATTCCTTCTCCGTAGGATAGGTAAAGAGAAAGAGAGGGAGAAATTGAGGAAGGAAAGGGCAGCAGTAGAAAGAGAGAGAGAGAGAGTGTGTGTGTGTAGAGAGTTTTGGGTTTATGGGAATTTGGTGGTTTTTTAGAGGGGGATTGTTTTTTTTACCAGGTTCACTGTACAGCAATTGACCATTACATCCTTAATCCATAATTAAGGGTATAATTAAAATATGGGTCATATCTTTTAATTAATGGGATTTGATTTTCTTTCTTGGATAAGCTAAGCTAAGGTTACTTTCTTATTTTGGTCCATTTGAATACTAAAATGTTTGAAAGGGGAAGGGCACCCTTACTTCCTTCCTATTGGTATCTTTTTCAAATATTGGTCATTTTCTTGACGCAGAATATGGTATTTTACGTTGCTTATTGGCCCAGGGCCAGGCCATCCTATTCCTTTGCTTTGGCATATTTCATTTTCACCCAAATCTTGAATTTTTATAAACCTTATCTTATTCAATTTTGAAAATTCACCCTTTCTCTTGTGTATAAGTAACTATAAGGGTAGGCTACCCTACCACTACCACTAAGGAAAATTTGTGTCCTTCAATTAATCTCTTATCTCACTTAATCATTTGCCCTAATCTTCACTTAAATGGCTAATGCTTAAGCAATGGCCCCCTCCATTAAAGTCACTTTTTTGTTTTTTATAATTTGGACAAATTTTGAGATGAGGTATACCAAATACCGATGCCCAATGGGATCACCCCTTTCCTCCCCCCCCTATTACCCTATATGCTATAACTGCCCTTTTCTTTCTTTCTTTCTTTATTTATGCTTCTCCAGTTAAATGAATTTAACCATAAAGTTTTGAATCAAACAACAATCTTAATCTTATATTAATTAATATTAATATTATTTTAATTTTAATTAGCATATGGAGGCTTATTGAGAGAGTTTTGTATGCACTTGCCATTGAGGGTTAGTGAAGGGTCATATTCTCCCTGTGATACGGTGGGGACCAGCTCCTTCATTATGGCCCTTCCTTCCACTTCCATTGCTCTGAAGCAAAATTTATAATTCCCACAGCCTTTTATTCCAATTTATATTATTTTAAAAATTTCGAAAAACCACGTATTAAATTAATATATTATAGATAAAAATTAAAAGCACTGCGAAATTATTGTTGTATAATATTTCTAAAATTTTAAAAATATTATTAAATTTCTATAAAGTTTAGAGTGTTATAAAACTTTTCGAGTGAATAATTATCATAAATGTACACACTAATTTCTATTTCCTTTTGTTTTGTTTTTTCCTTTTAAAGATATTTCTATTTATTACAAATATTTATTTCAAATTTAAGATTAGATTGTTTGACGTGATAGTTTGTTTTCTATAATATTTATAAGGTTTTGATTGAATGAGGTGTGTATTTTTACACTCATCCGAAAATAAAATTCAATGCTCTTTTCCCTCCAAAAATAAAATTTTTTTTTAACAAATTAACAATATATTTCAAATAATCCAAATTAATTTTTGTGCTGCTTTTCTACTAAAAGTCAAAATTCAAAAATAATAAAATATACTTAATTTATAAAATTTATCTTAATCAATATGGATTATTATTTTGAGATGAAGTATTAATTGACACGTTAGTTCACTGTAGAATATACTAAATTATTTTAGAAACTGACTTTTCCAAATTGCGTCATTCCTATTGGCAACTCGACATAAATATGAGTTTGGTTAAATATTTTTCTTTATTTGTTTCAAATTCGCGATATCTCACTCCTTATATAAATGAAAAGACCAATTAAAAATCACACATGATCAGTCGAAAAAATTAATTATTCAATCAGAGCATATATAATAATTATATACATAAAACATTAATAACAGTACATATCAGTATTATTTGCATTGGGTTTTAGGAGCAGGATTTGCATGGGTGGGTCCATGGAGTCCCTTAATCTCAAGAATTATCTCCTAATTATGGCGTTTGCTACTAGAAGCAATTAAGGAGTTAGTGATGTCTCCCACGCCCATTAATCCTTGAATCACAGCTCTCAAATAATGTGTTGGTGTTAGCTCCAACCGTAACTCGTGGATTGGATTGTTTGGTTTATGGGTCTAATCTAATCTGACTGTTCCTTTTCAATTTTTCAAAAGTTCCCACTGGTTGCATCTCCCAGTTCCACAGTCTCTGGAACTTTACTACTGCTTAGTGCTTGCATTGCAACAACTCAATAACCCTTTGTTCTTTCCAGCTTTTCACGAAACTACAAACCTAAAATGTATTCTTGAATCTTGAACATTCAAGAATCAAGAATTTAAAGAATTAAAGGAAGAAATTATAAGACTTGCATGCAAAACTTGAGATTTTACATAATAAAATATAAAAGGTGGTTGGGTTTTGACTTTTAGATTAAATTCCAAAAACTCATCCTGATGCTGCTTCCTAAAGCCAATCAATCACAAAGGGCACGCTAAACATATTAATGGAATGGAATGGAAATCCTTCCATTATTAAATCCCTTCTGGATATTGACATGCCTACAGATCAGATGGATCATTGGTTCAATCACAAATCAATTGATTCTTTTTGTTAAATGATTCAAACATAGAAATGATTTGATTTTGAAGCCTTCACGGATTGTCCAGATTGACCCGCTGGGTTTAATAACTATGCTCCCAGACTTGGTTAACCAAATAAGAAAGAAAAGTCCTTGATTAAACATTTGCAGAAACTGCCACAATCGTCAATTTTCGGTGACATGTCACTCTAACTTTCAGCACGTGTGGGACTGGGAACATCAAGGTAACACTATTAGGTAGCAACAGACAAATTTGAGGACGCGCGTCTTTTTGTTATTTGCCCTATTTGTACAGAGTCTTTCGTTTGGCAGTTCAGTAGAATTTGAGCACACGCAATCTGGTTTCTGACAATGGGAGCTCATACATCAACATGTACAAATAGATACTTTAGCTCATTGTAATATTATTTGCCAAAATTATCGTATGTGCTAAGCTGTTTTGTTACAATAACGTTTTTGCAATTATGGACCATTATTTCATTATTTCTTGTACAAGGGCAAGTTAAGCCATTAATGGCTAAATGTTGACTCTGTTTTGGTAGAAGGGATTACTACTATATAATATATCATCATGGCAATACCAAAAAAATGAAAATTACTATAATTGTACAATTACAAGTTATCAACACAAATTCCATCTTAATAATAATTATTAAGTTCATTATAGACTTATAATTGACAAGTGAGTTTTCAGACCAGCAAAAGGGCAAGTTTTCATTTCCAATTAGGGTTTGAGGCATAGGCCAAATGGGTAGAAAATTAAGAAAAAGGGTTTGATTTGTTTGGTTTGGTTCGATTGATTATGACTGACCAATATGATCAGCACCGTAAAGAATAGTTAATTGGAATTTTCAACATTTTTTTTTTCTTTTAGTATAATTAGAAAGTATAATTCTCTTGAACCATAGCGTGTAACAATGCGCTTTTCAAAATTCAAAATTATATTTTGGAATATTTCTGCTTGGCCAATAACTCTTTCTGCTTGGCCAATAACTCCAGCTAGTACCTCCTACAAGGACTGCTGTTGGTCAAAGCTTCAACATGTAAGCAAACCACATTCTTCTCTCTCTCTCACACATTATCTTAATCTAATATCACGTTGATTTGGTGCATCCTTGATGAAAATCACTTTTTTCTTATTTTAACCCTCCATCTATCATTTAATTAGATAGCTTTAATTTTTTTTTTAAGGCCAAAAGTTAGTACATTTTAAATTGTTTAACGAGGAACTAATCATTTGCCATCCTCCAACAAATTCCATATGCTTTAAACATACTCTCCTCTCCTCCATCAAAAATAAAAATGCTATTTGACCAATTCTCCTACGCTGAAAATTACAAACATACCCTTGACCCTTTTTGCCCTTTTCTCTTTTTTGAATGAAGTCAAGAGGTGCCTAGACAGTTCAATTAATAAAGAACAAAGCAGCATATTTTGTTTCAGGTCATCTAAATAAGATCACCGCAATTCTCTCCAATGGGAAAATCCCTGCACAAGTTTTTGCATTAAGGGAAGGCCTCAAGGGCAATAACCCAGTGGCAATCATAGAGGGCAGAGTCACAAAGTTAGCACCTTTTGCTTTTTAGTGTTGCTTGTTACAACTCACCCTTATGTATATGATAATCGTGTGTGTGAAGTGATTTTATATTTTGATTAATCATTTGGAGAAACAGCAATTAATATAATGGTGAAAAAGCAAGAAAAGAAGAGAAATGAGCTATCTTTATCAAAGGATAAGCTACCCAATTCTTTGGGATTTCCTTTCCTTGTGCATTATTTTTTCTTTTACTTTTCTTTCATCACCCACTAGATCTTCGACTCTGTGACTGTGAACTATAGGGTCTGAGTGGCAGACAACGACAAATAGGCCTCGTAAAACTAGTTCAAGTGATTGATTTCTTTTAAACCACTTAAAAAGGATGTTCATGTTACAAGTACCAGAAATGGATGCTTGCATTTTGTTTATATATAACTAATCAACAATCTTAATTTTACACCACAGACAGAAACAGAAGGCAACTTTCTAGTAGAGGATTAATTCGCTAACTCTTCGTACAACTTATAATTTCAAAACAAAGATATACTTAATTCATAGTCTTCAGAGAAATTCAGAGAAAATAGACCATTTCATACCCACTGACAATTAATTAATGAAACACAGCTGGGCATGACCCAGGAAGTAAATTGTTATGTGCAAATAAAGGGAAAGGAGGTTAAAATTCACATAGAATAAAATTTACAGTTCAGTTTTCCAAGGGGCACCCGTTCACCTAATAACAAGAGGTTGAAGGAATAAAATTTACAGTTCACTTTTTCAAGAGGCACCCACTTACCTAATAACGCCCAACTTGAGAAAAAAAAAACTATCTTAAATGAAAAACCTACTCCGAAGTCAATTATTTCAAATAAGAAGATGATGAACAACAACAACAACAACAACAATGCTTGGTGTATAGAATATAACCTGAATTTAGTAACTTTTGGCCTGCTAGTACAAACGCCCCCGACATTCACTTGTACCGCAATAGCACGGTAATTTTTTCACTTTCCCATCAGGACTAATAACACTATCGAGCTCGTATCCATAGTCATACGTAAGTTCCTGCATACAGCATTCAAGAACAATTGCTTATATTAAAACCGCTGTTGACATTGGAAAAGAGATACACAAAAAGGAAAAGTCAAGGTTCAGGTAAAGCACAAAACCATTCTCACAGATTAAAGACCTCAATTTTTGTCAGTAGAAAAATGAAAACGAAGGTCCAAACAAAACAATATTTCAGAATGAAAGGAAGAGTAACACGAAGGAAAATTACCTCCATAGGAGGTATGTCATCTGCAGCGAATAGCACAATTCGAGCAAGTCTAATGTCATAGTGGGAGCTCAAAATACACTGGACAAATAGGTTAGGGTCACAGCTATGATTAATAAATCTGGTAACATTACCGGAGGAACCTCCATCTATACAAAACTCTGTCTCGCTTCCTGCTTCATCCATTTTCTCCACAAGATTACGTGCATGTAGGGGTACATCACCTTGTCGCCTCTACATGGAAAATGCATCAGAATAACGTGGTTATAGAATGTGAAGAAATGGAAATTGAAATAATACCCAAGAAACATGAACTACAACCAAAAGTAAGCTTGCAAATACATAAGCAATCACTAGAAGAATGTGGTTAGTAATAAGAGTGTGTTCATAGGCAGGGAATGGTACCATACGCCAAGTACATTTGTATTTAATCTCAATAATATTTTCAATATTAACAATTCAATGAGCTTTGATCCAAGTACTTTACACACATCTTATTGAAACACAGCCTGATAAAAGCTATTGCAACAGAGATGTTGTATTCTATGCTCCCCTATTAAACAGCTTGTAATAAACATGGAAAGTGGTGACTGCCACTCTCTTGAATGATTGTGCAAGTACCTCTCTTCCCCCTAAGCCATTCATTGTATGCCAGCAATCAATCTCAAATATGAAGTCGTTCTCAGATACATTATCCAAATCTGCGCTCCTCCTAAGAACACCTATATATTCACATACCGGAGCACCAGAAGGAATGAAGTCCCAAGACCTAACAGCCCATCCTTTGTTCCTTGTACGGTATACCTGTTCAAAGAAAATATTTCTCATCAAATTGGATAAGAACTTCAAATTGAAATAAAAGAAAAAAAAAAAAAAAGATTTCTGATTCTACAGCTAGAATACCTCAAGCCTGTACTTCAACCCTCTCTGAGATATACGGTTGATGCAGTTTGGTCCACATCCACACCCTGGACCACATTCAAACACTACATCCTTTGGTTCAATCAATCTGACAGAGGAAATTCAAAAATGATTAATTGGTTGGTGAGAGTCCAAATTGTTTGATCTCAGACAAATTATACAGCTGCTTAGGTGGCAAGTATTGCTGATGTGTGTGATGAGTTGTCATTCATGCGTAACAGCTATAAATAGCTGAGTTGTAAAGTGTTTCCAGATATGATTGATGAATAAAGTTCGTTAAGATTTTCTCCCTCTCCTCTATTGCTTTTCCCTCTCCTGTCTTTTGATCTCTCTCTGTTTCTTATATTTCTCTCCTTGTCTTAGGTTTCCCTTCTCTTTCTCAGACCCGTCACCCTCAATTAGGATTGCATGTCAACAAATAATCCTAACAATGTCATAGCCACCAAACTACAAATTGAACCATGAATGAGACATATAAATTGCCATAACGAAAAAGGATTAAGATTTTTAACAGATGAACAGAGTAAATCAGAATACTGGATATTTAAAACGATGAGTATGCATTGGTCAAACACTGTCACGGCACACATTCAGAATAAAGCAGACAAACAAGCTATATTCATATTTCAAATCTCACCTGCCACCATCTTGGCTCACATATGGAAAGTCAGAACCATTTAGTCTAGCACAAGAACAAGATTTGGGATTAGTACAATTTCCTTTGCAATTGCATCCAGGAGGACTTGGAGGAATGCTCACATTTCTTGCAACTTCAGTGGTGTTTGTATATTTAAATCCTATAATTTAAGATTTTATCATGAGCAACGACCATGAAATTGTTATATGTCACTAGCCAATCAGCAAAGGCAATAAACTAGAAAAATTCAAAAGAATGAGTGAACTGAAAAATAAAAGTACAAGGAAGGGAATGCAACATATTGCTTTCCCAAATAAAAATTAGGGAATATAACACTTTCAAAACAGAAAACTTGAGACAAACAACAAAAGCCAGAATTGAAGTTGTTTAAATATTAGAAAAGCAGGTGTAATGGGAATAAGTGCATTCATTTTAAGAATTCAAACGCATATATACTTTGATAGCAAAATATGACAATATCTTTACCTAGTGAAAGCATGCAAGCATTTTGTGCAAAAAGTACATTAATGCAAGATAATCAAATAACTGCAAATGTAATCATGACTGCGGTTAAATGGTATAACATCAAATTTACTTGGAAAGGAGATCTTGTGAATTTAGAATATTCTATCATTAGTAAAAAGAAATCATCTTGCTTTATCAAATCATCAATAAAGAATACCTGGTAATTAATTGCTATCCAACTATTGAGCATAAAAGATCTAAATTCTTCCTCAATGTGCATGGATGCTATTTTTAATACCATTTCGAGATAGAGTGTGTTTCATGCTCAAACAAAATAGATGTCATTACTGTTCCAAGTCCGCCATAATTTAAGACCAGATTGACTTACAAAATAATGCCATTAATACCTGGTTTCGAAATTGGTATCAAAATTTAAGACTGAGGAGTCTCCATGCTTTTATATCCTTGTATAACGTTTTAGGGGTCGACACATTCAGAAGAACACCAAAACTTAAAGGGTTAGTTTGTGGAGACATTTGTAATTAGTTTAGAAATATTTTGTAAGTCAATTATAAGCTTCATGCTCTTCCACATACAACATATACACTAAAACTGGTAAGAAAATGCAAAATTACCGTGACAATGGAACACCTAAAATCAACATGGCATATGCAAGCAGCATTTTATTAGAAAACAAAAGAGAAAATTGGTCGTCTCTACAAGATAAAACTTTCTCTTACAAAGTATAGGTAAATCTGTAAACTTGCCTGCAGGTGCAATTGGAGGATCAATTATATTGGTAACAGGAATATGTATATCTTCTTCACCATAAGAAAGGTCTTCGCACACCAAGCTTAACACACAAAACACTTCTGTCAGTTCACTCGATACATACTGTGCATATGAAAATATACAATTTTATTGATTTATAGATTCCATACCCTGGTAATATAGAAGAGCCTTTAGACATCCTTTCCGGTTCAAAACAATCCTAAAACAAAAGCAACAGACAGATCTAACTTACATAAAACGACGATGAAGCTGAATACTTAGAAACTTGACATTTATGCGACATATATAAAAATCTGTATACAGTAAGGATGTCCTGATGAACTACTGTGTAATTCTACAGCAAGATAATCACTACACCAAGGTATTTTCTTGGATTAACCATATAATTCAAAGGGTAAACTCAATCGGGAAAGAAAAGAAAAGAATTAGCTTATGCAGCACATAACTCCATCCTCATTCAGCACTAAACCTATGTCCTTAAACACTGACCAAGCTGGTGGGTTCAACAAAATCATGCTTCAAAAACTAAAAAGAAAAAGAAAAAAAAAAAGAAAAAGAAAAAAAAAAAAAGCTCCAAATGAAAGTTTAAACTAAGCAAAGATAACAGGAAAGGGAGGGAAGAAAGGAGGAAAATGAATGTCTAGATAATCACACTGCATGTGCAAATATCCGGCCTCAGCCTCCTTGCACATTTTCTTCTCTTCCAACATAGCATTAATAGGCATTGAATGTTAATAATTCAACTAAGCCTCCAAATCAAGCTATTTGAACTGCATGCATATGCTCGTTTATGCATTTCACAAAAGATCATGCGAAAAATGCAATCACCTGTTCCAAGTAAGGATAATGTCTGCGGAGCGCCTTTACTGTCTGTTTTACCCTTGCGCCAGACTTTCGACAAATACGATCAGATAAAAACTTATTGCAGTCCAGTGCTTTCAAATACTCACCATTTTCTAAATCCCAAATTTCTGTTTTTCCATATTTAACAGGTCCAGAACCAGGGGTTAGTCTGCTTTCACTGTCTCTATTGTCTACATCTTTCCAAGCCATATTAACTAGGCACTCTTGCATTGAGAAATCAAGTTCAGTTTTTTTGTCAGTGGTGTTATCTTTTGGAGAATATGATTGCCTCTTCTGATCACTGCTTTTGCAGATATATCCCTTAGCAGCATTTAACTGCCCCATCCTGTTACTGCCATAATATGGTCTTTTATCTTTGGGTATATCTTTAAGTCTTGGACTAACTCTTCGCTTCAAAAGAACTATTTTGGAATTTATCTGTTGATATTGTTGCACAATATTGTTTCTCTTGGAAATATCAAACGCTTCATTTCCATTTTTTTCCTCACAAGAATTCTCCCCAAAATTAATGCCATCTTTGTATGTTAACATCAAAGGAGAAACAGCCATCAGGCCCACCACTACCTCTCGTGCCATTGCACCAGACATTTGATGCATTCTATCATCTCCAAAACTTTCACAACTTGTCCATTCCAAATAAGCCGCATGTTCTAAATGCAAAATATCTGTACCATTAATGGAGTCACTTTCAGTACTTCTATCTTCTGCTTCTTTTCTATTGACATGAAGTAAGCATTCTTGCATAGTGTGATCAATTTTAATTTTTTGCTCACTAGCATTATCATCAGGAGTGCATAGTAGCCTCATTCGGTGATCATCTTTGTTTTTTCGGTCATCTTCAGTAGCCCCCAGCTGCCTCCTTTCATCTCTACCATAACATGGTCTTTTATTTGCAGGTATGCTTTCAAGTCTTGGGATAAGACTTTGCTCCAAAAGACACAAATCTGACCTTATTTTTTGAACTTGATTTACAGCAATCTTTGCCATGGTAAAGCCAGCCTTAGTTCTTCCCGCGCTCGAACCATCTATAGGAGAATACAATTGCCTCTTACAATTATTATCTTCAGTTTCTTTCTCACATCTATATTTAGAATCATGTGAATGCCGCCTCTGAGCACATCCATAATATGGCCTTTTGTCTGCAGGTATATCTCTGAATCTAGGGCTAACTCTTCGCGACGAAAGAAGTCCCTCTGGCCTTAACTTGGGAGCATGTTGCATGAGTTTCCTTCTTGCAGTAACATCAACTTTAGCTTTGTCAGGGCCAGCATTACCTTCACCAGAGTTAGATTGCGTTTTCTGATTATCATCTTCAAATTTTCTGCTGCAGAAATCTTTAGAAAAATTCAATCGCCTTCTCTGAGCACTGCCATAATATGGTCTCTTGTCTTCTGGTATGCTCTTTAGTCTAGGGCTAACTCTTCGCTTCAAAAGAAATCCTTCGGACTTTATCTTTCGAACATTCTGCACGCTTTTCTTTGTGACACATGACTCAACTACTTTCCTTCCACTTTCTTGCTTTTTAGAATTCTTCGTGGAATTACTGCTTCCATGATACTCTCTACCCATCAATTGATTCCAAAATCAAAATTCTGCATAGATAAAACAATAGCAATAACACTTTATTTCGACTGCCAACTCATCCGATTTAAGAATAAAAGTATTGCAACTCCTAAAAAATGAAAATAATACTAGCAGTAGAAACAAGTACAAGAATAGGGAAAAAATGCCTTCAGGATTCAAGAATATCAAAATTGAATAATGAAAAGGAAAAAAGAAAAAGAAAGGGAGAGGAAGAAGGAGGAGAAGAAAATGTTCTACAAACCTGAGGAAATGCATCAAACCCTATTCTCGGTTGTTACCATAAGAAAATCAGGATGCAAGCATAAGATGAATAGTTTGAAAACAAACAATTCAACTTCTTTGGAATGTATAAATGGCAAAAGATAAAAACCAAGAAATTGATTTTCCGCAAATAAGCAGCCATTCATTAAATCGATTCCATAGAGAACCACCACATTAAGTCCGAGACTCACAACTATTAAGGTACAATGGGTATCTTACAATAGTGCAGATTAACAAAGTGCATTAAGTTCCAACGCCGAAAAATCCGAAAATTTTAAATCGAATCAAATGAGTTCAGAATCAGAATCGGAATAAAGAGAACATACCATTAGATTAGAGGCTGAAAGAACAGCGATCTCGAGAGACAGATTTGGAGTTACCCTCGAGAACCTAGGGTTTGTTAACTAATGCTTTTTAAAATGGCCACGACCCGGCGGGAAGATGAGGAATGAAGAAGACTGTCGCAGGTAAGTAAACTTCTGGCACGTATGGCGATTGCGAGTGTTGCAACGGAACAATCCACGTGCCACTTTTTACAGTGTTGGTCCCTTACGTGTATTGCGAATACCGTGATAAATTTTTGGAGGATAAATTATTATAAACACACTATTTTTGTTGCATGTAAATGTCCTAAGAATATGGCTAAATTTAATACGAAAAGTAAATATTTTCAAAAAAAAGGTAAATTATTTATATTCACAATTAAATTTTAAAAATTAAAAAAATATATTCTTTTTATTCTATAAATTAAGAGATTTAAATAAATAAATGAAAAAATAATGTACAAATTAAGTTGAACATGAAATCAATTCAACCATCGGGCAGTAAATTTTTTTTCCCTCGTGGATGTGGTCGACCGTATTCGAATTAATCAAATTTCTGAAAATAAAAAAAAAAAAAACATTACATAAGCTAATGGTAGTTTTTCTTTTTTAAAAAATGGAAATAATCCAAAAGAGTTCGAAATACAAATTTCCTCCTCCACTAATCAATGTCCAATCAACGTGAGTTTTGTGTCAAAATCCCATTGTAAATAACTCAGTATGCAAAATTGAAGAGAAAAAAAAAAAAAATCTCTCTGTAATTTCAGCCGTGTTGTTGTCGTTTCAGTTGATTTTAGGTCTTCTGTGGCTGGAGATTTCAGACTTGTTTTCTCCTATCTTCTCGAATGAATTTTAGATATTTTGTAAAATATTTCTCTTTAATTATTAAAGTCAATTTTGACCATCAATAAATCTTACATCAATTTTAGTTTGTTTATAATAATATTGAAATCAAATTTACAAAAACATATTTTTTAAATTAATAAAAGTAAATATAAATGAGTTAAATTACTCGTGAGTCGTTAAAGATTGAGCTTGCAAAAAACTCATTTGAACTTGGCTCCTTAATTCGAATTCTTTCAATAGATTTAATATGTCAAAATTCAAATTGTCTTATTTCTAACGTTATTTTTTTGAATATTTATATATATCGTATTTAAGAAATTAGCTATCTGAATTTAAAGTTAAGTATGAAAAGAATAATTTTTTCTTTTCACTATAAATTATATATAATTTATATTGAGTTTGTATTTTCATTCTGTCTGAATAAAAAAATTATAATAAAAGAAAGTAGTTTGAAAAAAAAAAAGTCATGTGAGATTTTTTTTAAAGAAAATATCATTGAAGCATAAAGTTTCAAGTAAAGTTTAATTCAGTCATTAATTTGATTAGAGTTTTTTTTGACATTAGTAATTTGATTAGAGTTTAATAAAATATGGAATCAAGAAATTAATCTTAAGGCTCCATTTATTTACAAGGTTTGTTCAGTAAAATTAACTGGCAGCTATTAACTATTTAGTAGTGTTTAGTTGTATGAGTAGCTTTTCATAAAACGCTACCTTAACATTTAAAATGTAATTCAAAGACTATGTTATCTAACACTATAAATAATAAATAATAGTGGTTAGCATTTTAACTACTTGTAAAGCTGTTACTGAATACATCCATAAATAATAATTTTATTTTTGAAAAATATTTTACAAATAAGTCAATTAAATTAAAGATTATCTAATTGTAAAAATACGATAATTTTTTTCAATAAATAGGAGGAAATAACTAACAATATGAATTTGTCGACATATTTTATCAATATCTGGATAAATATGTTCCTTTAAATGGCTTAAACATCTGAAAAGTAGTGTTTCTTTAATTAGAAAAACATTTTTTGTTGATAAATTCTCAAATATTAAAATATTTTTTAAATAAAAAAAATAAAAAAATGGAGTTAAGAATGAAAAAAATAAACACGGGTTCGTAAAAAAGAAAGAGGATCTAGTCTTCAAGTCAAAACGTGAAAGTACGTAAAACGCAGGGGAGATTATCATACGATAATTAATCAAATATTTTTTTTTCTTTAAGGAAATGATTAATTAAAGATTGAGCAATCTATCATTGCATTTTCACATGTTTCACTAATCATTAAATCTATTTTATTCATTTATTTATTATTTCTCTTTTGCAGCTTTCCTTCTCTCAGCTGACAGTTGCTGCCTTCTTTTTATTGGAGTTTGTCTACAGCTACAGCATCACCATTCATCAACGGTTTCGTAGCTCTTTAATTTGGATCAATAAAACTTGAAAGACGAGAAAGAAAAATGTTTTTTCTTTTTTTTTTTTTATTTTCCTCCAATTTTTTAGAGAAAATTATTTATTATTTTCCAGCTAAATAATGGTCTAAAAATTATATTTTATTTATTAATTATAATTGCTATTCAATCGCGAAGGACGAGAGTCTAATGAGAAATTTGAAATTAATTTAAATATTAAAGTATTTTACATAAGAGTTATCATAGTGGACCAACCATTCAAATGTAAAGATTACATTAATTCTGTCGGTTACCAAAATTTTAGCAGTAATAGTTTTTTTGTTGGCTGTTAACAGAGTGGTTAAATGAGCTAAGAATGAGCACAACACATTTTAGTGCCTAACTGAACAATGGGACCACTGTCTGCATAAAACTTGCTAAGCTGTATTTTATAGAATTCAATATCAAATTACAATTTTCTCGTTCCTTCTCCCACCTCTTTCTTTCTCGAATTCTTCTTTTTGTCTTGCTCATTGTTCAACTAATGTTATTTTCTTGCCAACCAAACAGCATATGAACACAATAGATTCTAATTTCTAAATCGAACCGGTATGAAACATCAAATATGATATGATATAAACACAAAATACAACAAAATTTTTTTTTATAAATAATACACTTTGTTATTCATAATAAGTCACAAATGCAAAATAAAAAACGGTTCATTTTACTTAATTTTCTATTTTACCGTCATTAGTTAAATTTTCAATATTAATATTTGTATAGTTAAAAATTAAATAATTACCGCAATATAAAAAGTAACCAACGATGAAAAAATGCGTGATAATAGGAATAATAAATTTTCTATTTCACTGTTGTTCGATCGAATGAGGTTTGGGCAGGGGACCTCGGATTCAAATTTCTGAGGAATGGACGCGTGGTGCCTAAGATCTATTGTCAAGTGTCAACCACAGAGGGAGGAGTTAGTTTTACATTAATGGATTAATATTGTTCCCGGTATTAAAAAATCTATTAATTAATTCCATTTTTTTACGAATTTAAATGCCGCACGTATCTCAAGGTCCACTAATTTAAGAGAGAGGTCCCAAAATTGTACCAAACCTTGTCGTAATAAACAAGGTTATTATCGTCATTTACGTAAATAAACTTAACCGGCTCTAAACATGCCAGCGTGGCGTTTTGCAAAGAGAGAACGAAGCCCGAGCCCTCTCACTGTTCTGATACCACACAACGACAACGGATTAGGACTTGACGCCGTTAGTCTGTTAAACGGTTTTCCAACCTCATGATCTCGTGTTTGTAGGAGCCTGGTCTAGTTTATTTTTCTAATAAACGGTTTTTGTTTAAGCAACAGCTACATCGATTTCTCTCACCTCTCTCTGGCGAGAAGGCTCGCAATCTCGCCGGAGAATCTGTTTCTCGCCGGAAACTTCATTGATTCCAACGGGACATTTCGCACCTCCACGGAGCCTGAAGCGAGACACAGTTTAAAGTGGGAGAGAATGATGAATGTATAGGGAAATAATAATAATAATAATAAGAAAAAAGAATGGACAAGTAGGAAGGAGATGGTGGTTAACGTGCAATGCAGGGAAAAGAGAATCAAGCTAGGGTTTGAGGATCTTACACGGCACAGATGCCAAGATGATAGCTTCTGCATTCAATTTTCCTTGCCTTATGGCGTAATTTATTCCATATCTCTGTGTGTCAACTCTGTTTAAATTCCTCCCTCGCCTATGTCCTCCTCGTCTCTCGCCGTCCTGAAATTGACTAATTTTGCTTTTTAATAAGGTTTGTCTGTTACGTTTTGTTCAATTGTTGTCCCATTTCACGCTTCGAGGTGCTTTCTGTCTTTCCGATCGACCGTTCTTTTTGAAATTTGATTTCTAATATTCAATCAAAAATTGATCGTTTCTAGGTAATTCTGCGCGCGCTATTACTAGCTGAATTTGGAAATTTGGTTTTATTGAAGTGTCTTTTAATCAGCCGTTTTGGATCTGTTTCATCTTCATGAAAATTGCTCGTGTTATTATGCAATTAATGAATTGATGAACAATTTCCAGAATTATATATATATAAAAATGCTTGTGTTATTATGCAATTAAATGAATTGATGAACAATTTCCAGAATATACTTATAATATATATATATTATATATATATATATATAATATATATATATATATATATATATATATATATATATATGTATGTTCTTTTCAGGTGTAAAATTATGAAAGATATGCTCTGTTGTAATCTTGTCATTAAATGTTAATTTAATTTTCTTCCTTCCAATACTTCCTATTTGGAATCCCAATCCAAAATAAGTTGCAATTTTCTTTTGAGGCAAATAATAAATATTAAACCTTGTAATTCTTTTCTCTACATGCGCTTCCCTTTTGTTTTTTATTATACACCTTCTAAATTTTTCCTTGCAGAGTTTCCATTGCCGGAGAGGAGAGAGATTTTGGATTCTATTAATAAAGTTGCATGCAGCATTAGGCCGGTCATAGATGGAATTAATCTGAATAATATTTTTTTTTCTGGGTTAATAGATTTTTAGGTATCAATCATCATGCCATTCGAAACAATGGATCTTCCGGGTTTGTCCTCGTCATCATTTTTCTCTGAGGATGCATCATTTCCTAGTGAGGTACTGGTTGCCCGCAATTACCTTTTTGTATTGCGTGGTGTATATCGGTTTAGCATGCATAGACAATTCTTTTTGCTCTTATATTTGTTTGAATCACTCTTTTAACTTTTGTTTTCTACTCATGGCAGAAGCAGGTTGGCTTTTGGAAGTTGGAGACCATGCCTGATCACCATGGTTAGTGTTTTGCTCCTTCAAGGGCTTGCATATATAGGCTTGCATTATATATTATATATATATATATATATAATATATATATATATATATATTTATCTTATTTTTGAATTTCCTTTTTGATCAATTTGAACTTTATATAGGATTGTTCTATTTGCAAATAAAGGACAATTTTGATGATTTAGGGAAGTACAATTTTATATATATATTTATCTTATTTTTGAATTTTCCTTTTTGATCAATGAACTTTAGATTGTTCTGATTGCAAATAAAGGTACAATATTTTGATGAATTTGTAGGGAAGTTACAATTTTTATTCTTTCAGACAGTTAGAACTTGCCTTTCCTCTCCCCAAACTGGAATGACCTCATCCCTAAATTTCCTCAGTCATTGTTGATTGTGTTGTGGCTTCAAAGGCTGGATAGCTTCAGTTCTCTGTCACATTTCCTTGTTTCTCTAAATCTGCTACACCGTCATTCTTTGAATGGCTATATGGTACAATTGCCGGATATGATTAATGCGAAAAAAAAATTACGTGATTTAATAGTTTCTTGAATCTACAAAAGAAAGTCAAGAGGATGACGTAATCTGGCATTAATGTTAAAGAGAGGGTAAAATCTATAATATAAATATGGATCAATTTTATGTAATTTCTTAAGTACATTTAAGAGTAGCTAAAGAAATTTTTAATAGAGATCAACATTTTTAGCTATGAATTAACAATCTTTTTATTAAACTTGCTGTACCAATATGGTAAAATTGTCATTAACTCATTTTTCTGGAAAAATTCATTGAATGAGTGAATTTTGGAAGAAAGTTGAGACCAAAGGAGATGCCAATCTTATGCTTCATGGGTTCTTTCACTAAGTGCTTTTTTATTTTTTTTCTAGTGCTTTTAGGTGGAAGTTGCCTGAGCTCACTTTTGATCCTTTACAAGTTGCCAGTCTACATTATACAGTTACTGTGCTCAGTTGATTATTTTATATCTTCAAAAAACAAAAAGAGATTGCTAAATTCAGTAGCAAATCTAGCCCTTTAATAATCTGTTTACTATCTAAAGTGAATTCTGCATTGAGTCCAAGTTGACATGATTGCTTGAACAGCCATTGGAAAATCAATTGCAATGTCTCCCATGGAAAATCTTGGAGCTCTGGAATGTCAGTCGGCAAAATCACTCGAACTTCATCAGTCTTTACTAATGCAGGATCAGAAATTGAATCATAGCCTAGCTAGGCATGTAGTGGGAACAGAGAGAGCAATGACTCAGTCCACGACTTTGTTGAAACCTCTGGTCCATGACCCAGCAACAAGATCCGTACAGCCAACATCTTGTTCTTCTGAAGGTGGAAAAGTTGACATGATGGCAACTCAATATGAGAATAGTCTCTTTTCAAGCTCATTATCAGAATTATTTAGTAGAAAGTGTATGTTTCTTTCCCTTTGTTACCGTTCCTTCTATGTCTAATTCACTTGCACATGCATACATGCATAAATGTACCTATAAATGCTAATCCATGTGCTTCCAATTTAAATTATCTGCCAAATGCAACACCCTCAGTGAATTATTTTGCTTCTAAAATTTTCCTTCAGAATACCATCTATGATCTACTTATAGGCATTTATATTTTTGTTGCAGTGAGGTTATCCTCAAACAATGTTCCATATGGCCATTCCGTAGATATTGTTGCCTCACATTTTGAAGAAGAAGATCCTTTTCAATCCCTTGAAGAAATTGAGGCCCAAACTATTGGAAACCTTCTCCCTAGTGATGATGACTTGTTTAGTGGAATGACTGATAAACTGGAGAATATCCACCAATCCACTGGTGGTGATGATATGGAAGAGTTGGACTTTTTTAGCAGTGTTGGAGGACTGGATTTGGGAGACGATGGTTCTGCAGCACAAAATAATATTGAATGTCCTGGCGGAGTTTCTAATGGTCAGCCAGGTTTTAGTAATGGTTCAATCGCTGGAGAACACCCTTATGGTGAGCATCCCTCTAGAACACTTTTTGTCAGAAATATAAATAGCAATGCTGAAGATTCCGAGTTAAAAGCACTATTTGAGGTGTGTACGTGTATTTTTTTTATTGTTTTAGTTGGTAGCCCGTTAACATAGATGAGCTATTTGCCTTACACAAGCTCTATACCTACTGTAAACCATTTCATACATTGAATATGCAGCAATATGGAGATATCCGCACTCTTTATACATCCTGCAAGCATCGTGGTTTTGTTATGATCTCGTATTATGATATTAGGGCTGCAAGAAATGCAATGAAAGCGCTGCAGGATAGACCACTAAGGCGCCGAAAACTTGACATTCATTACTCAATCCCAAAGGTTAGCTTCGATTGTCCTTCCTGAAGTATTTTACTTTTATGAATCGATCATTGTTATAGTTGTTAGCAAATGGAAGTCCTATTCTTGAGCATTTCAGCTTTTCTGGTGCAAATTCATGAGCCTTTACATGTTCCATTGCCATATGGGTTACTTTTATCAGGACAACCCCTCGGAAAAAGATATTAATCAGGGGACTCTGGTTGTTTTCAACCTAGATTCTTCCATTTCAAATGACGAACTTCGTCAGATTTTTGGTGTGTATGGAGAAATTAAGGAGGTAAATGTTCATTTTTAATAGTAAACAAAAGATGATTTATTACGAATGGGGCATGAATCCATATTTTGCTTGCCTCGCAGATTCGAGAAACCCCACACAGAAGTCATCACAAATTTATTGAATTCTATGATATTAGAGCTGCAGAATCTGCTCTTCGCGCATTGAACAGGAGTGATATTGCAGGGAAGCGAATTAAGCTTGAGCCAAGCCGTCCTGGGGGTGCAAGACGGTAGCTTCCAACGATATTTACTTTGCATTTAATTTCTTGCCTATATTTTATTTCTTCTTTAGCTTTTAGTTCCACTGGAATAAGCATACCTTCCACATTTGGGGTCATTAAGTTTACTATTTTTGTGATTACTAACTTTAAGAGGACAACCTTCTCTTCAGAGTCAAAATAATGTAAAATAATTTGATTTGACCCAACCAATGCTCTACCAACTGAGTCAAGCCCAAGGCCTGTGCTGTTTGCATCCTTTTAATTGTCAATATTAGAGCAGTTGCTGCTTTATATCTTCTCCTAACAAACCCTAGCCATTTCCTTTTATCCATCAATAAACTGTGTTTTTCTCTGGTTGCAGTTTGTTGCAACAGATTCCTCCTGACTTGGAACAGGATGAGAGTGGGCATCCTGCACAGCAGAGTAGCCCTCCCAACAAATCAGTTGCTGGATTCCCTGGTATGAATATTAACAATGGGATAGCCTGCCTATTTAGATATTATTGTTTTGATATTCTTATGAAGCATTGTTAACAGGAGTACTTCCACATCGGGCAATAATTTCCAATGGCATTGATAATGGGACTATCTTGGGATTACCATCTCCAACACAAGCCCCATTTCTGGAATCAGAATTTCATCATGGAATTTCATCTAGTGTTCCGAACAGCTTGTCCTCTTTTTTGAGAGTCGACTCAACCGGCAATCAAACTGGCGTTGCTGAACCTGGTCACACACAGGGTCAATTAAAATTTGATATTCAGGGCACACCAAATTTTCATCCTCATTCGCTTCCAGAGTATCATGATGGTTTAAAGAGTGTGGTTCACTCTCCTGTCGGCATCGTTACAAATATGAGTTCAAAGCCACTTGAAAGAATCGAAAACAGGCAATTACACAGAATCAGTCAAAATGGGCATTCGATTGAATTCAATGATGGAGGTAAATGCAATGGCTAAAATTGGAAGCAGTTTTTCTTTCTAAAATTGGAAGCAGTTTTTCTTTCTAATGCTTTTTTTCTTCATGTGTTTTTTATGGGGGGGTGGGGTTTTCTCCATTTCAATGAACTGTGCTTTTTTGCTTCTGCTTCCAAAAAAGTAATTTCTACAAATTTTGATTTTTCTATAAAACCAATACAAGAATAAGTGTAGTGATAAGTTTTTTAGAATTTTGCTGTACATGATAAAGGTAAAAATAAACTACAAATTAAAAATTTCTTCTTGTAAGAACTTTTCAACCATTGCTTCTTGTTGTCTAACAAAAAGTTGCCTTTTTCTTTCGAAAAAAAAAAGATTGCAAGGCAGCCCAAGGGGGCCTTGATTTTCCTGCCTTTGCATGGCTATGATAAGCAATGAAAATGCTTTAATACCAAAAATGAAAAATTTAATAAAGGGACATGGAAGCTACAATTAATTGGCTTGTCGAATGTTAAGTTTAGTTTTTATTATCTTTGTTGTTCACGGAACATTTAAGTTAACTGCAATAAGATAGGCATGATTTCTGTTGTCTACTTTCAAAAGTTTAGCTAAGGTCTTAGTTAAGAATGATTTCCAATATAAGCAGGCACATGCATGATGTGCCATCTTAATATTCTAGAACTAGAAAAATCGAATTAGCCTGTCTACAGCTGTCCTTACCACAATTTCATTCCATGCAGCAGTAAATCTGAAGATTTGTTGTATGAGTTTTTTTGGTTACTTTCATATTCTAATATTGAAGTGTGGACACTTGGGAGCTATGCACTTTAAATATTGAGTGACCCAGTCAAATGGAAGCCAGATTTCAATTATGTCAGTCTATTCATTTTTATACTTATTTATTTATCTAGTCCTTATTCTGTTTTCCAGTTTTTGGATCAGCTATTAATGGGAGCTCTTCTCATCCTGGACATCATTTCGCATGGGGAAACTCCTACCACCATCCACAGTCTCCAGGCATGATGTGGCCAAACTCATCATCTTTTGTCAATGGCATTTCCATGTCTCATTCCTCAGTGCGGCTACATGGACCTCCTAGAGCGCCACCTCCTGCTCTAACATCTGTTCTACCTATAAATAACCACCATGTAGGATCCGCACCAACCATCAATTCTTCTCTCTGGGAAAGGCGACATGCTTATGCTGGGGAATCTCCCGAGTCTTCTGGTTTTCATCCGGGTTCCCTTGGGAGCTTGAGAATTTCTAATAACTCACTGCACTCTGCAGAACTCGTCTCTCCTAACATGTTCCCTCATGTCCCTGGAAACTATATGGACCTGTCAATTCCCCCAAAAAATGTAGGACTCCAGCAACACCATCAAAGGTCAATTTTTCCTGGGAGAAATCAAATGATAACCATGACCAGTCCATTTGAATCCCCAAATGAACGTACGAGGAGTCGTAGAAATGAAGGGAGCATTAACCAGGCTGACAAGAAACAGTTTGAACTTGATATTGATCGCATATTGCGAGGGGAAGACAATCGGACAACGCTTATGATAAAGAACATTCCTAACAAGTATGTGCATAACTTTGATACTGTGAATTACTGTTTTAACATTTTTCGTAATGAAACTTGAATTTTTAATGCATGGGAATATCTAGTCTAGACATGTATACATGACTTTAAATAGAGTAATTTGATTGGACACTATGGTGATGGCAGGTATACTTCAAAAATGCTTCTGGCTGCAATTGACGAACACCATAAAGGAACTTATGATTTCATTTATCTGCCAATTGATTTCAAGGTATGTCCATTTGTCTGAAGTAGATAGCCTTAAAATTGTGGTTGGCTTTTGGGTTATGGGATGGGTCAAACTTTTGGAATCCTTGTGTTTTACTTGCTCTGACTTTTACATGTGTTGCAGAATAAATGCAATGTGGGGTATGCATTCATCAATATGATTGACCCAAGCCAGATAATTCCATTCTATCAGGTTAATTCTGAGTAAGCTTAAGAGTATACATTATATGTCTGTAGACTAAAAGCTAAAAGTGAAAATCTAACTACGGCAGGTATTCAATGGAAAGAAATGGGAGAAGTTCAATAGTGAAAAGGTAGCATCACTTGCGTATGCCCGTATACAAGGAAAAGCTGCCCTCATTGCACATTTCCAGAATTCGAGCTTGATGAATGAGGATAAGCGATGCCGGCCCATTCTCTTCAACACTGATGGTCCCAATGCTGGTGACCAGGTATGAATGTTACATTACTGTCCCTTCACATGCTAGTTAATAAATGGTCTTGCATATCTCTTTCCTAGTCGAACATGATTTGAGTAATGTTGCCGAACTTGGAAGGGCTTCTTCCTCTAGGATGTAGGAGGTCCAAATTTCCCTTGTCAAAAGGAGAGAAGATAGTGCAGGAGGTTTTATATTGATCCTTTCCTTTATCTGTAGGTGCCGTTTCCTATGGGAGTTAATGTTCGAACTAGACCTGGGAAACCTAAAAGTGTCACCAACGAGGAGAACCATCAAGGAAGTTTACCAAATTTGTCCAACTTGGAGGATTCTTTGAACGGGGATGCTTCTTGGGGTTCTGGGAAGGAGTCTGACTGACAGACTGGGCAAGCCACATTTTTCTTTTCTGTGGGCACTAACCTCTTAGGATTGAGTAATTTAAGATTGGTACCTCTGAACATCATTGACTAAATATATAGGGGGCACGGCTGATTGGAAAGAAATACAATTTTTCTGCTTTTGAGAAGCTTCCTGAAATCCTGTTTCCTCTGGATTTTCTTATAGTTCTGGAACTACTAGAAAAGAAGCATCAGGTGAAAGCTTCAAAGTTTTGTTTGTTCTCGAGTAAAATACATATAAAATAGATGTACAGTAGCTGATGAGCGATGGAGGATCATTTCACTGGGGTTCTGAAGCATTCTTTCTTAAAAAAAATTCACTTTTTCTTTTGATACTGTTTTTGTTTTTTCTTTTTCATCCCATTTGTAACTGATGGGATACACACACAAGCGAAGGAGTTCTGAATTGAATTTTTTTTCTGAAGAGATGGAACTGATGATACCATGTTCATTAACTTTTTGGGAAACATAAAATTTTCTGTCTATCCTAAAAATGCTTTATTTTGTTTGGATCTATGTTTTTGGCATGGATATAATTGCTGTTATACTGATAAGTTGATAGAAGCAAAGGTGTTCGATTGGACAAAGGGATTGTATGCACCAGACCTATATTTTCTCACCTCAGATCGTTGTGTTTGATGTTCAGAACTTAAGGCCCGTAACAATGGACAATCCAACAGGGTAATTTGATCCAAATTGAGAATGAAACAAAAACAGAAGAACACCATAGTTATTTCTCAAAAAAAAAAAAAAAAAAAAAAAAAGTGTATATATTTGAGTTGAATAGAAGCAAAGGTTTGTTCGATTTGTGACTCCGAAAGGGACTTGTATGCACCAAGACCTATAATTTCTCACCTCAGAATCTGTTTATGTTTAGAGTTGATGTTCAGAACTTAAGGCCCGTAAACATTGGACTTAATAAGAGCCGAACAGGGTAAATTTGTGATCAAAATTGAAGAAAAATAAATGAATACAAAAAACAGATAGAACACCAATAGTATAGTTTCTCCTAAATAGATAAAACAATAAAAAAAAATAACAAAAAGAAAGAATATGCTAAATTAGAAGACCACGATGAGGTGAGTCGATTCTAAACCAATAATTTAAAAAAAAAAAAAAAAGTACAAGTTAAAAGTAGAAGGAGAAAAGTGTTAACAAAATTTTATGTATATTTCATGTATCTTAAAGGTTAGCATAATTTCTACACTTCATCAATGATTTGTCTTGATTACTCTCCCGAAGAAATGAAGATTGGCCTGTTTGTGCAAAAAATGGCTAATAAATGTATATAGGGGATTTTCCAACACTTTACAATCATCGAATATAATACTTTTCCTAAAGAATCTAGAAATAAACTAATCAATATCATTTATGAAGCTTCGGGCCAATACTCTTAGTATCCACAAATTTTTACAAACAAACTTGTCTCTCCGGTTTACATTTCGGCGGTAACATTTGTGTATTAATCCAAAAACTATTACAAAGTCAGGGGTTACCGTTAGCTATAATTTTTGAGCTCTACGGCCTGATCCTGAACCTATATGTGACGTGCAAAGTAGCAGACCTGTAACTTTTATATATAGGTATGACAAACTCAAAACTGTTAAAAAAGAGAAGGCTATATAAGAAAAAACAATTCAAATAATTATTTCCCCCCTCCATCAGCAAATGCAATTTCCACAAGGATGATTAAAGACCATGGTGAGACCTGCTTCAAATCCCATGAATTTAAACCTGATGAGTGTCATCTTTTCAAGCAAACCTTGGCATCAATATCCCCATTTCAGAGTTTCAGAAGCATTTGAAATTTTTTCCAAAAAGCTACTAAAAAAAAAAAAAAAAAAAAAAAAAAAGAAAGTGCTAATTAGAAAGACCCGATAGTGAGGCAAAACCAATAATTTAAAAAAAAAAAAAAAGTACAAGTTAAAAGTAGAAGGAGAAAAGTGTTAACAAAATTTATGAATTTCATGTATCTTAAAGGTTAGCATGATCCAACAATATTTGTTGATTACTCTCCCAAGCAAATGAAGATTGGCTGTGTCAAAAAATGGCTATAAATGTAAAGGATTTCCAACACTTGACAATCATCGAATATAATACTTCCTAAGACTAGAAATAAACTAATAATTCATTTATGACAGCTATGCCAATATTAGTCCAAATTTTCCAACAACTTGCTCGGACATTCGCGGTAACATTGTCATTAACCAGCTATTACAGCAGGCCTTGTTAATTGCTACCGCCTGATCTGAAACCTAATGGCTGCAAATAGCAGACCTGTAACTTTTATATATAGGTATGACAAACATCAAAGCTGTTAAAAAAGAGAAGCTATATAAGAGAAAACAATTCAAATAATTATTTCCCCCCTCCCTCAGCAATGCAATTTCACAAAGATGATTAAAGACCATGTGAGACCTGCTCAATCCATGAATTTAAACTGATGAGTGTCATCTTTTCAAGCAACCTTGCATCAATATCCCCATTCAGAGTTCAGAAGCATTTGAAATTTTTTCAAAAGCTACAGCATAAAGCAAATGAGCCTAGGCCTTTGCCTTACAACATCAGGGTCCTAGGCCTTTGCCTTACAACATCAAGGTTCCTGCCACCATGCTTTCCTTCATAGCCCCACCAATTTACCAGGAATCCATTAACAGCCTGCAACATATATATGAAAGAAAATTTAATTATAAATATCCTTCTTTGAAACATCACAGTATTGATCAGGAACAAACAAACAATTCATTTGACAGTTTAATTACAACTGAATAAATGATTTTACCAGCAGCAAATAACCAAATTGTACTGATGAAAAATGGCACCAGAGTGCCTAGATACTGAAAAAAAGGTGTTTGAATTTGAATAGTTCTTTGCATATTTTACATCAACATGAACATAGAGAAACCTCCACCCCACACAAATGCAGTGCATTATGACTAGAAGATAGCTTACCAGGGCCAGCAACACATCACTTTGGGTAGAGAATATCATAGTGACCCGGACGATAAAGCAAGTTAATGAAGGGATTTTTGGTCACAGAGCCATCAGTAGCAGGATTTGGGACATCACTGGCCATAGGAATGAAATCATGATGATTAACACTAACACCACCTGTATCACAAGAACTGCGGTCAAGGTATACAACACGAATTGGTACCCCTAGCGCATCAGATAGGGCAGTAATGTGCACATGGTCGCTCTCTTCACCCATTGGTTCCACAGAGGACTTGCAGAACTATAACAAACCAGATTGTAACATTAGAGAGAGAGAGAGAGAGAGACAGAGAAAGAGAGAGTTGGGACTCCAAGCTCGCACAAACGTGAACCAAATAATCAACTTATCAAAAATACATAAAATTTTAATATTGAACAAAACCTGTTCTACTGTTGCATTTGTTAACCCCAATATAAAGGGTTCAAAAAAGTCGGAGCGTCTTCGTATTTCGCCAGAAGTAACAAATCTGAAAAACATGACAACTAACCAACCAAATTTGTTAGGGGACAATTTGTTCAAGAGGAAGGGATCCACTCAGAATTTCAGACCATTGAGTCTCCAAAATCACTCACCATAATCTGAAATTGACTGATCTCTACTCCTATTTATGAGCTCATCATGACTGTAAAAGAATAAAAATAAGAAAGGAGTTTATTACACACATTATAGAAGTCATTTCATCAGCTGAAAATGTTTATCAATAAATATTATTAGTCTATGTCGGTTCATGGTTACAAACAGAAGTGATTATGATGAAGTATTAGTACAAGACTTGAGATACTAAAGCAAATGCACTCTCAAAATGTTTAACAGAATATTACGCTAAGGAAAAGGGGATTATACTTTACTGAAGTTTCATTTCCCTGAAGAACACAATCCAACTGCTCCAGGAATAACTGCAAAATTTTTCACCATGGAACTAGAGCTGATTTATATTGATAAAGGTAATTAAAGTGCTAGTAGAAACTAAGCCTCAGTCTTTAGTAAGTATTATTTGAAAAGAATTGAGAAAATTAAATCTTCCTACACCAATAATAAAGCAGCAAGTCAAGTAAAACATTAAAATTCACTAGTTCACTCACTTCAAAATGAGAATATAAGGCTTTGATTTAAGTAACCTCATCTCAAACACATCTCACATTGGCAAATAATAATTTTCTTGTTCTTCCTCTGTTGCCCCAATGCGAAACAGAAATGGGTTTTAACATGAATATCACTATTTGACACACATTTAAATCCATGGAAAAGTCAAGTTCAGTTGAAACAAAAAGGTCTATCATTTCCATGGAGATGCATATTCAAAAATTCAGCATCGTACAGGTCCATAAAATATCATAACTTCAAACCTCCCAGAGTCGGCAAAACTGTGATTCCAGGGATCAGCCACAAGGCTATCATAAACAATAACCATCAGATATTACCTTTAGCACTAATCTTGAAATTTCCTTTTCTTAAGGGTTATGGTTAAACATAGCTTAAACACTCGATATAACAGAAAATGCGCTTGTACATAAACAAAGAAAAAGAGCATGCAGTTATTGCGTAATGTAGTAAAATGCACAAAATGGGTTTACCGCAAAGAAATCCTCAAAGGTAAAATCAGCATATCCCAAACTCTGAAGCGTTTTTCTACATTCTTCCACCTTTATTTTGACACGATCAACTTCTGCTCGGTCTTGTGTTTGCAAAATATGCTCCTATTTACAGCACCAAGTACCCGTTAACAATAAATATGGAGGAAGAGGCAGACAAATATGTCGAATACAATAGCATCAAGGCATACAAGGTATGAAAACATGAAGCTTCGAAAGAAGCAGTTCCCATCTCCGCGCGTTCGCCTAATGGCAGCGTACTGCTCTCCCAGCACCTACGCGAGCAGACATGAAAGTTACTAATAGAGGAATAAGAATTAAAAGAGCAGAGCAGGATTTTTTTTTTAGCACAAACAAACCTTTATTTTCTCGAGCAAAATAGGGCTTCCCGATTGATATTCAGCAGCCAATGCGGAAAGAGGCTCCTACAGTTTGAGTGGACGGTTTAAAGTTAAAATGCATAGTCTTAGAAACAAAATAATAATTCTCACATAGAAGTAGATAGAAATCCAAAACAGACGAACAAACAAAAGATAAATCAAGAAACTGCATAGTTGAAACGAGAAAACAATGCCTTGTCACCGAGAAAAGGAATTTTATCGGCTTCAACAGAGCGAATCGTAGAGTGGTGTTGCATAATATCTTCGTCTGCAAAATTAGCCCAATCTTCAAACTCAGAAGGCGCAGGCGTAGCCTTAGCCTCTGCTTCTCCATCCGCTAATTGGCCCTCTTGATTCTGCATCTCTCTCAGTCTCTGTCTAATCATAACAAGAGAATTATAAGAGAGTATAACAAAATTGCTAAGCTACTCTGCTAATCACTAATCAGTACCTAAAGATCAAAAGAAAGACTGGCGTTGAATTCCTAACAGCGTGCTCTTGCCTTGCCTCTCCTCTCCGCCTGACCTAGAAGCCGCTTCTCTGATCGATTAGAGATTTGCGTTCTTACTTTTGACAAGTTGCGCAGCAGATACTATTCCTACCCTCTAAGCTTTGCCCGAACGGAAACAGTTGCAGAAGTTGATTTGGGCCCAAGATCCTGACACAAATAAGGATCCGTTTCCCTCTCGTTAGCGTTGAGTTGAACTTGGGATTGTTATATTTTGGGCCTCTGGCCCATAAATAGATTAATAGAAACCGTTTCGTTTTGGTCACACCCAGAGAAACTTTGTTTTTAATCCAAGTTTGAAGTTTTATCTTTTAAAAATAGACATATATAGTCTAGTGCATCATAATACTAATTTATTAGAAAATTAAGAAATTTAATTATATCTTTGAAAAGGAAAATGGCCTATAATAAATTATAAGTAAACAAGAAAAACAAGTTCATTTCTATCCGATGAGGAATCAGTTATTTACTATCCAGTAATTGCCAATAATAAACTGCAATTGTTTATCCAATCATGCTTTGGACTAATTTTTAATTCATTAAAATTGATAAATAATAAGTATTAATTAAGTAAATCGAATAATGAAATAAATAGCTAAAAATATATATTTTGATTGATTTTCTTATTAATACGAAGAGTGAAAGATTAAGTTTGAATATTTTTATTTATACAAATTTTTATCAATTTAGCAAGTAAACGAGAAAATTACTCTATATTTGACAGGTGAATGAATAAACAAAATTTGCATAAATAAACGAGGATGATGTAAAGGCGGAAGATCTTTGTTGACTGGTTAAAAACAAGAGTGGGTGAGCGGAGAGGTCGCTTTTGGGTTAAGTCACCCTATAGGTAAGTTCTGCTCATTTGATAGCCATAGTCAAAGTATAAGCTTTGAAGTCAGCGACAATCCCGAGCAAGGCCGGTTTCAGGTCAGACAAAACTACGACGGTTTTATTTTATTTTTACTGTTATTGAAAATAATAATAATATCAATATCAACATCACATCAAGAATTATCATAATTTGTGCGTATATGATCTCTCTCTGGTTGTAGTATTGCATTTGGCACATGCATCTGCGCATGCAAGAAATTCTGTCGCTGACTTTTTTGTTCATTCTTTTAATTTTCCCTTTCTTGATAAGTCTTTTAAACAACAGTTCACAGCTTGAATGTGTTTTTCTGCAGCATCAGAAAATCCAATCTCAACTCTTTGGGAACCTTGTAATAATAGGAATATATAGGATCCATGTCCAGAAAGAAAGAACTGGTAACAATATTTTTTTGTTGGTGAAAGAAAGAGGCAGTCATTTCAAATACATATATATATAGAGATGAAGACATGTTTGTACATTTCTTCCATTACATACATTATTATAGTATTAGACAAGGTTCATGGCTATTCACTTAAATGGTAACTAGGCTATCTGTCTATCTGTCTGTCTCTTTCACATGTATGGTTTTATTTTGCCACTTTTGCAATATGTTATATGATTCAATGCAACGACCAGTCACCTTTTTGTGAGAAATTCAGATGGTAATATGTACATAACACGTTCAAATGTCAAATAATAGTCCTCGATAATTTGTGTTGTGGTTTGACTTGCATATAGATTAAAAAAATTTAGTTAAATTATAATTTTTGTTTTATTTTCTTCCTAAACCTGCGATTATGTTAATATTCATAAAAATTAAATGATTCATATTAAATTATTCTTCAAATTAATCAAACATTTGACTAAATAGAGTTTTATTAGATGAATAGAGATTGATATGTTAATTTTATTTACATTAATATTTAATTAATGACAACCATAGTAGTTTGATTATTATATTTATTGACAAAAAAAAATATTAAACAAAAATAAAATAGTAGTAAATTTCAAATATTATTGCACTTCTAAAAGTTGAAACATAGGATTTCAAAAACTAAAAATTGAAATATAAGACAAAAATTAAGGAACGGTTGGAGTAGTTTTTCGGTATTGATTATTTATTGCATGAATAAGTAAAACCATGTGTTTTCCTGGTATATAAACAATTTTTTTATACCAAAAAATTTTATTATAAATAATTAAATTGAAAATTAAACTTAATAACTAAAATTCAAATATAACAAAAGTGTTTCTAGGTACGATAATTGCAATGCCTAGCATTATAATTACAGTGTCTTTGGCAGAAATCAATCAACGAGTATTATAAGTGCACAAATCATAAAATGGAATCTTCGAGGCATTAGGCATGCAGTGATAGTAGCTAATAATTAATAATATGTATTTGTTATCTTCCCTGTGAGGGTTGCAGGTTATGTGGCTTCATGTGCAAGAGAAATGCAACCGCTCTTTTCTTCATTTTCTATTGCAAATTCTTATCGTTGAAGATCCTTTTCCAGGTGCAAGAGTGACATACCAAGTGATGTAAAGTGCTTCTCAGTTTGCGACTCATATATATTAATTAGCCTTGACTCCATTATTTAACCTATAATTATTTAATTAACAACTCCATTGACTCAACAGCTTAAATAATTAAGTACATACATTCTTTTTTTTAAAAAAAAAAAAAAAAAAAAACCGCTCTTTTCTTCCACATTTTCTATTGCAAATTCTTATCGTTGAAGATCCTTTTTTCCAAGAGTGGCAAGAGTGACATAACCAGTGATGTAAAGTGCTTCTCAGTTTGCGACTCAATTATTATATTGAATTAGACCTTAGACTCCATTATTTACTCTATAAATATATTTAATTTAAACAACTCCAATATGACTCAACAGAAAATACACGCTTAAAATAATTAAGTACATACATTCTTTTTTTTAAAAATTTTTTTTAAAAAAAAAAAAAAAAAAAACCATGGGCTCAGAAGATTTTCTTTATCATATTTTCATGCATTGAACCGTAATAATTCAGATTCCATATGTATATTTGGACGTCTGCATTCAGAATTTGCCAATTTATAATATATTATATGATATAATTGAGCTGATGTTTTTAGACTTTTAATAATTGTGTTAATGTCTTTTATTAGTCAATTTATTTGAATAAAAGAAAAAAATGAGGAAATCTTTTATTTCAGTGATTTTAAAATAACAACCAAATTTCATTTATTAGGTAGCTACTTTCAAAATATTTTTCTTATAATTTTTGGAGGTTTTTATTTTTAATCAATAGGATGAGATAAATTTAAAAAATGTTGATAATCATTATATTAATTTCTAAAATAAAATAATTTAATTTAATTTGTTGTAATTTGCCTAATTAATTAATGGAAAAAGACAAATACGAGTTACTATTAACAAAATCATGGATTCTTGGAAAGAAAACGGTATAGTCGTGGACTACATATGTGTTCACCACATGTACACTAGAGGAGCCAGTTGTACCAAAGAAACAGTGCACCGGTGGGTAAGTTTGTCTCTTAATTTATGCCTTTTTTTTTTTTTTTTTTACCTCTTAATCTTTAATGCCTTTTTTTTTTTTTTTTTTAATATAGAAAAAAGATATAACCTTCGTTCCGAAATCCGCAGTCCAATTTGTTTTTTATTTATTAATCCTACAGTTTTTTTTTTTTTTTTTTTAATATAGAAAAAAGAAGAACCTTCGTTCCGAAATCCAATTTGTTTTTTATTTATTAATCCTACAAGAAGATAAATACTCCGAGACCGAACATTGGCCGAACTGAGCAATAATAAATAAACCTGATATCAAACCCGATTTTTCCTCTATCCTTTGCCAAACCAAACACTGGCCGGTAGTATTATACTTAATATTGTCGGATTCTTAACCAGAAGCAAGCAAATCATTAGATTAGATGCCCCAGAGAGTGATAATCATATAATCGAATCAGGTTGATAAAGGTGGATCGAAGGCATGGAAAGAGGCCACTTCCATCGGAAGCATCAGAGGAGAAAGAGAAAGAACACCAAGAGTTCCCTTCTTATCCTTCTTCTTGGTCAGAAACAGACATGTCTGCCATGGTTTCAGCACTCTCTCAAGTCATCGCTACTTCCACTGACGATAATCCCACTTCGGTGCAATCAACTCAAGTTACTGCACAGCAAACGCTTGTCAAAGAGGAACTTGACCAGTCCCAACCTACTCTAGATCAAGGTATTTACATATCTATGTTCTTGATTTTTCTTTTTTCTTTAAAAAAAGACTACGGGATAGTCAAGAGAAATGGTCTTTTCGAAACCCTTTTCTCGATAAAGCACGCCTTTAATCATTTGTTTGAGTTAAAGGTAGATTATATAGCTTGAATCGACAAAATTTTACAATTCTGGGTTTCTTTTTATTTCGGGTAATAATGCTTATGATCTTGTCAAATTAAGATGTCACGATCTATTCATGGTGCTTTCTGCTTTTCTTGCTGGAGCCTAACCTAGCCTCTTCTAGTATATACTTCTCCTTCTCCTCCTCTTTCTTTTTTTTTTTTTTCTATTTTGTTTTTAGGTTTGTTTTGGTAAACTCCAAAGAGGCGTATGGTTGATAGGTAGATATATGGCCATTTAGGGTTTTGTCAAGTTCATTGTATCTTACTTTCCGTAAACAACTCTATCTCTATTACAAGTTAAGAGTCGTACCTTAATATGGACACTCTTTTTATTATTTATTGTTTTTTTTCATTTTCGAAAGACAATAGTAGTGATGTGATGTCAAGGTGGTAGTCGTTTTGCATGTGCTTATGCTTGTATAAGACAAGCACCATTAGCTTATAGCTTCTCAGTCTTTGTAATTAAAGAGAGTCTGTTCCGTGAATCACTAGCATTCCTTTATGTTAAAGACATTGACCTCGTGAGTCATTATACCTTTATCCCTTTGATTTCTAATATTTCTTGTTCCTTGCCAAATCTTGAAAGCGACAACTGATTTTGTTGCTACATTAATTACCAGATTGGTGGAACACCATAAGTTCCAATTTGTAACTTTCATTATCATTATAAAAATACTTCCACCAAGTATGAATTATTAATCTGACTATAACCTTTCACTTTGCTTCGATCATACTGCATTAATTTCCTAGATGATTTACAATAGTAAATCAGCCAGATATGGATTGCTTTGTTAAGTTTTAGATTTCACTTTCAATTGTCTTATATAGTTTCACACTCTAACTAATCTGATTGGATTAAGAACTTAGTGGTGTTCAGATTTTCCATATCTTGAGACTATTTCTCATTATATAAAGTTATCTAAATGTGCTAAGAAAGAGAGGGAATATTAAAGTTTCCTCTTGAGATAATTTATTGAATAATCAAGTTAAAAATCATAGGTCATGCATTAACGTGTGAAAATGGAAATGGGGAGCGTTTTATGGAAGCATGTTAGAAAGGAAGGATTAGCAAAAAAATGACATGGTTTTAAGGTAAAATGAGTCTTTCAACAAAAATTGTAAAAAAATAATAAAAAGCAATTTTTAAAGGCAACTTTCATACCACTTTTGATTCTTTTTACACTATATATTATAGTATTTCAGGAAAGTGCTACTTTGGTTCCTTGATGCATGCATCTCTGTATTGATAGTACCTTGTATGTCAATTCCTATCACTAGAGCTCTTCCAAGTTAGCTATATTTAAAGATTTTACTGTTAATATCAATCAAGTATATGTAGTTCTTTAATTTCTATAACCATGATCATTTGTTCCATTTACTTTTGAATATATCATATAATATCATTGATGAGTTTGAAGATGACGTGTGTATGTATATGAGTTTGTGAAGAAAATACAAGAAGAAGACACTACAGAGGAGTGAGGCAAAGACCTTGGGGCAAATGGGCCGCCGAAATACGTGACCCTAAGAAGGCAGCGAGGGTCTGGCTGGGTACTTTTGACACAGCGGAGGACGCAGCTCTTGCCTATGACAAAGCAGCTCTAAAGTTCAAAGGCACCAAGGCTAAGCTTAATTTTCCTGAACGAGTTCAAGGGAAACCCGAGTTTAGCTATTTCATGACTAGTTCTGGTGATTCATCAAGCGCTTTGGCGCCGGAACAAAATCCAATGGCAGCAGCTGCTTCTGCCCCTTCTCGCCATTATCTTCCTCCACCACCTTCATTTCCGCAAGAAGCATACCCGGACTTGCTTCAATATGCTCAAATTCTTTCCAGTAACGATGCAAATTTCCAGTATTACACTTCAAATCTCTTTAACCAACAGTCTTATGCTCCACCTTATTATTCGTCCACATTTTCATCACAGCAGCACCAACAACAACAAGAACAGCAACAGCAACAGCAACAGCAACAAAATTTGACGAGATTTTCGCCACGGTTTGATAGCTCTTCCAGTTCTGATTATCTAGAACACGGGAAGGACTCTAGTAACCCCAGCGAGTAGTATATCTTTGGGTTCCTGTATTAATTAATTAATTAATTCAGCCCTAAGATAGTATTATGGTATCCATATTATTAATCAGTTAGGATGATATGATCAGTGAGCGTCTTTCCTAGCTATGGGATTCCATAAACAAGATCTTTTAAGTTTTTTTTTGAAGCTCATTTATTTTTCACCATTTTTTTTTTTTTTTAATGTATGGGGATGGCAGGAGTAGTTCAATTAAGTCACCCCAAAGATCTCTCTCCTCAACGAACTGTAGGAAATTTTGGCTATTGCCCTTTTCTTATTTATTTCTTTTTTTTTTCTTAAAAAAAAAGTATATTTGCATAGTTATTTACTTCCAAAGTCACAAAACTCTTTTGAATTGCGTTAAATTAGCAATGATGCTGGTTAGTGGCCAACTCTTGCGAAAGTTGGAACCCATATATACAATGTTGGGGTTAGTTTATTAATTTACATGCTATGAATATGATGACTTGAACACTTGTTATATATAGCAATTTCTTTCAACTCTAGCAACCCTTATCTAAACTCAACAACATTTTTTAATATTGGAATCTAACTTTGAAAAAGAATACCAAAACCATACATCCATTGTCAAACTTTAGCCGAGAATATCAAACCAATTTATCATTCTTGTCAAATTCCCAAGACTTCAGGCCTTAAATCCTTCTTTGACCAATTTACTGTATCTTTAAACAACAGTGAAAAGATGGCCTGCAATTGATAATCCATCTTCAATATATGGAAAAAGGTGTTAAACAATAACCATCTATCTCGTACTACATGTATGTATGTCTCTATCAGTTAAGTAATCAAATTAACTTTGTTTGAAAAAATACACATTTAGCTTCTAAATTCTAATAAATAAGTGTAAAACATAATTAAGCATAATTAAAAGAAAGGAGATGTTAAGCGGCCAAACGTGCTTCTAAGCATGGCTCCACTTCCCATCTGTGCATGATGACTGACGGAACGTGAGTTCTTGTTTCTTTGTTATATATATATAGACCCCATATTGTTAAACTTTAGCCGGAGAATATTCAAACCAATTTATCATTCTTGTACATAATTTAACCCCAATTAGGAAAAAGGAACAAGACTTATCAGTCTAGCCTGTTACCTTAAATCCTTCTTTCCGAAGCGAACACAGAGTGACAGAAGCCTAATTTAATACTGTATTTGTTAAAAACAAACAGTTAGGAACAAGTAATGGCTTGCAAATTGAGTAATCCATCTTTCATGTGATATGGAAAATATGCGCTCTGTTAAACCCAATAAACCATTTCTGTCTCGTGACTGAACAATGTATGTATGTTCTCTTTGCTCTATCAGTTTAGTATATAAACAAATTAAGCTTTGTTTGGAAAAAAATACAACATTTAGAGCAAGCCAAGTTTCGAAATATTCTACCAATATATAAATCAAGGCTGCCTAAACCCATTTTATAAATTAGTATAATTAAGAAAGGAGATTGTTTAAGGTTTTCGAGGCCAAATCGTTGGCTTTTTCCGTGAGAGAGCATCAGTTGATGGCTTTTCCACTTCCCATCTGTGCATGATTGCGACGGAACGTGAGTTCTTGTTTCTATTAGTTATATAGTATAGTATTATATATATATATATACTATATATACAACTTTGATTATTACAACTTTGTCGAGTTGTTGCTTAGTATTTGTTTTGTTTTGTGTCTGTCATCTCATGCCCAGTGATACAACTTGAACGGCTACAAATTAAAAGTCAAAGAACAACTTTAAATAAAGCACATCCCTTACCCTGTCACGCATGCACGGGCCTCGCCCACTTGCTCCTCCAGAAAGAAAGTGGGCCAGAACGGATCCTTCAAAGCCCAAAAACGAGAGGAGGGAACCATAAAACGACAAAAGTTCAAGAAACTTCTTTTTGTTAGAAGCCTCAAACCCCTTGTAAGCCGCGTGAAAGCTGAGGTGGGGAGTGGGACCCTACCCTTTCCAAATTCCCAAACGGAACTATGGAAATAGGGTTAATGATAAGGACGTGGCTGTGATGATGAGGACCACTTTTAAATGGTGACGTGGTTTCGGAATTGCTTTCGGCTTCCACGTCAATTTTTGCGGCTCTTTGCTTTTGCCTTATCACTCTCTCAAAGTACAATCATTGATTTTTGAAACCAAAACAAAAACATTGTGCTATATTTTCAAGCGTGCACATGGAGTTTGCCCTACGCCTCTTTTCTTTTTTTTTTTTTTCTTTTTTCTTTACCAAATATTTTTAATTTTCATCATAAAATTTAGTGGAATGGAATTGAATTTCGTGTTTTATGATTTATTCCAAAAAAAATAAAAATTAAATTCTATTAAAACTTGATGAAATCTATAGAAGTTGAAATAAGTTCTTATTAATTTATATTTCATGCTCCACCTTTAATACTTACTTCTACTTGTTAGTTCATCTTCATCTTTCTAACCCTCCACAATTATGTTAGATATTTTATATTTTTATGCTATTTTTTTAATCCATGATATGATTATCTTGGTATATGGGTTTCTGATAATTAAAAAATGAAGGCATGTAATTTGTGTTGATTAAAGTGTGATAATGAGGAGTTGATCATGACACGAATACATGAGTAAATGATGAGGGATTTGCAAAAGGATGGGCTACTGGGCCAGACTAGAGAACCCTCATTCATCATGTCTGCAATCTTTTCTCCTTTCTTTCTTTCTTTTTTCATATCTAACTGCCAGTTTGTCGGAGACATGACAGAACCAGGTTTCGCAAAGTTACAACAGTTTGTCGTATTGATACTTGAAATGGGTTATGTTATGTTATGGCATAGATTCTATTCATTATGGCTTTGGCTTGTAAATGTTAAGGCTATAATCAATTTCTTCCTGGGAAGTAATAGTCAATTTTGAATCAAACAATGCCTAAATTGTATTTGGAGGACTTATTTATCCATTGGAGCCTTTAAGGGTCCCGTGATGGTGTAAACGAGCTGAGCCAAACTCAAATTTATCATGCTCGAAACTCGAAAAACCTAATAATTTTAAATTTGAGCTCAAAATTGACTTGAAGTTCGAATTTAACTCCAAAAATTTTAAATTCAAGTTTAATTCGAATAAGTTTGAAATATATATAGCTTAACAGAATTCAATAGAGCTCAACAAGCTTTCAAGCCAAATATCATTTAGTTTGTTTACTATAAAGTCAAGTTTGATTCAAAATGAACTTTTTTGAATTTCTTTTGAGCCAAATTTAAACAGTTTATACAATAGATCCAAGTGGTGACGTGATTTTCTTAATAATAAAAATTTGTAAAAAAGCACAATAACTATACTTGATTAAATTATAGGAAGCATACAAAATGGTAATTAAATAAATCCTTTTAATTTTAAATTTTTTTTATTTAATTTATAGGGTGAAAATTTTATGATAAAACTATAAATATCATATAAAAACGGTACCGTGTCATCCATACGTAATCCTCTAATCCTAGCCTAGTTGTAACACTGGGTCCCATAAACTGATCAGCACAGCTTCTTTCTCAGCCAATAGAGATGACAGGGCAGATTCGCAACATATTCTCTCACTTAATTATTTTAATTAATCTTTATTTTAAAAAATGAGAAAAATTAGTTACCGGAATACTAAACAGACGAGCCGAGGTCCTCTGGTAGTATGGCGTTGCCGGCGTTATCCGCATCGTTAATTTCCTCTCGAGAACTCTTCAGCTCGCGAGTAAAACCAGCCACCAGCCCCGGCAAATTGGCGGCAGCTTATAAGCTTAGAAATGGATCGATTAAGTGCAAAGCTGTTGGTGAAAGCTCTCAGACTTCCTTTCAACCTACGGTTTATAAAGGCGTTTACGGTACCTGGACACTTGAAAAATCCGACGTTCGAGAGGTATTCAATTGTCTGCTTCTTTTTATCTTTCAATTTGCCGTCGTTAATTAGAGTTTGATTTTTGTACTTTTGAGCGATGGATGGATGCTCGATTTCTTCTACTTTTGTTGAAAATCGGTAAAATTAGTAAACTGTTGAAACTCGGAGAGCTTGTCGTTTTGAATTAACTACAATAATTGTTACATTTACGCGAAGATGACTTGTCGTTTAAACAGGATAGCCAGTTACTATTATTGTCGATTGTGGCTTGTGAGGATTGCCTCAATCACTCAATCTTGTTCCAAATTAAAAGAATTAGACATCTCTTAATCAGTACGGCTTCAATGTTGTTATGACAGGTGATTTTGTATAGGTCAGGGCTGGTTACTGCGGCTTCTGCATTTGTAATTGCTGCATCAGATACCTTCTTACCCAGTGACTCTTTAGTGGGGGAAATAATCAACCAAAATCTTGACTTGTTGTACGCTCTTGGAGCTGGTGGACTCGGGCTATCATTACTTTTGATTCACATATATGTAACTGAGATTAAACGCACCCTTCAAGCTTTGTGGGCGCTTGGTGTTGTTGGATCTTTCGCAACCTACACAACTCTTGCTCAACCAGCTGGCGTGAGCTTGGTGCAATATGTTATTGATAATCCAATAACTGTCTGGTTTGTTGGTCCTCTGTTTGCAGCACTGACAGGACTTGTCTTCAAAGAAGGTGATGTTATGATTTACATTCTGTAAATTCACATTCTGATTGATTACCAATGAATTAAGTTGGCATTTCTTGGACATCCTAGCCTTCATTTCTCTAGTCTTTTGATGTTTTAAATATAATATATTATGGAAGTACGGTTTTCAACATGGTTCAAATGTTCTTTGATTTTTAATTTAGGGTAAAATGAATTGAAAACAAATATAAAATGAATTGAAAACAAATATCAACTGTTTCATACCTTGTTTCAAGTATCTTCAGGAAACAAGAATGTAGGCGATATACTGATATACTTTAGTTACTGTTTCTTAATTTTTTTCTGGAATCCTTGTGAACAGCTCAGGTCTCAGAAAATGTATATAGCAATTCCAATCTTCCATACACTTTTTTCACGCCTTAACTCTAAGTTCGCAGCATAACACTTCCTGCTATTATGAGATTATTTGCTATAGGCTTTGGCTTTTAATGCTATATTTCAGTAAAAGAATAATACATTGCCTTAATTCACGTTAAACTGATTTGCTGCAGGCCTTTGCTATGGGAAGCTGGAAGCAGGTATTCTCACATTCATCATACCTACGGTTCTTCTCGGGCATCTGGTATTCTTCTTGCACATACGCTAACTATGATTATAATAATAACCTCCATTTTCCGATGTTGAATCCTGTTTTATGCATTGCATATGTAGACGGGTTTAATGGATAATGGAGCAAAGCTTGCTCTATTATATTCATGGATGGCCCTCTTTGTAATATTTGCTGGAAGGAAGTTCACTCAAGCCATTAAGGTACTTTTTTTTTTTTTTTCATCCGAACATCACAAATGGAAAATTGATGGCGTTTTCTTATAATCTCTTGTTTACTTCAAAGGATGATGTTGGAGATAAGTCGGTCTTCATGTTCAATTCTCTACAAGAAGATGAAAAGAAAGCCTTGATTGAGAAACTTGAGCAACAAAAGTTTAGCCAGGACCTTAATTAGATAGGACTTTTGGGCCAAACTGATCCCTTTGTTTATAGAGGGGAAAAGGTTCATGTACAATTTTGACTGACCTTCACTTCATATACTCCAACTAGCTTATACCTACCGTTCTATAAAGTGTGACATTTGAATGTATATTGTTAGTTTACCTCTTGTTTGGAATAAATAAACTCCTAAAAATTGTGGAATTCTTTTATAAATCTAAAATTTTGTGTTTGGAATGAAAAAAATGAGAATTTAATTATATGGATTTGAATATAATTAAAACAACTTCTATCAAAAAATATAGAATTTCTAAATGAAGTCTACAAAATTAAATAGCTCAAAATTTTATGATAAAACTATATATCCTCCGACCCTTTTAAATTTATTGTACCAAGAACTTTTTAGAAAATAAAAGCAAATAAATTCATTTACAAATGAATTCTATCTAGCATTCATTAATTTCATTATTTTGAATTCATTTATACCAAATAGAGCGTAAAATGGAAATGCATTTAATTATGTTAGGTGACAAGAACGGAGAGAAATGGAAGGTAAACAGTAATTGTATTCAAATAAAAATCTTACCTAACAAAAGCAGCTATGGAATGTCACTACCCAAAATGTTTACACCATTAATTGATTTAAGACGAGCATTATTCTGTCCGTCTCTATTACTGGCATGCATTTATAGAATAGAGATCCTCCACATGAATGTAGTATGATTCATAAGAAACCCCAAAGCTTCTATTGAACGCAATGGAGTTTTAGAATGTCCCACGATAACAAACAAATTCAGCTTTTAATTGTGACTTAACGGAAAACGTGGACTAATCCTATTGTAATTTACGGTCAAGGTGTTGGGTAGGGGCATAGATCCATTTGGAAAAGTCAAAAGTTTCAGGTAACGTCAAATGGTAAATTTTCAGATCCTACGTTCAGATTTGCAGGATAAAACCGGCATTCTGGCCAGAATAACAATATCTATATTCATTGACCTTAGACATACCCATTTTCCCTCAAATGTTTCCAGGTATGGCGCTTTAAAGTAAACTAGTTCTGAATCTTTGTCCCAAGAGCTGTGAAAATTATGAATATAAAGCTCTCAACTTTTACAACAACATATATTTTTTTATAAATAGAACTCTATATCCTGCAAATAAAATCATTGAGATTCTTCATTGTTAACTGTCATTTTAGCCTTCTTGTTCCTGGTCTTTACTCCAAGATCCACCAGTGAATGACTCCCTTCATCGCTAGTCTTTTTTCTCCTGTAGTTCCGCTTGACTTCGGCTATAGTGGGTTGTTCTTTGCACTCTGCCACATTATCAGGTTGTTCAAGCAATTTCCCTTCCTCCTGACCAGCAACATTTGACTCGTCATTTCCACTACTTTCCTGCTCTGGCTTGTACATTTGCAGGGCTTTAGTTTCTCTTTGAGGGCTCAAAATGTTATCTTTGGCTTCTTCCTGAGTTTCACTAACTACATTGCATATTTTGGTGTCAGCAACTGCATCAATTGTCTCACATGCGTCATCACTTTCTTCAGTAGAATCATCAAAATTTTCAAACTCTGACTCTCTGCGTTGTAGTAATTCAATCATACCCATCAATTCTCTATTAACCTGTCATGAAAATTTAGATTTCATCAAACAAGACATTGTGGCTACTGGAAATCTATTACCATTGAAACTTGGAAACATAACTGTCAAAATGACATCAAAAAGATAGAAAGCAGCTGATTGACTTGCCATACCTGTGGATTTTGTAGATACTCAGCTATGTCATTTACACAGGACGGACATTTCATAACGTTTTTCTGGGTCCTTAATGTTCGTCCACCTTGGCATGTCCGCTGCCTCATGAGACTTTTACCAGCAAAAGTACCCTCTAGGCATGCTTTGCAAAAATTGTGACCGCAAGGGGTAGTAATAGGGTTAGTCATCACCTTCCAACAAATTTGGCAGCTTAATCCTGCATGGTGAATTACATAGAAGCACGTATTTCTATGTTAATCTATTGGTGTTGGCTCTAATCATCGTCAAGGAACATGCCATATACTGCATGACTAAAAGTAGATAAACAAGAAACTTCCAACAATTATATTTATTAAAGATTGCACCTTTAGGAAAATTTTCTCTCGCAGGCATGTCTTGTCCTTGCTGCTTAACTTTCCTCGTCTTCTTGCCATCCTCTGGATTTCCACCATCATCTTGCTTTCTACTGCATGGTGGAGGTTTCTTCCACATCCAACAACCTTTTTGCTCCTGAGAAGCCCAGATAATGTCAAGGGATTTTAAAATGATGGCTCATCTATAATCCAATTTTAAACCATTTCACCTAGCAATAAAACCTCAGAAAGAATTTTATGATTGTATTGTCAATTTGAGGTGTACATCAACTTAGAGCAATTTGCATTGAGAACTATCCACCAGTCAACATTAGCAATGAGCTGGTAGAGTATAGCTTTATGTGTATGTGTTTATCCTTCTGCGAGTGTGAATGGGGGGGGGGGGGGGGGGGGGGGTGTACAAAGGATGTTAGGGAATTTTTTTTTAGTTATTTGGAAAAATTGATGGGCGTGTCCTTAATCATAGTAGGTATTATCCCTGGTCAGCCATTTTCATCCAATTGGTTATTTAAAAACCGAATTTTTCATCCGGGTGGGAGTGCCAAATTACAATATAAGGCCATAGGAGGTCAGTGGGAAGACTCTTTTTTCGAAGAGTATAGTACTTGTTATGTTATCGTGATATGTTGGATAAATGGATTGGGCCGTTTGTTCTAGTATCAGTGTTAGGTGGGGTGGACATTTTCAATTCCGTGTTATGAGTATGCAAGTAAGTACATATAGTAGGATTGTCGCATTTCGGAAAGCAACTTGCGATCTCGAACCCACCGAGGTCCTACGATTTATGCCTTAGGAAAGTGGAGCAAGTCTTGAGTAGACGTTAGGTTGTTAGTGTGCTAATTGTATTGGGTTGTAGATCGTGTTTTATGATTAGCACCTCAGGTGCCAGTATTCCAATGTTTCGAAGTAGGTGAATGGGGCGGGGGGGGGGGAGGCTGGTATGTGAGAATGATTGTTATATAGGGGAGGGATCAACGATTTGGTCCTGGTTCATAGCTTGGTGGGGTCGGGTTTTGGATCATAATGGTAATTTTGAAGGCAGGGCTTTGGGGCTCTTCCGAAAAGCTTGGCCCAAGAGGGAAGACTGGAGGGGAGAGCGGCATTACTATTTGAGTATCTTTTTTTTTGGTGTAGGTAAGCCCGGTTTGCAATTATGCACTTTGAGAACAGGCTGTAAATCACCTCCGGGTAACATGCCACTTCGGGATTGATGTTAAAATAACCACAAGAAGCTTACAAATGGTATTTACACTAGTCCAGGAATGGAGAATTCTCTAGTTTCCAGTTAACATCCCATTGCATTATCTAGCCTCGTTCCCGATGAGCCTGGCAGAGGCTTGGAACGGTCCCATGATCATCAACTTGTTCTTAGGAAAGTTATACATTTGTTCGCAATTATTTTAGGTTCTCACCGACAAATTATTCTTTCATTTTTTGATACCCAAGGTAGGTTCCACATAGCTTTTACATAGGATTTACCTGCAATAATCGCAATGTAATAAAATTAGGAAACCCAAGTGAAGGGGTGGACAGGAGAGGAAACCTATACCGCCTTTAGTTCGCACCACATAGATATTCTTCTGGTTGCCAAGCGCCGTCATATTTTGTCACAAGGAAACATCCTAAATCCATTGGAGGTACGCAAAAGGGGTAAGCCCTTAATCGTGGGCAGGATTTAAATAGCGCCCGCCAATACTGGTGAGGGTTTAGGGCGCCCACCCCTAACATACACATGTTTTGCAGGGTTAAGCTAGAGGATTAATATAGGGAAACAACGCTGAGTTTTTCCGAAAAATAGACCCAACATAAGTGTTCCGCATGTCAAAGTAGGGGCATTCTAATTGCAATGGAGGGAGGGAGAGAGGCCTCTTTGATGGTATTGAGCGAACTGCATTAGATTGGTGAACTGCATTAGATTGACAGTATAATGTGAAACCACAAGAGCTTACATCATAGTCCCAGGATGGAGATCCTCTCCTTTCAGTTACATCAATTGCATTATCTAGCTCCCCGATGACTGGCAGAGGCCTTGGACGGTCCCCATGATCATCACTGCATTTTGATTTAGAAAATTTCAGGCACTTGACTGATAGAGATAAATAGAAAAAGGAAGTGAGGAGAGGAACTACCTTGTCCATGGTGCAGGCTCATTGTCACATCTAACAAATAGATACCTGCAAACCTTGTAGCCCTAAAAGGATAAGGAAAAACAAAAACATTCAAAAACACTGTTGGCAAATAGGAAATCTGGTTGATTCCCACAATTCCTTCACCGGGATTAAAAGAATTCTACCTGCACTCCATTCTTACGCCAGCATTTCTCAATTCTATAAATACCATCATAACGTACACCTTTTTCCGGGGCATAAGAAGATCGCTTCTCTTTATGAGATCTGCCCAGCAAATGAAGAACTATTATTATGATGAAATTGATAGAAGATATACATCCTATAAATAACCACTCAAATTTACTTTTTTCTTTTTCTTTTTCTTTTTCCTTTTTCTGGATTGATAATTACTTGTATAGAACGGCAACAAATTTAGTCTAGTGACAAACATTTTAACTTCTAAGTTGGCCTTGTCTTTTAGAAGCCATTACCTAAAATGGATGGGAAATGGGAGAGAACTATAAAATACAATACAATGGAATAATAACTAGGTTCAAGAAAAAAGTTCCTATCATAGGATGCTCTTTCCAAACAAACAACAAATTTGTTATATGTCCACTCTAGAAGGCAGCCAGTTTTCTCATGTTTATTAACAGAATACTTTCTCATATTTAGCGGCCACATTAACCGCAATAAAGTACATCAGTTTAACATGGAAACCAAATATGCAGCAGGAATATCCTAGGATGGAAACCTATTTCAGTTTTCAAGCATGTGCAGCATAACTACTTTATTTGTATTTTCTTATTATCAATAATAAGAGAAAAAAGGAATAAAGAAAAAAGGGATTAAGCTTCCAAGTGACTTTTAAATTAATCGTCTACATCAATGAAATATAAATGACATAAAACAAATAATAGAAAGAGTTTAAACTTTAAAACTAGGGCACCACTACATACTTATAAGTGATAATATCACTTCATTAACACAACTCACCTCACTACTCGTACAGGATATCCTTTTCGGCAACTTACTCGCAATGCCTCGTTTGACTTTTCAAACTTCTGGTCAAAGGACTGTTCCTTGTTCGTTCGTTTATTGCCACTAAGGTCTCTTCCTCCACTATTCACCGAAAGGCATGAATCAAACACAAGTGAATTTCAGAGATCGCAAAAGCCAACAATGTTGTTATTCCGAATAAAAGTTTCAATAAATAACCTAAATACTAAGAAAGTCAAAGGAAATTCATTCAGCAACATTTTAGTTTGACATAAATGTCGCAATCCAGCATGGATGGATTAAAAAGGAATTAACATTAAGAGGGGCCACGGTTCCTTGAGTGTTAAGTTTGTCTAGGTTACCATGCATAACGTCAATAGAATATATATTGTTTACTAAAATTGCCACAACAATAAGAACCGTAAAATGGTTGGCCCCGAGACATTAAGATTGTAGATCCATCTCTGAACTCCGATTCCTGGAAAAGAAAATCAATGACAAAACGCGGGGCTGCAGACAAAAAATGTACCTTCCAGTGTAAAGAAACCATTCACCGTGGTCCTCATCTTCTACATAACCTCCGGAGAGAGCCACTGATTGGGCACCATAAGCTGACTGGCCAGCAATTCCTGCAACATGGGGAAGGTGGGCACCCCATTGTCTACACTCCAGCCTATCTTCCCACAATTCTCCGACCAAAACACCCTGCTTTCTCACTGGATCATTCTCAGCAGGAATTGGCCCAAAGTGATCGAAGGGAATAGTGACAAAGATCTTGCCACTACAAGCATTAGCCTTTCCAGCTTTCTTTGCTCTTTCAGTGGTGTATGCTTTGTCCGGCTTGTTTTCATTGTCGACAGAATGATATACCTTAGGAGGTCCCCCAGCAGTGCTGGATTTCGACATTTTTGCCATGCGGATGGCAATAACAAGTGCAGAATTTATCCGAGGGTTGCTTGCCATCTTGGATGAGATTGGATAACGGCAATTTGCACACGTGCGCTTTCCTTGATTAATCCATCTTTGGAAGCACTTGAGGCAAAAGTTATGACCACACGTCGTCTGAAACAAGGAGGGAAAAAGGAATGCAGTGCAGCGTGTCAATCGAGTATTTTTGTAGCCAAATTCCAGTTTTAATTTATTTTACTAATAACTGAGGACACGTGAATACTCGTGTTCGGTTATGCAGGGTGCTTTGGGATTTAGTTCCAGTGCAACTGCCCGGCAGCCTTGTAATTTTAAGTTTTTCTAAGAGTCAACGAAAAACCAAGGCTGCGGCACACCACAGCACAACTGTGGTTCAGATGCACTGCTGCAATTACAAGCTCCCTTAGTATATACATTCATTAGTAAATGAACGAGAAAAGAGAATGAGTACAAGTGAGATATTAAGAATTCTCAATCAATTAATAGGCTAACTGAAAATGTATGACATAAACAGCAAAAACAAAAAAATGAGTTCATTATTATCTACAACAAAAATGAATCAGAAACTAGATAAATTAAATAACTGGATAAGAGATTTTCTTTCAAATTGTAAAATATCAGATTATAGTAAATGCTAATTCAAAAACATGGCGGAAAATGTAAAGAATGTATTGGTAAACTCGAACGGTTTGATAAACATTAGAGCTATTTTAATCTGTGTTAGTTTGAAAAAGTTCTTCATTATTCATCACTAGTAACAGCAACTGAAGGGAAAAAGGTGAAAAAGGCCGAATAGTTCCACACAGTGGTAGTGCACCCACGCTACGGCAATCTTTTCTGGGTCACCACTGAAAGCGACTCATGTTTCTCCTTTTCAGCATTCCAAAATGAGTAAATATTGATTTCAGGAAGCATCCAAGGACCAGCAGTTCATCCTGCACAGCCTCTCAATTTTCGTCAACTCGGGCTTTGTGAAAGAAGCCCATAAAAACGACAGCGTCTCCCAGTCCTTCGTCCTCTTTCGTAAACAGGAAAGAAAAAGCTAAGATCCAATACTGAAACTACAAAAACACAGAGTTGAAAATTTGGGAAGGCACTTCTGGCGAAAATTAAATACCGTGAATTATGCTCTGATCGGATACAAAACTAAGCACAGAAACAGACTGGCAGAGATACAGATATCAGTTTTTTTTTTAAATAAGAATAAGATGATAGATAGATAGATATAATCCTGACCTATTTTTAATTTATATCAAAGAATAAGAGGGAAAAAAAGGAATGCATTAGAGATGTAGAGTGATTAGATACACTCACAGTAACTGGCCTATCTGGTAAATGCATGCAAAACGAACAGTTTAATCGGTCATGGAGTGTATCGTCATCATCGTTGAGCCGCTTCTTATCAGAATTCACATCCTCTCCTTCAGACGATGGAGCGCCTCCGCTGAGGAGCAGCTGCCGCCTCTTAGCCTTCTCCAACTCAGAGAGCGAGCCATCCGACTGGATCGCTTGAATCGCAGCGATCAGGCCGCCAGAGCCCCTCTGAGACTTGGATCCTCCGGTGAGGGATGGATTCAACATGAAGCAGTCCGGGCACTCCCATTGAAGAGTATCGGCTAAGTTTTCGGGGCGTGAGGAGAGGCAAGTGACGTGCCAGGGAGTGACGCATGTTTTGCAGGTAAGGGTTTCTTCGGATGGGGGTTGATTATTGCAAATCATGCAAATGCCGTCTCCATCGCAAGGGAGGTCGCTTGCTGGCGCCATAAGGGGGCGAAGAAAAAGCACACAGGATGGGATTAGTGGTGGTCTGGTCTGGTCTGGTTCTTGGTTGGTCAATGGGGCTCGTAGGGGAGAGTGTCTGATTTTGTATTGAATATACAAATATAAAGTATAACCATATAAGTCAAAATGTGGGGCCATATTAAAGGCACAGTGACAGTGAGACTTATTTGCGGATTGAGTTGTGTTGTGTGCTCAAAGCCATAAATGGAAAATTTTGCGGCAAATGTAGAGGAGGTGACTGTACTCACTATGCTCTTAAATCTTAATATATCTATCCATATATGTATAAATATATAAAGTCCAAACAAGTTTATCTACATGGCATAATATTCTACTAATTACTCTTTTCAATAATTAATAGCAGATGTAATATTTTATTATTTTATAATTTAATTATCCTCTATTTTTTTCTAAATTTTGATTTTTTTTAGTACTATATATGTGAGTATTTCATCTATTCAATTTGTCATATACATTCTTATTTCTTTTTTATATTTAATATTCTTAGGTAGTGACAGAAATTAATCTTTTTATTTTTCTATTTGAGTAAATTTATGGTTTGAGTATTTGTAAATTATATTTATTGTTTTTAGTTCAGCTAATAATATGAGTCTACTGTTTTTAATTTATTAAGGTAGAGTATTTCAATCATTTTTAAATTTATAAATTATTAATTGTAGTAGAGATGGATATACACTAAAATGGAAAGTACACACCAGCTTTTTTTTTTTTTTTTTTTTTTCCTTTCTCTTCTTCTTCCTAGGTCTCCAGTGGCGCCATTCCACCGTTCTTCCTCCCCTCCTCATTTTTCGGCCATCGCTCGACGAGAGCAAGTGGTGGTCGGGTTCCTTCGTGCCGCTAGTCACATTTCTGGCCTCCCTTCATGCCAAACGAGCCTGCTGGGGCTCGAAATCAAGCCGCCTCCTTCGACAACTTCTTCTCCAATTTTCGACGACCCATGCCATTTCCAGTGGTTCCAGTGGGAGAGACAAGCGTCGATCGACTCCTTGTCGCCTCCCGACGCTGAAACTTCTCTCAGTTTTTTTTTTTTTTTTTTTTTGGCAATTTATTGTTTTGGTTGTTTGTGTAGTTAATTCAAATTGTATAAATATAATTTAACATTGCTCAATTATATATTTTCAATTGATTGTGATGTATATATTGAATTTAGTAATATGGAAAAGAGGGCTAATTTTATGAACACCAAGGGATACAATTTGAAAATGGATATTGTGCTAAAACTAACAATAAAACTGAGGACATGTGAAATTAAACTTAATTCATCCTATTTGTTAAATGAACTTTATTATGAACTAATGGAAGTTATTTATTTACTTAATACATAATTTAATTCTTGAATTTTTATAAAATAACTCTTTTTTATCTCCTCCGTCTTAAAATCGATTTTGTGATTATTTGAATTTCACATCTTGTTGTGAAAACAGTAATAATTTTTTTAAATCTTTCACTATATAAAATATTGATTTGATATGTAATTATTATAATTTTACATTTAATAATTATTTATTAAGTGCTTAATCGATATGCTTTTATAGATTGACGTCTTTGTTGTGTCAAGTTAAAATGTTTAAATATGTAATTTTACGGTACTTCAAAATATTGAATGAATAAAAGTAAAAGTTGAGAGTAATACAAAATTGTTATGAAAAATATACGAGTGGACTTAGAGCATCTATTTTTTAATTTAATGACAAGATTGTAGAATGGATTAGCTTTCAAGTGTCACCCTAAGTTGAATTCTCTTGTCTAAATTAGAAGATTCACAAATAATAAGAAAATTATCATTTTATTTACCGTTTCTCGGTTAGTTTATTCAGCTATTTTGTCTAATGCTATGGATTTTTCTAAATTCGGTCTTATTATTATGATCGTAAAATTCTTATTTTAGAGAGACATGATATTTCTGTCAGATTGGTTAAGAGGAATGAAAATATAGAAGCTCATACTCTAACACGAGCTGTCTATCTTTTTGTCCGTTTCCAGGTTTGGGATCAAATTCTCCGGTGTCTATTTGATTTTTATTCCTTAAGTTAATACAATAAGTGTTTTCTCTTTTAAAAAAAAAAACTCTAAAATATTATCTTCATTGTAACTAATTTCAAAATAATATCTTATTCCCCCTCCCAAAATAATGTCTTATTCATTAAATTTACTAGATTTTGAAATTAAGATGATGTTGTAATTAAAATTAATGTTTAGGATATTAAACAGAGAAAGTTAATTTTAGAGTAAAATCAAAAGTACTTCTGAAATTTGAGATATTTTCAATGATTCAGCTGTATGTATGCATGTCACGGCTCAAGCCAAAACAAGTATCATATTGGGTTAGACCTGCTCCAAGTACAGGATACACCTAGCTCGGGTGGTCCCTACTAACTTGCTTGCCAAACGTTCCCAATCTAAAACCACTGCCACTCTAAACCCTAGTGCCAAACGCATTTGCTAGTGTCGAAGAGCTGGCATGCGTATTTGCCCATTTCCCATTTCATCATCAGGTTCCATTGGCTATCATTTACTCTCTCGACTCACCTCGCGCCACCCACACTCGTGTCAACTATCAACCCTAATTCACCCTCTCAAACGCCACTCACCACCAATGGCTGCGCCCGAGGATTCCCTTCGCAGAGCTTTGGGCGAGAAACAATCTGCCGTCGAAACACAGGGCAACGCCGTCCGTGCACTTAAAGCAGCCAAGGCCGGCAAGGGTGAAATCGACGCCGCAATCGAAATCCTTAATGCCTTAAAGCTCGAGAAATCCTCGATCGAGAAACAGCTCCAAGCTGCTGTAGCTGGTAATGGTCCTGATAGCTCCATTAGCAGGGAAGCTTTTCGTCAAGCTGTGGTCAACACTCTTGAACGGCGTTTATTCTACATTCCGTCTTTCAAGATTTATAGAGGTGTTGCTGGCCTTTACGATTATGGTCCCCCCGGTTGTTCTGTCAAGTCAAATGTTCTTGCTTTCTGGCGCCAGGTAAGGAGCTATCTTGTCACTCTTTAGGCAATTGCTGCTATTGCGGAAAGAGGGTTATTTTGTGAGGTTTATTTTTTGTTGATCAGAGACAATAGGTTGTTGCCTGTTGTTACCCGATAATACAGTTTGTGATTGTTTAAAACAAAATGCCCTTTGTGATCTGAGAATGTTTTGGCAATGTTATTGCATTTTTTTAGCTAGCCAATTCATGAAATCCCGAAGTAGCTGGTGTGATGTATTTGTTTTACAGCATTTTGTTCTAGAGGAGAACATGTTAGAGGTTGACTGCCCGTGCGTGACGCCTGAGATTGTCCTCAAAGCATCTGGTCATGTGGATAAGTTCACGGACCTTATGGTCAAGGATGATAAAACTGGGACCTGCTACCGGGCTGATCACCTCTTAAAAGATTTTTGCAATGAGAAGCTCCAGAAAGATCTATCCCTAACTTCAGAGAAGGCTGCAGAACTTAGACATGTACTTGCAGTTTTGGACGATCTTTCGGCTGAAGAGTTGGGTGCAAAGATCAAGGAGTATGGCATTACAGCTCCAGACACGAAAAACCCCCTTTCTGACCCTTATCCTTTCAACTTGATGTTTCAAACATCAATTGGTCCATCTGGCCTTAGCCCCGGGTGAGCATGACTTTGTAATCATATAGGCATTTACATGTCGCAATATACTGGATAGACTTATTGGATGTTGGTAGTATTTCAATTTATGGGCGGCATGATAATATATTATTCTGTTGATACTGAAGCCTTTTAGCATTTTATCTGCTGTAGTTATATGCGTCCTGAAACAGCACAAGGCATATTCGTAAATTTTAAAGACTTATACTACTACAATGGGAACAAACTCCCCTTTGCTGCTGCCCAAATTGGTCAGGCTTTCAGAAATGAGGTTTAACTTCTTCCTTTAAAACAACAGAATCTTGCCTTGCTTTAACTTCTTCCTTTAACTGCTTTTGTGCGTCTTTATTTTTGTAAATCTTTTAATGGCAATGACTTACTTGTATCATAGTTATAGTATTATATGAAATTGCCTTGTGCTTGCAACTGTTCAGGATGTATTGCACATATCAGTATAGAGAGAGTTCTGATTTTACTTTTCCATATGTGTAGATTTCTCCTCGCCAAGGCCTTCTGCGAGTGCGTGAATTCACATTAGCAGAGATTGAGCACTTTGTTGACCCTGAAGACAAATCTCACCCAAAGTATACTGAAGTTGCAGATCTTGAATTTCTCATGTTTCCAAGGGAAGAACAAATGTCTGGCCAATCTGCAAAAAAGATCCGGCTCGGTGAAGCAGTTTCAAAAGTTAGTTTGGATCATAAATAGCTTTAATTTGCAATATTTTTTATGTGTTTAACCTTTGCAATGATGCAGTGATCTATTGCCATTCAGGGAATTGTCAACAATGAAACTCTTGGCTATTTCATTGGGAGAGTTTATCTCTTCCTAACTCATCTGGGTATAGATAAAGAACGATTACGATTCAGGCAGCACCTTGCAAATGAAATGGCCCACTATGCTGCAGACTGTTGGGATGCTGAAATTGAGAGTTCGTATGGTTGGATTGAGTGTGTTGGTATTGCAGATAGATCTGCATATGACTTGCGTGCGCACTCGGTGAGAAGCTTCCATATGTATATAAAATTGCCAAACTCTTAAGCATAGACTAATTTGAGTCTGTTTATGTGCGTTGGTTGGCTTTAGGTTTAAAAATTAATATATTGAAATAATAGCTAAAGAAACAAGGATGAAATGCTTACCATTTTAAGATATCCTAAATTTTTCTTGCCATGAGTAAAAAGATATACTATCACAAGATATAAATTGTTCTTTCTAGAAGAAATTTAAAGAAATAGTCGCTACGCTTTTTAACATGGAAATAATGCATGCTTATCAGCTTTGTTTTATATTTGACAGGAGAAAAGTGGAGTCCCTCTTGTGGCCCATGAAAAATTTTCAGAACCTAGGGAAGTTGAGGTAGTGCTCTATGTTAACCTCATCTGTTGTTGCCAATATTCTTCAAATATATTTTTGCAAGTTCTTTCACAGTAGCTATAAATCTTTAAATTTCAAATGTTTATGGTTGATTATCTCTGCTTAACTTATAATGCATGATTTCAGAAACTTGTTATAGCACCAGTAAAAAAAGAGCTGGGCCTTGCTTTTAAGGGCAACCAAAAAATGGTGGTTGAAGCCTTGGAGGTAAAAGTGGAACTTTTTCATTGGTATTTAACTCTGGGATACTGTTTGTATGAATTATGACATATGATTCTCCTTTTGTGCTAGGCCATGAATGAAAAAGAGGCTATGGAAATGAAGGCCTCTCTAGAAACCAAGGGTGAAGTGGAGTTTTATATCTGCACTCTTGAGAAAAATGTGTGCATCAAAAAGAACATGGTCACAATCTCAAAGGAGAAAAAGAAGGAACACCAGAGAGTTTTCACACCATCTGTGATTGAGCCATCTTTTGGCATTGGACGCATAATATATTGCCTCTTTGAGCATTCTTTCTACATGAGGCCCAGTAAAGCTGGGGATGAACAGTTAAATGTTTTCCGCTTTCCTCCTGTAGTGGCCCCTATTAAATGCACTGTTTTCCCACTTGTTCAGAATCAGCAGTATGAGGGGGTTGCCAAGGTTATTTCTAAGTCATTGACTGCTGCTGGAATCTCACATAAGATTGATATTACAGGTGGGTGCTGCTAACGTAAATTACGGTAATGTAAATATTGGCATGTTAATTGGATTGCTGGGAAAATGTTGATATAAAGTGTGGCCACGTTTTACCATTTGTGTTCTTGCGATATTTATCAGCTATAGAATTCTTGCCCCTTATGCAAGTAGAATATGCTAATATACCGAGTGTTTTTATGAAACCTGTGTGCAACAGTTGGTAGACAGCCTCATATTAGTTTGTGCGCTAATGTTCTGTTTTACTGTTCGTGCTTGGTATTTGCAGGCACTTCAATTGGCAAACGATATGCCAGGACAGATGAATTGGGTGTACCCTTTGCAATAACTGTTGATTCAACATCGTCTGTGACAATCAGAGAGAGGGATAGCAAGGATCAAATCCGAGTTAATGTGGAAGAAGCCGCATCAGTTGTGAAGTCAGTGACGGATGGGCATAGGACATGGGCTGATGTGTGGTCAAATTTCCCTCATCACTCTTCTGGATCCACGGAGGAGTAAATTTCAGATGATAATGAAACTATACAACACACGCCAATTCCTCACCTGCTATCTTGAGCAGAAACAATGAACTAAAGAAAAGTTATAACTTTTAATTGCAATTTGTATTTCTTAAGGTATTGTTGAATGTTTTTCCATTGTTCTGAGTTAGTTTTGGAACCAATAATTTAAGTGCCTATAAATGGAGAAACTCACAGGGTTCTTTGGAGGTACTGTTTTTCGTCTGAAGCATCAATTTATTATATTTTGAGAGTTGTCGAGTGCTGCTTTGCTCTTTGGTCCTCGGCATTGCTGATGGTAAGTGCTCGTTGACGTGATGCTTGTGGATGAATCTCTCATGATGCTGTGACGTATTGTCGTCATCCAGGGGATTGTCAACAATGAAACTCTTAACTCGTGGTCTTGGTATAATGAATGAAGTACTAAGACTGGCAGCATCTCACAAATGAAATGGCCCACTACGCTGCAGTGTTGGGATTCTGAGACCGAGTGTCTTGGTATTGCAGATACATCTTGGTATGACTTGCGAGCTCCAGTCGGTGAGAAACTGTTCACTATGTTCGCAGTATGAAGAGCGTGGTCAGAATACAATTTCAAAGAGTATTAACGAAAGTTATGAAGAACGGTAAAAAAGAAAAGCTAAATATGAAGTTAAATATATTTACTTGGCACGGACGATATGGGAAAAATAAAAAATAAAAGGCAGGCAGAGTTGACATATATAAATAATTTGAAAGGGCTACAGCCTTTCAAAAACAAAAATAAAAAGAAATAGAAAAGGGCTACAATACAATAAGGTAAAAAGCCCGTTGGTGAGGTACGACGTCGTTCAAGATTCTCGAAACATAGGACTAGTTCATATGCTGTGGTCGACACTGGCATTCACTGATTCGCGGAAACTTTCATTTAACTGAGGGAAAAGTTTCTCTGTTTCCTGAAAAAAATACCCTAGCTATTGCCATCGCCCGCTCGAGGAGGAAGCGAGGAAGATGCTGAGGATTGCCGGGAAGAGGCTCTCTTCTCTATCGTGGAGGTCATCGCAAGCAACCTCCGCCTTCGTACACCGAAGCCATCCTCTTCGAGGCGAGGTTAATGGCACCGACGATTCTACTTCTTCCAGATCCATCCTTTCTCCCTATCGGTTCTCTTCCACTTCTGATCTAATCAGAGGTTAGCTTTTTCATTAATTTCTTTCTTCCGTTGCTTCAGATTTTGGTTTCTCTTCGTATTCCATTTGCGTATCCAATTCTTGGTTTGGCGTTTGACTGTCTCATCTCCGAGCTAAATTTACTTTTGTTTGCATTATGTTTTATGTTTTTGATTGATCACAGACGAAATGTAAAACCCGAAATGGATTGTCGAGGTTTGGCCCTAATTTATAGATTTTCTTATCTGGCTTATAATAGCTTTGAACGTTTGTATGCTTTTCTTTTTTAAGGAAAAAAAAGAGGTATTTTCTTGGATAAACGTTTGCTTTATCTATTGGATTGAGGTCCTTCTTCGTATCAAATGGGGCAGCTGCTGCAACTCGATGGAAATTTACAAAACCTTGTAGAGCCAGCTCATTTAATATTGTTTTTATATTTAATTGCAAATACTTTATTTCATGTTGCTTTTGCTTTTTTTTTTTTTTACTGCCATGTGACTTAAGCTGTCCATTTTATTGAGATTTATTTTGGAATTATATTGAAGACTTGAGGAAAAATTTCTATCTGTCCGAACAAATATGTGTTTTGCTTTTAGAAATCAAGTGCTTCAATGTCAGTGCAAATCTCTGGTCCTTCTGTCTTTTGAACCTCCTTCTTTCGGTTTTTGATCGTATTTGGTTAACTCCACAAAGCATAAATGGAGTTGGTATAAAATTTAAAAATGTGCATCTTTCTTTATCTCATATGATTATAAAATCGCAACAGAATGAGATGATGTAGCATGGGGGCTAGGAGAGTTTCCTGGAGTAAGATATGGTGTCCATGTGTTTTATCAATTGTTTACACAGTTTTAGAATTTGGCAATAATCTTAGATTACCTTTGCATAGACTTTTAGAGTTATTGCTTCCATAGGGAACTTGCTTGTTTTATTTGTTTCAGAAAAGCAAAATGCTGAATACATCTGTAGACTGAACCGTCTCTCTGAGTGTGTGTGTCCAACAGAGCAGCTAGCATCTTTATTAAATTCTTATCATTTAATTGTTCTTTCTAGTTTGTTGCTTTTGAGTATAAAATATGATAGGGTGAAGGTGATATTGAAAGCATCACGATTACAAATTGGATTTCATCCTAATGGATTCTTGGAAGATCTAGATGGTAGTTGCTACCTGAACATGATCCTTTGTGATGATTCTAGTAGCTGTTGGTGTGATGTTTCTGAGTTTTTTTACTAACTCACTAGGCCTGCTCATTAAGCTTCTCTAGAAGTCTAGACCAGGGACAATGCAGTCTGCAGATCAGTAAATATCAGTGCTTGTTCATATTTCAAATTTTTATTTAGACATTCCTTTTTGTGTTTTCTTCTAAAGCATTTAAATAGAGAAATTGTGGTGGCTATGATTGGCAAGCTTGGTGTCTCTCTGCATTATTTTATCAAAATGCTCGTATATGTGCAGCAAACTGATTTTTCAAATGGTTTTTTCTTCCAGGGTTTTCTTCTGAAGCCCTTGCATCGGGACATGATCTGGCTATGATCTCAGATCTTCCTGCTACCATAGCAGCAGTGAAGAATCCTACTTCAAAAATTGTATATGATGAGCATAATCATGAGCGTTTTCCGCCCGGTGACCCCAGCAAACGTGCCTTTGCATACTTTGTCTTGACTGGTGGTAGATTTGTGTATGCCTCCTTAATTCGCCTTCTGGTTCTCAAGTTTGTCCTGAGCATGTCCGCCAGCAAAGATGTCCTTGCACTTGCTTCCCTTGAGGTTGACCTATCCAGCATTGAGCCTGGGACCACTGTTACAGTGAAGTGGCGTGGGAAGCCAGTTTTCATCAGGCGGAGAACTGAAGATGATATTAAGCTTGCTAACAGCGTCGATATCGCATCCCTTCGTGATCCTCAGGAGGACTCTGTCAGGGTTAAGAATCCAGAATGGCTTGTGGTAATTGGTGTCTGTACCCACTTGGGGTGCATTCCATTACCTAATGCTGGCGACTTTGGTGGTTGGTTTTGCCCATGCCATGGTTCACATTATGACATCTCTGGTAGGATCCGAAAGGGGCCAGCACCTTATAATTTAGAGGTTCCTACTTACAGTTTCTTGGATGAGAACAAGTTGCTTATTGGATGAGAATTTCTGCAGGAATTCTTTTGTGGAGCACAAGGTTTCCTTTGTGATGTCATAAGAGACATTTTCCCATATGTTGGGAAACACTCTGAAATTTTGCAAATTAACTTCATTTTTCATTCAATTTGGGGATAGTTTATCTATTACCATTGCTCGACCGGGTTACAATTTTCAGAATAATAGGCCTGGATATTTATTCAGCATTCTTAGTTTAATTGTATGGAGTTTGTTCTATTAGGAATCTTATTTTCTTTATGTTACCTTTTGCCTTCGAATTCTTTTCCGGAATTATCCATGGATGGGGAATTCCTTTCCTATTTTCTCTGTAGGATACGTTTGAGACGGTTTTTACAATTCGATAATTGATCTGGAAATGTTAGATGATATTCAACTAGTTATGATTTCGAATGTTTTGTGTTTGGGGTACACTTGCCTGCTAACCTGTTACAATGTAAGATGCAATCATAGATAAAATGTTTTTGATTCTATAGCGAGAATGACATTTTAATTCTGTTTTTTTTTTTTTCCTAGCCATATTAGTAGATCGCCTTCAACCTACCATGGTGTAATGCAGGAATCATAATTTCTGCTCGGGTTGTAATAGTATCAATTTTACTTTTCTCCAGCAATCTACATCGAGAATTTTCAACAAAATAAACATTGAGAAAATGTAAAGTTGAAAGGCCGGCAAACTTGAAATTTTCTATAATCTAGACTCCGTGGCTGCTTCTAGTTTGGTGAATATGGCATGACGACTGCTGTTTCCAATACGACATTATTGACCACAGGCTCCTAATAGAATGAGCAGAATTTCTTTTATTTGAAGAATATGATTATAGACCATCCAAGAGAGTTAAAAAATACACTAATGATCTCAGCTACTATGGTTTGAATCAAAAGCCTATAGAACCTTGAATTTAGGGGAAGATGGAAATGTTAAGGTTCGAATTATCATTGTTATAGTGACTACTGCTTCTTGATGAGCAGAAAGCTGGAACTTCGCACGTGGTGCTAGCTGTCTTGGATAGCAACTAATGGTTGTTTGCCTCCATAAATATCAGGGACCTGGCTCTCATCAATGTCGTCCAGCAGAGTGGACGTCAAATTTTTGTTCTCAACAAAAATTATCTGCAAACATTTGGAAACAATCACGTGTATCAGAACCAAGTAAACACACCTATCTCAATTTCAGTGACAGCTTAAACTGATGCCCTAAACCAAATACTCAAAAATATAAAAAAATTCCAAATTTACAGTAATTATAGATCTGAGGGAACTTGAAATATTTCAACTTTGATTTCTTGTTGCTTCATTCTAAAATATTATTAAAACAATGATTGATGGATCCTACAAGGGCTTTTAACAATGTTATTGTCCACAAACTTGTTAAATAAAAGATTTTTCTGAATTTCATTAAAGCTGACTTTGTAGTTGATTTCAGATTTTTCCTGCCACTGATGCATTATGTTATACAATGCTTATACCAAGGTTTTTGGTACCATCAAGATATCTCTGTGCCTGTCATTTTTTTTGAATTTGTAAACAGCTACAGAAATATAAAGATGTTGAGATCATATGCATGGTCCAGCCACCAAGCAGGAAAATGCATTTCTAGCACACAAACTCGTACCTTCTTTTTGGTTTTCTTGTCGATGAATGGGTATATAACCTTCCATGCAGTCATGAATATGTAAGGTACATGGACTATATACAGTTTGGCTAACCTTTCTGGGTAACAGTCCTGCCATCAAATACATCTACTTTAGCATGTTTGATATTTTTACATTTTACTGCAGTATCATAAAATAACCTAATAGCTCAGATTAACAGATGGTGAGGAAGTAAAAAGGAATCAATATGGACAAATAAATGCAATAAATTGAAAATTTCATTAATGGAATGATGCACGTTGGTGTACCAACCTGCAGTATTGATAGTGCTGCTAGATATCCGCGAATGTCGCTGTTAGTGTATCCCCATCCTTCAAGATCTGCGATGGCAACAAATTTTTCCTGTCCAGGTGGCATTCTGCAACCAGCAAGAGGTTACATAAGCTTGATTTATTGGCTAAGTTATACCAAATTAGAGAACAAAATTGAACCATGTTCTCTTAAATTATGAGGGGATTGAAACTTGAAATAATGAGGCCTAATCAAATTAGAAAATGTGTGGTATAGAATTTTATTTCAACCTTCTTGCTCAAACCACATAATCAATTTTGCATTTGTAGGATGCATCTTTTGATCAAGCAAATGGTAAATAGCTATCAACATCACATCCGTGACCATGTAGGCATATTGGCCTCACTTTTTCACAAATCATCTAAATCACTGATACCTTCTTCTTCAAAAGATCACACAATGTCATGGAGATTTAAAGGTCATAGAAAACAAAGACAACTACCTGGCACATATTCTCTCAAGAGTGAAGGCTACAAAACCTGAAAAAAAAAAAAAAATCCTCGACATATGTAATAAATCCCATCAGGATGCTTTAAAATTTTGTACTGTAAGCTGTAATGGAAGATAAAGAAACAGAATTTGGACAAGGCAATTTTAAATGGATTCATATCAGATCAAAGTTATGATGGGATTCAAAACTGTAACAGAAAGAAAAAAATGAAGAAAAGTTTCCAAGTTGAACTTACGCTTGAACTCCTCTAAACTTCCTTTATATGGTTTATGTTTGGCACCAAAAACCACCACTATGGGGTGATTCTTCTTGTCAACACCTTGCATAAACAACTTATTTTGGGCAAGTTCATTTGGAATCTCTGATGTCGAGATAAAGCCATTAGGGAGAAACGTTCGCCTCCAGCTTAGATACTTAAGGAATAAGGTAGAAGCTTTCTCAATATCTAATTCACGAGCCCGCAAAAATCTCCGGATCACTAAATCATCTTCATCCTGAAAATGGCAAGGGCATCTCTAATGTAATTGAAGTGGATAACTGAAAGCAAACAGAAAGAATAAACTCTGCTAAAGCTAAGACCTTTCTTATTCCCCTTTCAGATTGAGAGAGAAGTAGTTGACAAATTTGATGGCAAGGGCAAAATACAAGTCGGAATCTTAATTTCTGATAAGTTCAATTACAATCAGAAGACTACATTGTATTCTATCTGATCAACATAAGACGTAACCAACAGATTTACTAATAAACAAGTCAGGTTCTTATCTATTATTAATATACAGTGGTTGATTGAAATGGCAATAAATTTAAAATGAAGAAATAAATTTAGAATCCTATAAGACGGCTTACACCAGCTATTCGAATTCTCATCGAATTTTCAACAGGTGGTAAACTCTCGAGAATTGGTCCGCTAAAGGAATTCATAATCTATATCTATATCTATTATTATTGATAATAATGAGAATTGCAATTGAACCCAGTAATAGATATTAGCTAGAGATTAAGTTTCAAGGAAGAAAGAATAAGGAAAGAGGTACCTTGGAGGAGGGATCTTCTCTTTCGACATGGGCTCTCATAATACGGACTTTATTCTGCTCAATCTCATTGCTTTCCTCTCCATTCTCATGTGTTGTGAACCCATTTGCTTCCTCGCCGTTGTTTAATTCCATAGCCATGTCGATGTACTCACTTGTTCACCAACAAACAATGAGTCAATAAGCTTGCAGAATTGTCTCTGCAAATGTGCTTGTGTGTGTCTAGTTGAACTAATTTGCCGACTCGGCTCACAGAAACTGACGAGAAGAGGAATCTCCCGTTCCGTTAAAAGATCATGAAAACTTCAAAATTATGGCGTTAGGGATGCCAAATTTCAACTACCAACTGCACAAGTCCTCTCTTCAATGGCTAACTACTCGGCATAAATAAAGTCTTGGCTTGTAATTTCTTTTCTGGCGGAGACTTGGACTTGTAGTTTATAATATATTAATACTTAAATTATTTACGCCTTAATATTATTTAGTTTTCACTTAAAACAATAATTTTTTTATATATATTTTTTTCACTCAAATATGTAGTATTATACAATTATATCAAAATAATTAGTAAGTTACTACTTATATTTCTTCATCAATTAATATTTTAAATTGTTAACTTATTTATATTTTTGATAAAGAATTTGTTATTATTATGCAAAATAAAATTAGCATTTGAAATTTATTTTATTTGTTTATGTTGGATAGGATTTTTCAAAAAAATGAAAATGAGAGAGGAGAGGAGAAGAGATGGTGACGGTCCCTTTTGCTTTTAATTATCATAAATAAACTAACAATTGAGTTTCATTGCTGATGGGATGGTCAAATTAATGCTCCAATTTTGGCAGCTATGTAGCATTTATTTATAGCATCAACGAAAATACTATTGAAGCCCATAAAGCCCAGGCTTGATGAAGCCCATTTGTGAAGAAAGCCCAACTGAAAGCTCTATGCTCCTCATCTTCTTTTTCCGAGGGAAACTTTGAAGCTCCCATATAAGAACAGAAGCACTTTTGATTGTAATATCTAATCTAATAATAGTGCAATGCTTCATCCCCAGAAACTGTACAAACATACATATTTCTTTTTGATTGAAAGAAATCAAACACTTTCTCAGTTCTCTTTGGTTGGACTAACGGAAAAAGTTGTCGACTTTGTTTTACGTCTTTCTCGAAACATACTACTCAAGGATGATAGTTTGATCTGGTTCTTCGATTTCTTGATTGTTACCCTCCCAAATCCTCTTTTGGTCCATGGCGACCTAAATAAATACAACTGTCAAGTGTGAAGGGAAAGGAAAAGAAAAGAAAACAAGTTAGGAGGAGAAAATTCAAAACTTCTACACGTGGAGCGTCCACATCATATAACTGCCCACTAGTAGCTTCAGGAATGGGGGGAAAGCGGAGGGAGAGGTTAGAGAAGCACATTATATGGTGGAAAATTCCTGATTAATTGTTATTTTTGATTTGGTTTGTTAATCAAAAGGCAATGAGATGGACTTGTTATCAAACTGGCAAAACAAACACAGCTTTCACTAACCCACGTAGATTTGAACGTGTTGTTTGCTGCTGCTGCGTTTTCGAGAAACAAGAATGCGTCTTTCTCTGTTTCTTGAAGCAAATTCCTCCCTGTATCTCTTTATTTCCCTTTCAATCTTCACCTGGAAAACTTCCATTTTCTTATTCACTCCCATAACCTACTTTCTAAGTAAACTCTTCAACTACCACTCATACGACATCCCACCTATATACTTCTCATAATTCATAAGTACTGCCTTTTCTTTCTCTTTTCGACGGACGCTTAGACCCGTTTCTGCCTTCCATCGAGATTCGGGTTTGGCCAAAAGAAAAAAATGAGGATATCCCTTTGGATTTTTGTTCTGTTTCTTGTTTGTGGCATTACTGATACAATTTTTGCTGATCAGAAACCACGGACGGAGCGGATTTCAGGTGGCATTCCTTAATGTAACCCTTTGTGTTCGTGGATTTTAACCTGTTGTGCTTTTCGCTTGTGTAAGCTATCATTAGACTTCATGTGGTGTTGTTTGATCATTTGCCATTTGATTTTTAAATTTGCAATCACGCCCAATTGCTACTTGGGGTTCCTGCATTTTTGTTGTGGATAGAATTGGTTTTAGGGTTTCGAACTCGAGCAACATCTTCCCTACATTTGGGTTGGCAGAGACTACAGTACTCTTGTTGAGTCGTCAATGTCTGACTTGAAAGCTAGTTGCTGAATTTCTACTTATATGATATCTAATTTTTAACACTCTTGTAGTCATCATTTATTTATCTGAATTCTGAAACTGCATTGCAAAAAAAAAAAAAAAAAAAAAAAAAAAAAAAAAAAAAAAAAAAAAAAAAAGGGTTTTAACAATGCAGGAAGTGCTGGTGATGTTTTGGAAGATGATCCAGTGGGAAGGTTGAAAGTCTATGTATATGAGCTTCCGAGCAAATATAACAAGAAATTGCTACAGAAGGACCCCAGATGTCTCACCCATATGTTTGCTGCAGAGATCTTCATGCATCGGTTTCTCTTATCGAGCCCAGTTCGAACCCTTAATCCCGATGAAGCAGATTGGTTTTATACCCCTATATATGCCACTTGTGACCTTACACCTACTGGCTTGCCATTGCCTTTCAAATCTCCACGGATGATGAGAAGTGCAATACAGCTTATCTCTACCAATTGGCCTTACTGGAATCGCACTGAAGGGGCTGATCACTTCTTTGTTGTGCCACATGACTTTGGAGCTTGCTTCCACTATCAGGTAAGATCCTAAGCATAATATTCACTGGCAGTTCTATATCATGGTGAAATTTTTTTAAAGTTCATGATATGTTGTTCTTGTTTTGGTATCATATCTTTCACTTCTGTTAGGCACGGATCTCGCAGTCTATATTGGCTATATTGTGTATCCATCAGCAGCACAATTGTAATTGGACATGTAGATAAGTACACCTTTGGTTGCGTGGTAATCAGGTTCATTCAAGGGTGTGAAAACTTTGTCTTAGAGGGCCCAAATATAATGGAAGTATTGTTAATCGTTATAGATAATCTGTGGATCTGGAAACCTTAAAATCTATGAATTTGGAAACATTGAAACAATTGAATGCAACTATTCTATGCATTCTGGATGGTTACCATTAATTTTCAAGACCTCTCTAATATTGTCAAAGATGTTGTCACCATTTTTATTTAGGCAAACATTGTCATCATTTCACTTCTTGCAGTTGGATTAGACCTGCAAATTTTTCTGTTATTCTATGTTGCTGTAACCTCTCAAATGCTATTTGTCCACAGCAATGTAGTGGCATCCTAAATATTTATGGCAAGCTCAAACTTTCATTCAATTTAGACGTCATCAAAAAAGGAAACAATTTATCATATTTAGATCAAACATGTGTGCTTCCATACAGGATGGATATGTCAGGAAGGTTCTAAAGGTTCATAACTTATATCTGATTCAGATTGGAATTACTTGGAGCCATGGCCTTTATCGGATATGTACTTTTTCTTTTCAATTGTCCAACATATCTTTAGCATGTATTTACTCCAATTATGTAGGAAGAGAAAGCCATTGAACGAGGGATTCTTCCATTGCTCCGACGTGCTACTTTGGTTCAAACTTTTGGACAGCGGAATCACGTATGCTTGAATGAGGGTTCAATTACGATTCCTCCATATGCTCCTCCTCAAAAGATGCAGGCCCGTCAAATTCCCCAAGACACTCCGCGGTCCATATTTGTCTACTTTCGAGGCTTATTTTATGATGTGAATAATGATCCAGAAGGTGGTTACTATGCAAGGTATGATAATTCTAAGGATATAATTCTGTTCGGCCTAGCCTGCTTCAATTCCTTTCCTAGAACTTCTGTAATTTATTGTGTATCAACTTTAATGGAAACAACATAAGGAGTTCATTTGTTTGAGCTGATGGTGACTACTGGCCAAAACTGAATATGGCTCAGGAACTTATTAATGTTAGTATCAGTTATCTGTGCCAGCATCAAGACTTGCTTATCATGATGGGCCTTGCTTTTGATTGGTAAAGCTTTTCAGCTTTATACTGGCTGTAGAACTTTAAATTTGTTGAATTTCTAGTGGTGTTTCTTGAAGTTGCAGCTGATATATATATCATCGTTAAGAACTGATTGCCGATTTTGTCCTTCATTGTTATTCTGCTTCCTCCTCCTCAAGTTGGATGTCTCTTGTGGCAGTTGTAATTATCAATTCTAACCCTTTGATTCAACTGACAGGGGTGCAAGGGCAGCTGTCTGGGAGAATTTCAAGAATAATCCTCTGTTTGACATCTCGACAGAACATCCAACCACATATTATGAAGATATGCAAAGAGCTTTATTCTGTTTGTGCCCTCTAGGTTGGGCACCATGGAGTCCAAGATTAGTTGAAGCAGTGGTGTTCGGGTGCATTCCTGTCATCATAGCAGACGACATTGTTCTGCCGTTTGCGGATGCTATCCCATGGGAGGAAATAGGAGTGTTTGTGGCAGAGGAAGATGTCCCTAACTTGGACACAATCCTAACATCCATACCAACAGAAGTGATTTTAAGGAAGCAGAGGCTTCTTGCAAATCCTTCAATGAAACGAGCAATGCTATTCCCACAACCAGCACAATCAGGAGATGCTTTCCACCAAATACTGAATGGCCTAGCGCGCAAATTGCCACACGACAAGAGTATTTACCTGAAGGCTGATGAAAAGATTTTGAACTGGACAGCAGGGCCAGTATCGGACAGGAAACCTTGGTAAGTGAAAGTGGTTTCTTGCCAGGGGAAGAGAATCTCACGTAACATAATTACTGTTTGTGGAAATAGGGCAGAGTCTGAATTGAGCTGAGAAAAGATGTACACTTACCTTTGAAATTTTGATGCTGTACAGGTTCTTACCTTTGTAGTTTGTATGTATGAAATGTACATCTGAAATGTTATACATAGTTGGCCGCTTTTATTTTATTTTTTGTTAGCTGCTCTCAAATTTTAATGCTTTGGTCCATAAAAAAATGGTCAAACATGTGATTTTAGTGGCTTGGTCCACAAATGCAGCCTATTTGTTTTTAGCATCTGAATGGTCCAATTTGATTATAAATGCTGCTCCTTTAGATAATAATAATAATAATTATTATTATATTTAATATAAACAAGGTAAAATTAGAAAAATATTATCATATGACTACCAAACTGATTATCAACCATAACCAACCAACCAACCCTTGAGATATATCAACAGACCAGAAGAGAAGAGTCAGACGATTAACAAAAGTGTTAGCTGCTCTCAAATTTTAATGCTTTGGTCCATAAAAAAATGGTCAAACATGTGATTTTAGTGGCTTGGTCCACAAATGCAGCCTATTTGTTTTTAGCATCTGAATGGTCCAATTTGATTATAAATGCTGCTCCTTTAGATAATAATAATAATAATTATTATTATATTTAATATAAACAAGGTAAAATTAGAAAAATATTATCATATGACTACCAAACTGATTATCAACCATAACCAACCAACCAACCCTTGAGATATATCAACAGACCAGAAGAGAAGAGTCAGACGATTAACAAAAGAATAAGCAACTCTTCCAAAATGACAAGAAAAGAGACGTTCTTTAGGTAAACTTAGCTTCAAATTGAAATTAACAGCACCAATTAACAATAAATAATAATAATATACGATTATTAAAAGGTAGCATCTTCACCTACCGCCATTTCACGTGAGAAAACTTATTTCTTCCATTTATATTATTACTAAATTACTGTAATGAAAAATAATGGAATTGGTGAGTGCTCCAAACTTTCAATATACTATTATAGTTATAGATGCAGCTGTAGGTCTGCACTCTTCTTAACACCGTTCCTCAAATTCCATCATCCATAATAATAATAATATATTATTCAATTTAAATCGGAAAAAGGTAATTATTTTCTTCAAAAAATAATTAATCTAAATTAGTAGGTAATTATTATTAAAAACCCAGCTAAGTAATCCAATCCAATCCATTATGAGAACAAAATTAGCAATAATGACGTCAGCAAACCAACTGGTATTACGAACCTCAACCTCCCTAACAAAACTTCGTCCGTCTGTTACTTGCAGTCAAATTGACGAGAAAGAGTAAGTTTTTAGATTTGATCGCTCTTTCCTTTATAAGCGCCCTCTCATTGTTTGTATCGTCGCGTGGCAATAAGACTAAACCCTCTCCTCCCTCACCAACCAACTTTCACCTCTCTTTCATCCCGATCGCCACCATGGCTACCATTTCCAAGCTCGCAAATCCCACACCTTCCGCCTCTCTCTCACCTTCTTCCTTCAAGTCTAGATCTTTTATGCCCCTGTGTCACGTCGATTTCCAGACGAAAACTGCTTTCCTCGCCAGAGCTGCATCGTCTAAGTTGTCACTCCTCCGAAATGGCCAGACCGGCTCCTTTGTGTGAGTATTTACGGATTTCTGTTCTCTTTTTATTTATCAAAAAAAAAAAAAAAAAAAATTAATCTTACGATTTCTGTTCTCCTTTTTATTTATCAAAAAAAAAAAAAAAAACTTTCTGTATGATCTTGGCTGCTGAGTTTGGAACCTTTGCCTGTTTTTACTGTGGCAATACGGTTTGTATTTGCTCATCATTATGGTTAATATTTTTGTGTCACACAAATTTTTTTTGCAAAAAAAAAAAAAAAAAAAACTTTCTGTATGATCTTTGCTGCTGGGTTTGACCTTGCTGTTTTACTGTGCAATACGGTTTTATTTGCTCATCATTTTTATGGTTATATTTTTGTGTCATACACAAATTTTTTGATCTGTACGTGATGCTTTTAGTCTTCTGTTCTTTGCTTGCATATGATCCCTGTAAATCTCTCTCCCTTGTGCACTATTTATGATTTTGAAGTTTAAACCTTGTGCGCACAGGCACAAACGTTGTATTGGTGATCTACAATTAGTGATTTCAATAGGAAAATTAACGTGGATTTAAGCATTTCATCTATGCAATGGGCTCGCGTATTGAAAGAGAAAAACTAGACTCAATGCGTTTATAAATCCGTACAAAAAGTGCAACTGTACAACTGGTTTGTCATACGCAGACAAACATATGTCATTGTGCTTTACTGCTATAATCTGATAAAAATATTGAACATTATACAAACAAATGTTGAATGGAGTCGAAAGAATGCGTATACCTTGATATATATAGAGTTTGGTGCTCATCGAACCTGATTTTTTTTATTGGGGTTGATCACCATGACTATTTATCATGAGTTCTTTGGTGAACAATGGGGAGGAATAAACTTAGTTCAGACATTTTATACCACTACTATATATAAAAATTGATAAAAGTAAATAATCAATATGATTGTCATCTATCTTAATTGCTGGTTGCTTGTCTTTTTTTCTGCTTCAACTCTAGAAGATGTTCAATTTGTATTCTAGTGACATCTCCCTACAGTGTCAGGTGTTCTCAATCCAGTGGAAATGGTAGTCCAATAAAGAAAACAACTCTCCATGATCTCTATGAACGGGAGGGACAGAGTCCATGGTATGATAATCTTTGCCGGCCTGTGACAGATCTAATCCCTCTGATTGAGAGTGGTGTTAGAGGTGTAACCAGCAACCCAGCGGTAATTACTGATACACTTGTCTTGTTATATGCGTTTTCTGTGCACCTTTAAGAAATGATTTGCAAAAGTCAAGTTCAATTAAAAAGACAACAGCAGCTACTAAGTGTTAATGCCAAACTAGTTTAGGTCGTTACTATGAATTTGTTATTTCCGTTTTGCTCTGTTCATGACTAAGTTGGCACGAATGCCAAGTAGAAGGTCTTTTGAGACAAATTCTCTCCATGTAGTTTTTGGTCACCTTTTCCTCTTTTTAACCCTCCACCATTCATTATCACATTTATGAACAGGGATACGTGTTCAATTATAAAAAAAGAAAAAAAAGATCAAACAGTGTTTCTTAAAGGCTTATTTGGTGTTTACCTTTTATTTTTTTCACATCGGCTGTCATCTAACTAGCTATTTGAACTATATGATTGCAGATTTTCCAGAAGGCAATATCATCCTCAAATGCTTACAATGATCAATTCAGGTATGGGAAAAAAAAAATAGTTTTCCAAATTTGACAGTAATGCATTTGTCACTGCTAAGAGAAAGTTTCATTATAATCTTCTGCCCAGCTAAGTTTAATCTGCCATCCACAAAGAGGGAAAGGTTGGACCAGAATATATCTCCTGACTTTGCTGGTTGTTACAAATCCTTGGCATTTGGAGTTGGACTTCGATTTTTAGTCAAAAAATTAAAATAGTCTCCTTACTCAGCCTGGGTTTGTATCTTTAATCTAATATCGTTGTTATCTTCAGGGAATTAGTGCAATCAGGAAAAGACATTGAAAGTGCATATTGGGAACTTGTGGTGAAGGACATTCAAGATGCATGTAAACTTTTTGAATCAATCTATGATCAAACCGATGGGGGTGATGGTTATGTTTCCGTTGAAGTCTCTCCCAGACTAGCTGATGATACTAATGGGACAGTTGAGGCTGCAAAATGGCTTCACAAGGTGGTTGATCGCCCTAATGTTTACATTAAGATTCCTGCTACAGCTTCTTGCATTCCTTCAATCAAGGAAGTTATTTCAAATGGCATTAGTGTCAATGTGACTGTAAGTTAATTCTACGCCATCCTTTCTTTGCTGAGTTATTGGCTATTGTTTCTCTTATAAGCATATACTTGTAAATTGATCCTAGTGAACTGCTAGTTGTAGGCATGGTAATGGGTTTCTTTCTGTTGATTGTAATAGTTTTCTTTCTTTCTCAATAAGTATATAGTAAAATACTGACATCCAGTCCACATTTATTTGCATGCACAGCTTATATTCTCACTTGCCAGATATGAAGCTGTCATTGATGCCTACTTGGATGGCCTTGAGGCTTCTGGACTGAGTGACCTCTCCAGAGTTACTAGTGTTGCTTCCTTCTTTGTCAGCAGAGTGGACACTCTCATCGACAAAATGCTAGAGAAGATTGGAACCCCAGAGGCCCTTGATCTACGAGGGAAGGTAACTAAATTGCAATGTTCTTACTCCTAATTTTTGGATGAATCTGCAGCATTAGCATAAAATGTAAATCTTTGTTCGTGTTGCATGTTTTTAGGCTGCAGTCGCTCAAGCAGCCCTGGCATACCAGCTCTACCAGAAGAAATTCTCTGGTCCAAGATGGGAGGCTCTGGTGAAAAAAGGTGCCAAGAAGCAGAGACTTCTGTGGGCTTCAACCAGTGTTAAGAATCCTGCATACCCTGACACTTTATATGTTGCCCCACTCATCGGACCTGACACGGTGGGCCATTTTATTTCTTTATAACTTCATCTCTTTAGCATGATATGGATTGCAATTTTAGTTCGAAGTTTAAATATCAAGTTGTTAAATGGACATTTTCTACTGTTTATTGCATTCCAGGTGTCAACTATGCCTGACCAAGCTCTCCAAGCATTTATTGATCATGGAAGTGTAGCAAGGACAATTGACTCGAATGTATCTGAAGCTGAAGGGATTTACAATGCTCTTGAGAAGTTAGGAATTGATTGGAAGTTTGTAGGCAATCAGCTTGAAGCTGAAGGAGTGGATTCTTTCAAGAAGAGCTTTGACAGTTTGCTGGATACCCTTCAGGAGAAGGCAAACTCTCTCAAACTGGTTAGCCTGTAAGCCTTGTATTTTTTTTTTTTTTTTTTTTTTTTTTTTTTCAGCTTGAAAGCTGGAAAGGAGTGATTTCTTTCAAGAAGAGCTTTTGGACAGTTTTGCTGGATACCCTTCAGGAGAAGGCAACTCTCTCAACTTGTTACCTTGTAAGCCTTGTAAAATTTTTTTTTTTTTTTTTTTTTTTTTTTTTTTTTTTTTTTTTTTTTTCCAAGTGTCATCATGACATTAATAAAAGTGGGTTATGAATCCTGCTGTAGAAGAGAAAGTTGGCGTCGATGCGTGTGTTATGTAAGACATTTAATTTATGTATCATAAGCTTTGTGATTATACAGGAGATTGTACTTGTTGTTGCAGGGTTTCTATTTTAACTTCCCAGCGAACCCATAAATGGTTGGTCAAGCGGACCAACTACTGAAATTTACAAATCTTTCTAATTCTACCATTGAGAATTGGATTAATTTGTCTAATGAAACAAGATTCTGCATTGTGATCCAATCTTTCCACCAGATGAAATTCGCTCTATGCGTGCTATTTTCTTCCTTTAATTTTGTTCCTATTTGTAAAAAATATGCAATCTGAAAGAGAAGAGGAAGAAATTCTTCTAGCCTGTTATGCCCATTTCTATCATATTCTTTTCTCTTTTATTATTTAATAAAAAACAAAAATATTTCCATAAAAAAAAAAAAAAAAAAAAAAAAAAAAAAAAAAAAACAGTATATTGAACTGAATGACGTAAGCGAAAATTAGCTACTTAAGTTTACGCGAGGGAATATTATTTATTTATCTATAAAGACTTCTAGAAAAAGAAAAATTTTTTAATTTTAAAGGAAAAAACACGGGACGTGGTGGACCCAGTTAGAATGCAGAAACAAAAAAAAAAAAAAAAAAAAACAGTATTTGAACCTGAAAATGAGTAAGCGAAAATTAGCTACTTAAGTTACGCGAGGGAATATTATTTATTTATCTATAAAGACTTCTAGAAAAAGAAAAATTTTAATTTTAAAGAAAAACACGGGACGTGGTGGACCCAGTTAGAATGCAGAAACTAGTTACTGCAAGGGAAAGCCATAGGGGAGGAGTACAAAGCTGAGGCCGTTATCTTCCCGCGTAATTACTAATTAATGGCTTCCATATCAGCTGTTGGAATTCCACTGCTTTCTGTTGGAAGAGCTTCAACCACCGTTCGTCGTCCTCTTTTCCTCTGTATCGAATTTCTCTTTTTATCCTTTATTTCTCGAACCAATATGTTTTCCGATTGATGTTTCAGAAATGGGCCAGAGCAACCGCTGCTCAATCTCTTCATGAAGCGCATGATTTCTCTCATCCCACTTTATGCGGTTTATATCTCACTGTTCTGCAGCTTTCTTTTTTACTTTTTTCTTTCTGCAAGGGTTGGGTAATCCTAATGATTTTTTTTTTTGTCCTTTTTTATTTTTATTTTTATTTTTTATTTTTTTTGCGTTTCAAAACTTGGTTGTTGCAGTTCAAACAAGCCCCGTGAATTACAGAGGAGATATTGGGAGACGAGGGTTAGTAATATTTTCCATCGGATTATTTTGTCCAGCTTTGTGGAATTCTTCAACTAATGGTGTAGCTGTGGCATCTGAATTCGCTGACAGTAAGTAATCCTTATGGATTATGTTTGCTAGCCCTTACCAGAAACTGATGCTTTTAAAAATTTGCAATGTAAATTCCTAGTTGCAATAGGGAGGGAAGGACTTGTCATATTCTACTTATTCTTTAAGGGATGATGACACTCATTTTTATAACATTCACCTAACTTATATTTGAATGCTTTAATTTTAAGTTTTTGACATCAACTACTTGGACTTATAATTTCTAACACGTGCATTTAGCTAAAATCTACCGGAATGGTAATTTGGACATCAAGCAGGAAAAAAGTAATTAGCTTTCATGTTTTGTGCCAAGATTTTTCTATTTATTATTGCTGTTGTGAGTTCTTTTCACGTTTGAAGTTATTATAATGGCGTTCTTGCTAAAACTAAGTTAGTCTTTTGGCTTATATTGCTGTAACCCTTTTTTTTCCTGTCCCGAACTCGGGCACTTTTTCTGTAAAACTAAGTTATGATAATGTTCATATGCATGCTGTTAAGAAGCTTATGTTGTGCATGTATAATAAAGATAAATAAATTTGAGCGTGCTCTTTGCTTCAAGAAGTCAAAATTGTTAGTATGAAGAGCGGAGAACACTCATTCTTGGTCATATTTCTCCACATGCAGTGCCTGCAATCCGGGGGAAGGATTATGGCAAGACAAGGATGCGGTATCCAGACTATACAGAAACAGAATCAGGACTTCAGTACAAGGTTGATAGTATATGTGTATTCTTTTTTATGTACATGCATTGAAATTTATACTTTAGCTTTCTGTTTTAATTCCATAGCCAAACGAATGCAGGATTTGCGAGTAGGAGATGGCCCCAAGCCTAAGATGGGTCAGACAGTCGTGGTAAGGGATTTTTTTTTTTTTTTCTTTGGATGCAGTGCTTACTGTTTGGCATAATTTTTCCTTCAGTTGTCCAATTATAAATCTAAGTAACTCATGTCTACTAGATAATGATGTTGTTTTGGGAAATAGCAATATTTTCAAAGAGATACCTATTATAGAAAGATTCAGTTTATTTGGCCGAAAGTTTGGGCTACATGGAATAGTATAGAAGTCAAAAAGCGAAAGCAACCCTCTGCTAAATAGACTTAATTGTATCCTTGCAAAATTTCATTATGAGCTTGAATTTCTTGAAAAATGACTATAGCTTTCATTTTGGCTATTTTATTCTCTCGTTGACACGGTTAAAGTAATTTATGAACTATAAATTTGTTTCAGATTGATTGGGATGGTTACACCATAGGATATTATGGCCGCATATTTGAAGCTCGAAACAAGACAAAGGGAGGCTCCTTTGAGGTATGAAAATACTTCTCTCTTCCCAGAGTTGAGGTACTTGACTAGCTCCATAATGTTTTCTGACTCCCTAATATGCAGGGAAATGACAAGGACTTTTTCAAATTCAAACTAGGGTCTGGCCAGGTGAGAACTTATTTCCCATTGGAAAGATTGAGCAGTTTTATCTTTATAGTTCAGATGGAAGTAATTTCTTTTTCTTGCTGATGTACTATAGTAGTAACTTCCTCCACCAGTATTTATCTTGGTTAACTCTGTGATCTTACGCATTTCCTATGCATCTACTTAATTGTTTGACCTTTTTAGAGGATTGATGTTTTGCAACTGCTCAGATGAGATTCATGTTCAGAGTTGAGGATGATTTGATTTTGATCACATCAATGCTGTTAATATTAATGTCATTTATACACATATTCAGGTGATACCAGCTTTTGAGGAAGCTGTTTCAGGCATGGCTTTGGGTGGAGTTAGAAGGTGCTGCATCTGTTCTTCTCGAATATAAATTGACATGGAAATCTCCCTGCTGAATATATCATTATGATTTTGAATCTTTTGATACTTACAATGTGCTCAATTTCACGTATAATTCACAGTGATGCAGGATAGTTGTTCCTCCAGAATTGGGATATCCAGAGAATGACTTCAATAAGAGTGGCCCAAGACCTACTACATTTTCGGTAATACTCAAGAGTCTTTTGCAAGATGCTTATGTTACAGTTCTATACTTCTGTGAATGAGAAAAACTTTTGGGTCTGGCAGGGGCAAAGAGCCTTGGATTTTGTGCTGAGGAATCAGGGGCTCATAGACAAAACTCTTCTCTTTGATATTGAGCTCCTAAAAATCATGCCAAACTGAGATCGGATGAGCAGCTGTCAATGCCAAGATGCTGCTCTAATTACATTAGGTTATATATTTGCTGCATTGTTGCCTCTTTTCTTTTCGAGTATTGTAGTTAGTTCCCACGTATAATGAGTTACTTGACTAATTCAGGCGCGGAAAAAGAACAGTACTTGAAGGGAGCCATATTGTAATACACCTCCATTCCAGGGACTTGGAGAGTTTAGTTCATGAAGCTGGTGAAGGTTCTGTTGTTTATTTAAGTTGAAATTCTCTCTCTCTCTTTCTCTGTCTCTCTCTCTCTCTCTCTATAGGCATGCCATCCAGTTGGTCAGAAGTTTTGTTCTGTCAGATTGTCGATTCAGCAGAATATCAATTTACAAGACCTTGGTTGAAAGATTGGATAGTGTTGTTGCTTATTATTTAATCCTAATGCATCTATTATTGGAAAGTAGATGACCGCTACAGTTAAATCTACATGGGGATGTGTCTTCTTCTATATGCAAATGAATCCAATTTCAGTGCTATCATTTGGTGATCGACCATTAGACCTTGATGGCTTCGTTTTGAAGTTCATAATATTCTTCAGACTCCTTGTTAAACACTCTGGTTTTGTTTAAACGAAGCAAGAATTGAGCATTTGATGCTCTACATCTTTCATTGCAGCAGATAATTCTTTTGCGCCTCTCGTAGAAGGCTGTAGTGATTTTAAGTTACCATTGAAGTAAATGAACGAGCTTTGTCATTCTCAAATAAAAAAAATAAAAAAATAAAAAAAAAAAGAAGAAGAAAAAGAACAAGCTTTACTTCCTGACCTGTGATAGCCAAGATTAATTTGTTATTTTTTATTGTTTGTTATATTAATGGAGTTAAAAAACTTAAAAGGACCTTCTCAAAACTTGTCATAGGTTTGTCTGGTGCAGAACAGAAATCAAAACCTCTGAGAGTCTGTAATTCAAGCAGAATCTTAAGTGCCACAGGCTAAATTAATTACCATACAATTTATGAGAACTAGAAAAACGCCACAATCAAGTTAAAGAGGGCAAAGCACCTCCTACAAGCATTAAATACGGTAAAAGTCAAAGCACCAATTAAGTTCCGGCAAGCATAATAATCCGGATCCGCAAAAAGTCCACAGTTTTAGTCAACTGAAAGCTCCCGGCGCTTGTAACGCACCATCACCTTTCCTTTTACACCCACAACCATTGCGTTCCAGTCAATCTCAGGGAAAGGAGATACCAGCTCCATTTCAAAATTCCTCAGCAAATGGCTCCATATAGCCTTTATCTGCAAATATGCAAAAGGTTCGCCAAGGCAACCATGCCTGCCACCTCCAAAAGAAATGTAAGAAAATGCCCCTGCCACCTTGTCTTCTTCTCTCCCAACGGCAAATCGGTCAGGATCATATCTGTCAGGTTCCTTATAGACATGAGAAAGGCGGTTTGCAAATGCTGGAGATGTTGCAACGATATGGCCCTTTGGGATGTCATATTCTTTTCCGTCTCTGGCAGTCACGCTAAAATCACTGTGAGAGCTACGTAGAAGCATTATCAATGGAGGATGAAGTCTTAAGGCTTCCTTAATGCAGCGATACAGGACATCCATCGCAGACAAAATATCATGATCAACCTTGTTTCCATGCTTCTTCATCAGGGTTTTCTGCTCCTCCAATACAGCAGATAAGTACTCCTTGTATCGGAAGAGGTATGCCCCTGTCCAAGTAGAGGTGATGGAACTGGTGTGTTGACCAGCAAAGAGAGCAGCGATGAGCAAGCCTGTAATCTCAGAATCAGTTGTTGGCCGACCATCTTTGTACTTTGAGTCTATGAAGGACTGCAGCATGTCATTCTCTGATTTGCCAGCAAGTTTACGAGAAGCTATGATATTTGCAAATATTTCTGCAAGCCTCTTACGAGCCCTGTCACGACGGCGGTGAGCTGGAATGGGCAAGTAGGGAAATAAAACACTGATAGGGAGCATTCCATTGTCCAGGTCATGGAATAGAGCAGATACATCGTCAAAAAGCTTATCACGAACTTCTCGACCCAGTAGACATCTACTGGCTGTCAATATAATCAGATGCTCTAACTCATACTTTAGGTCTACTTCACCACTGTCTCCCCACTTTGAGAAGTAATCCTGCATAGTGTCAACAGAAAAATTAGCACTATGGGAGAATCCGAACCCATGTACACAAGATAATCTGGAAATTGTACAAAGGAAACCATTCTTGAAGCAGCAACATCCACACCATACTGAATGAAGCCAGTTTACTGAGAACACGATGATAAATAATATTTTGTAATAAATTATATGCAGAATTTTCTTTTTTCTAAAAAAAAGAAAATCCTTGATCTCTTCACAAATTAATAGTGATTGGTTTGAACTTAAATTTAAACCACAAAGCATATATCAGTAATAAATTACATGTGTATTACTCAGATAGAGCTGAGATAATATCAGTTATTCCTGAGACACATTTTCTCCCCACCAAGATATTTTCAAAAGATAGAAGGTGATCATATTTTCCTCTTTGAATGTGGAGTATGTACTTCTCGTGGATTCATTTTAGAAGCTACCAATGAGTAAAAAGGCTGTTGATTGCATTAATTGGAGCATCATAGTAATATGACCCACAGGACCACATCAACTTCCAATAAAGAGAAAGTGAAAGAAGCCACCTAAATGGTTAGGTAGTCAGCCAGAAAACCAAAAATAGCAATGCACCAAAAACCTGAAAACTAAAAGTTGATTTCCAGAAAACTGATTACCTCTGCTTCCATGATCATCTGATCCACGTAGCCTTTGAGTTTGTTGACCCTCAGAGACTCGGTAAAGAATCGGAACTGCTCTTGGCGCACAGAGTAATCAACATCAAAGACAACACCACGGCCAAAAGTAGGCACATTGAACTGATAGACCTCCTGCTGACTGAGGTCAGTCTCTGAGGCCTTAAAGAAGTGAGCTGACACCTCAGGGCCAATCAAGAAGGTAATCTTCCTCTGAGCTAGATTTACAGTGAACACACTCCCAAGCTTTGGGTATTCTTCGCGGAGCATTATAATTGGGCCCTTCAAGAAACGGAAGAGCCCTCCAACCAATGGCCAACCCTTGACAACTGGAGGCAGTCGTTTTCTAGATCTAGGCACAATAAGCGCCGAGATAAGCTTGGCCACTAGTATAGTGGCTACAATTAGGAGACCCATATTCAAGAAGTTGTTCTCAGCAGCCATTCTTACGCCCAATTGGATTGATTTCCAATTGAATAACTGTAAATCGAAACACCAAGCACAATTATCAGACGAACATACGAAAGACAGCGTTATGATTAAATAACAACAACATCAGATCTAAAAAGAGTTGCTTTTTAATCAGAATTGCATTGCAGAGCGACGATTAGTACTGTAATTGGTAGCCGAGGCATTATAAGATACAATTGGTAAAAGAAATAAAAAAAAAGAAGGAACTTTACGGATCTTAGACCTAATTGGAGAGTGTGGAACTGAAAAACAGCAATCGAATCGGAGAAATCGAGAAAAAGCAGTAAAGCGAGGTGAAAGAAAGAAAGGGACAGTATTAAATACCTGATTTTTGATCGAAATGCAGAGTTCAGTTGGAGAGTACCATGTCCTGTGGATTGTGAAGTAAACAATGCCCAAACAAATCTCTCTAATAATGAGAATGTTTGAGCTAATCCAAATTTAAAGCGTGTAGTTGCCAGTCTTCACGGGACTTAAGTACACAGGACAACTGAAGCTTAGCTGTTAATACTGTTAATTAGGGTTTGTTTTTGTAAAAGGCGGGCTTACTTGTCCAATAAAAACAGTGGGCGTGGAAAAGACAATCTCTCCTTTTAAGTTTTAACGTATACCACAGATGATGCTCTAGATATTGCTCGGCTCGTGTCCAAACAACCATACCATGCCAAATGGGTTTTATTATTAAAAGATCCAGATATGAACTTTAAAATTGTATTAAATGTATAATATCAATGGGTAAAATATGTTGCGTAAGAAGAGACTGGATTAAATGTGGGTATCTCTTTTTTCTTTTATAAATAAACAAAACATTATGAAATTGAATTCCCATTTTTTTTTTCCCTTATTTATGCAGGTTTAGGAAGCTACAATGTACCCTTGCCTTGAGTGCTTCAAAGTGTATATTGTTGAACATGAGATGACATAATCAAAATATGGTTATTTGAGCTCCTAAATCAAAGTGAATAGTAAATGGCAAAGTCCCACAAACATCTTTGGAACACTTCATGTGCTGCTTTTTATCCCACTACAGATCCCACAAGGAAGTTAACGTGGGATTGTCATATTATATAATTAGGACAAAAATCAATGGTATCTATAAAAGTTGACAAAAAAGAATTCTAGGAGAGGGCAAAACGCCAGTAAGAGAGCCTCACTCTTGCATATTATCACTCATTTCATGATGCCCTATTGTGAATGCTCTGATGGCCCTGCAAAATTGTTTTCGCTGCGACTCCGCCCTGAATCTAATGTAAAGCGATCTGTCGATGCAGTAAGTTCATTTTTATGTTTTCTTTTTTTCGCATTTGATTGCTCTCCAACTTCGGACAAAGAACTTTTATGTCTGCTACTGTGTGTTGAAGCTCCATGTCCCTTCGATGAATATGATCTCCTAAGCTTACTTTGAGTTGGGGTCGAAAGACGATGGGAAGAGTTTATCACTGAAGATCCAGCAGACATCTGATGCAATCGTTTTGATTTTTTTTCAGCTTCTTGCTTCTCAAGTTCTTTAGGATCAGGATAATGGACAAGAGAAACTCGCCGTGAAATATTCCCAACTGTAAATGTATACAACCATATCAATAGCACGGAAATACAAGAAGATTCTCGCTGTTCAGTCAAATATACAAGAAGCACATTTGTCAAGGAAAACAATCTTGTATAATTCAACACATCACAACACATAAATCAACAATTTATGATTATGCCAAGACTAGGTAATAACCAAGGGTAAATTTAACAAATTTCACACCATTTTCAAACATGATCTTTTTAGAGAGAACTTTAGAGCATTTCCAACATCAACCAAGGATATAATGACCTTTTGGTTGTAATTCATTTACATCATTCAACCCTACCAACAACCATGTTCTCCAATTCCAATGATCATTCAACTCCTACTCACTGTGTCTATTTAACACCCAGCCAAAAGGTTTTCAAAAGCATCCTTTGGAACAAATAGTTTGCCATAAATGAACCCCAAGTACCTATAAAAAGTTGAACAAAAAAAAAATCTGAAAAAAATAGAGAAAGAAAGAAAGAAAGAAAAGATAATAGTAAAAATTAAAACATATCGTCTGAGGAGTGAAAATAAATACCATAAGTGTACTTACCAATTTTTGTTTCTGATGCAGAGGATAGGAAAACTGTTGCATCAGACTCTTGCGCAGCACAGCTGACAACATCATATATTTTCCCTGACACAGCATCACAAAATCACCTCATTGCCAATTAATGCATATAATGAGATTGGCCGATGGTATAAGAAACAAGCTATTTTGAATAATGAAAATTGCATTGGCAGGTTAACATGGTTTGAAAATTAAAATTCCACCACACAATAATTGGAGAAGAGACTTCCTTGTGTTTACCAAATGAACCTTCAAAACTGCCCAAACATCCATCATGATAAAGACCAAGGGATATTTCTTTCCCTTGAAAATCAGGAAGCTGCAATACAAACAACACAAGAACGAACATTAAAACTCAAACTTTGGATAGTTTGGCTTATATAAACAATACATTACGCATATGCATATCACGTCAAACAAGTCCATTTACGTTTTTTTAAGTAAAATAACACAAACAGATGTCTAAAGGCATTTAAAAAAAAAAAAAAAAAAAAAAAAAAAAAAAAAATTTAAAATTCCACCACCACAAAATTGGTGGAGAAAAGAGACTTCCTTGGTTTACCAAATGATACCTTCAAAACTGCCCAAACATTCCATCATGATTTAAAGGACCTAAGGGATATTTTCTTTCCCCTTTGAAAAATCAGGAAGCTGCAATACAAAACAACACAAGAACGAACATTTAAAACTCCAAACTTTGGATAGTTTGCGCTTATTATAAACAATAACATTACCGCATATGCATATCACGTCAAACAAGATCCCATTATTTACGTTTTTTTAAGGTAAAATAACACAAAACAGTATGTCTTAAAGGCATTTTAAAAAAATAAAAAAAAAAAAAAAAAAAAAAAAAAAAAAAAAAAAAAAAAAGAAAGAAAGAAATTTTACTTCATTATGAGGCCACTGAATGAGCCAAAGCTCTGTAGAGTCGGTCAAAGAAAGATCAACAAGAGGTTCCCTCCAATCTTCTTCAAATCCCGCATCTGGCCTATAAGGCTCCCCCTCAGCAACATCCATTGCCTAAAAACTAAAAATAAATTTAAGTGGATAAATCAATAATACAAAAGCCATTAATCGAACACCTTCTGAGCAGACAGTCACCACCTTTACCAATTTCACAAAAGTTACAGTATTTCGTTTCTTTTTTAAATTTTCTCCTCTGAAACATAAGTTCTAATAGCTGCTTATGTTTTCTTGGCAAATTAGAAAAGTAAAGGCACATCTCCTAACAGAGAAGAATAAAAATTCAAAACAAAAGGGACGTGATAGGTGAAGAAGAAAGAAGAATACCTGGGTGGAAATGCAACAAAGTCGAAATAAAGTGTTGGTAGTAGTCGTTGAACAACAAGCTTAAAGAAACCAAACCTGAAACTAAAACCCTTGATTGCCGTAGCGTATCTGGTGCTTGCTACGGTCTCTGTGACTGAGTTTTTTTGTTCAGTACTTATAACTGGTTACCGGTTGAAGAGGTGAACCTTTTATGCATGTTTTGTTTTAAATATAGGAGTATCAGATACCTGCGTATAATATCCCACAATTATTGGGTGTTTTAATATTGCAAATTGCCGGTGTATTTTTCAGTTAGAAATTGAAACTTAAGACACAATTAACCGTCGTGTTCATGTTCTTTGTATATTCTATCAGGGATAAAGAAGACAACTTTATAATCACTTTTTTTTTTTTGGTGTAATTATAAATCACTGCTTTTAATATTAAAAGAAAGACATTAAGGAAATGGAATCTTCTCCATTTTTGTGCAAGCATCATAGACCGAGTTCAATATTTTCAAAAGAGAAATTTCTACCCAACCCAAGGAATAATAAATATATAAAAAATAAAATATTCAGTAAATTTTAGCTCATAATAATAACGTTGCCGTCGCCAATACAAAGCCACACCCTTCTCCACCACTACCTACCTAACTGTTTTGTACAGCACCAAATTTACTGCATATATGTATATATATATGTATATATATACACACACACGTGTATGTATCTGTGTAGATGAGGAAAACGAAAGAGATGGTAATGGATCAAATGCATGAGAATCCTTAAGAAGAAAAATAAATTCACAAGTCTTCAAAATCAAAGGAAAACTGGAGGTCCAATGGCTCTGATGAAGTAAGGAAGTAAAAGAAGAAAGAAGAAGGAGACAAGAAAGTGAAAGTACTGGTAATAAGGACTTGGGTTCAACTGAAAGGAAGGCATTAATGCAAAGTGTCCATCCCTAATAAGGACTTGCAACTTGGCTTGTCAAACAATTCCATTTAATGCCTGCCATTTGGGCCTCTTCTTCTTTGAATTGAATGAATCCTCACGTGTTAGCTGGATCTTCTTTAATGTTTTTTCACTAGCTAACTGTCCTGAGAAGTGACATACACTAGATATATGACTACTCTGATTCACCTCTAGTACTTCCAAGCAGGTGAATACTATCACTTCAAGAGTCAAGACTACAGTCTGGGTATGTCTACTGTTGTAACGACTAGCACTGTGCTCCGGGTTTTGCAAATTATCTCAATTCTCTGCTTTTCATTTTGAGATTTGCCTTAAAACTGTTCATAGATCATGCATTTCTACATAATTAGTTAATTTGATACTTCATGCATATATTGTGTTCTCTGTCTCAAACAATACATGAAGCTTATTATTATTATTATTGTGATTTATTAGTTGGCTCTTTGAAGGAATGGATTCGAGGGAAATCAAATCACCTGAAGCCACATTCGATGGAAATTCAGAATCAGGTCCCAACAAGAAGCTTGGGATGTACTTCATGGAGTCGGATAACAGGCGAATGGCTTTCGGGCGTGGTTATACCGGAGGAACCACGCCGGTGAACATCCACGGAAAACCTATTGCCGATCTTTCAAAGACGGGTGGTTGGACGGCTGCCTTGTTCATTTTTGGTAATTTAATATAACCTGTGTTTTGTGATCTCTTCGTTAAGCTGAGAATACGATGATAATTGAGCTTGTTTAATTTGTTTTGTTCATCAGGGAATGAAATGGCGGAGAGAATGGCTTATTTTGGTCTGTCAGTAAACATGGTGGCGTTTATGTTCTATATAATGCACATGCCTTTCGCCAGTTCATCCAACGCAGTAAACAATTTCCTCGGTATATCACAGGCATCATCCGTCCTTGGTGGCTTTCTTGCAGATGCATATCTTGGACGCTATTGGACTATTGCCATTTTCACAACCATCTATCTTGCAGTGAGTTCTTCTAGTCGATGGTTTTCCATGTACTTCATTTATTTATTTATATCGTAAATTCATTTGTATTTCAAATTGCAGGGCCTGACAGGTGTTACCTTATGCGCATCAATGAACATCTTCATGCCAAACCAGGATAAGTGCGATCAGTTATCCTTGCTTCTGGGTACTTGCGAGCCTGCAAAACCATGGCAGATGCTCTATCTCTATACGGTCCTTTACGTGACAGGATTTGGAGCTGCTGGTATAAGGCCATGTGTTTCTTCTTTTGGGGCCGATCAGTTTGATGAAAGAAGCACCAATTACAAGTCTCATCTCGACAGGTTTTTCAACTTGTTTTATCTTTCTGTGACTATTGGGGCAATAGTTGCCTTCACTTTGGTAGTCTATATTCAAATGAAACGTGGATGGGGATCTGCGTTTGGTTCATTGGCCATAGCCATGGGTATATCAAACACGCTCTTCTTTGTCGGCACTCCCTTGTACAGGCACAGATTGCCAGGAGGCAGCCCCTTAACGAGAGTTGCCCAAGTTCTGGTTGCTGCCTTCCGCAAGAGAAATGCAAGTTTTTCCAGCAGCGATCTAATAGGCCTCTATGAAGTGCCTGGCAAACATTCCGCTATAAAGGGGAGTGGAAAGATAGCTCATACCGATGATTTAAGGTACTCTTATTTATTTATTATTTATATACTCTTCATCTGGATAGTAAAATATTTCTGGGTTTCTGAGGCTGCAGATGTTTGGACAAGGCAGCTCTGCAATTGAAGGAAGATGGTGCTGATCCAAGTCCTTGGAAGCTTTGTACTGTGACTCAAGTAGAGGAAGTCAAGATCCTAATCAAACTTATTCCGGTCACAGCTTGCACTATAATGCTCAATGTAGTTTTAACAGAGTATTTAACTCTCTCGGTACAGCAGGCATATACTATGAATACGCATATGGGTCGTCTCAAACTCCCTGTGACATGCATGCCTGTGTTTCCTTGCCTTGCCATTTTCGTCGTTCTGTCTCTTTACTACGCAATCTTTGTTCCTATATCTCGTCGCATCACCGGTCACCCGCACGGTGCTTCTCAGCTTCAAAGAGTTGGCATTGGTTTGGCAGTTTCAATTATATCTACTGCATGGGCTGGGATTTTTGAGAAATATCGGAGAAACTACGCCATAAAAAATGGCTATCAATTAAGTTTCCTGACACCCATGCCCGACCTAAGCGCATACTGGTTGTTGATACAGTACTGCTTGATAGGAATAGGTGAGGTATTTTGCATTGTGGGATTACTGGAATTCCTCTATGAGGAAGCTCCTGATGCAATGAAAAGCATAGGATCTGCTTATGCTGCTCTTGCTGGAGGCTTAGGCTGCTTCGGAGCAAGTATCTTGAACAGCATCATCAAATCAATAACCGGGAGTCCAGACAAACAATCATGGTTGTCCCAGAATATAAATACCGGTAAATTTGATTATTTTTACTGGCTGCTTACTGTTCTGAGCATAATTAATTTTTGTGCTTTTATATACTCAGCGCTTAGGTATAAATACAGGGGCTGAGCACAAGTTTGGGACTGGGGAACCAATTGTAAACACCCAATAAGTGCATAGGCAAATAAGAATTTGGAATTTTAGATGGCTAAGCCATTTTTCATTGTTATGAGCTATCCTTTTCCGGAGTAAGATTTCCTCTAAAAAATATATATATTTTCTTTATTTTTTGAACTTAAAAACTTATAACTAGAAGCATATGAAACATCGATTCCTCTATTATATTATACATACGGCTCTTTATCATTATTATATGCCAAACTTGATGGAAAAGCATCCAGAAAGCGCGGTGCATTAAACTATTTCCAGACAGCTATGCCTGGAAATATCCGGGTTTTTTCTGCTTTCACATCCCAACGAGACTGCTTTGAGATCTCCATTCATGACTCTGCCTACCTGCACATAATAGGACTCCCTAAAATCTTCCTACTTCAATATTTTAACTAATGCACCCAATTGAAATGAACTGACTAACGAACAAAATTTGACCATTTGGTTTTGTGTCACTGGTGCAAAATTTGACTAATGAACAAAGACAAACTATTACCAGTTGTCTTATAGCAAACGAAGCCAGCAGATATTCGTCGGCAGATATCTTCTCTAAATGGGCATACACAAAAAAGAAATGTCTACTTCTCATAGGATAGCTTCAACGTGTCATGGAAGACAACAATAAAGAAAGTAGGTCATTGATATGACTGGTCCTGTAATAATAACCATAGGAGAAACCTAGACTAAAAATGTTCATTTAGTACTAATGTTAAATCAATAGCACCACAAATGAAAATGCATTTGACAACTTTATTTGTGATTTAAATTTTCCAAAAATATCGGTTTCAACCCTCTTGCTATGGTGGGGATGGAATCATATTCTTAAAAGGAACTGAACTCGTCCACCTCAAAACAGCCCATACCCCAATATAGGACAAATATAAGAATGTTAAGTCTCTTCAAGCTTTGGGCAAAATTATGGAAATACATAAAGCAGATAGCAATCAACCCAAGTTTGGTTATAAGATGCCGCACAATTTGTCGATGCAACAATCCCAAACTCTATCTTTTGTTGTAAAAGAAATATATTATAACATATCGGGGAAAACCAGAAAAAAGAACCAGAAGCATATATTGCAATTAATATTTTCAGCATGCATCAATAATATGATTGCATGACTAAAACGTTTACAATCAGTTGATATAACTTTACACTGATCTGTTGGATTCTATTAAACAACAAGCATTTTTCCCCAAGTAGTTTTCTATTAAAAAAAAAAAGCACTTACTGAGTTCAACAGAAAATTACAAGGAAATTCGAAAGTAGATATAATGAACAATCACTTTACCTATTCAAGAATGTTAACGAGAACAGAGAGCTTTTATTTACAGACTCTCCAGCCAGCTCATGCTCCATCACTTAGCAATCAGATATATACCAACTTAAGGGCTTTCACAAAACTCCATCTCCTAAAATTTCCAGAAAGTAGTTCCTGTTAGACATACCTCAAAAGTCTGTTGTTGTTATTATTAATATTATTATTATTATTATCATTATTATCATATGAGCTGAGGAATCTCCTTCTATTTTAACTAAGCAACTGCATACAGTGAAAAGAAAAGAATTTCCTATTGCAATAATCATCATTGGCAAGAACACGATATGTGGGTGCTGGGAACAAATCAACACTCAAACTCATACTTGCAGTATATTCTAAACAAAAAATGCATACAGTGATAGAAAGAGGCAATGAGAGAGGAGTCTAAAAAGTCAACAGGGTCAACAAAACATCTTTAGTCTCTTATCTGCTATGTCCCACATAATTAAAGTTTTGAAACAATTAAACAAAACTGGCCATAAGCAGCAATTATGTTTAATTGCGTCTGTACAAACACAAGCCTCACACTGCCATACAGGGTCAGCTCTGGAACAGAATCAGAAAATAAATTTTCTTCTAAAAGAGCAAGCATGCATACCTTGCCACAAATTGGACAATTTTCACTCCTTTCCAACCATTCATAAATACAACCAAGATGAAAATGGTGAGAGCATCTTGTCGTTATTTTAGGATTATCTGGAGTATAATCTGCAAGGAATTCATTGTTCAAAAACCATTCAAAGCATACTAGTGCAAGAACAAATAATATTTTTATTACATGCAAGTCACCACCAGAATTCAATACATGCAGACACATTAAATTACCATCAAGACATGTAGGGCAGACATCTTCATCTTCAGAAGGCTGTTGCACATAAGATAGTCCATATTTGAGTTCTGTTTCCAAAGCTTTCTCTGAGGATTCTGACTGATTCATTTTAAAGTCATCCTCAGAATCAACCCCGCTCCATTTCTTCCCCAAACCAGATGATTCCAGACCAGAATTACTCATATTTCTTCTTAATGGTTGTGATTCTTCTTGGAAGTGAGTCATCGACTTCCTAGATACCAAACCATCACGCTGCAAACGGGTATATCTCTGATCAGCATCATAAGGAACTGGCCTGGACAATGAGACATAAGTATCACTTATGGAACCATCTGGCAATCCAGGGCCAACAGCCGTTGATGTCAAGGAGGTACCTCCCTGAGTTGGAGATATTGGCCGGCCTTGAAGTCTATGAAACATTGCACCATACTGCATACATATGAAGGGTATAATTTGAGGATGTCACCAAGTTAGAATGAGATAAAAGAGTAGAAAATAATGGCAGTGACTCTCAGCAGATCAAAGAACCTGCTTTGGGAAAAAAAATATTACAGCAATAATTTAGTTGTTATATTCTTAATAAAGAGGTACTAAATAATCCTCTTCAATAATACTTTATTGCATGCTAGCATAAAATCTGGGGCTTTGCTTAATCACAGGATGGTACGACTTGTTTTGAGACCTAAATAGCATATATATATATATATTGTTCAACTAAAAGATGGTGATAGAAGGGATACTAGCCCACACTTGGCTAGGCAATCTCCTAATACATATATTTTAGCCCGGATAACATGGTTGAGAGGTCCTAAACAAGTAGAAGGAAGTCACACGATTTCCATAAGAACCTAGCTCATGAGATTGAGAGATACACAGGAAGACTAAATACAAAAACAGTCACGAAGAGTGTTTGAGTTACTGAAAATCTCAATGCTCACCCCAATAAGTAACTGGTGGAAAAAGAATCTTAGGCTTATGCAGTGCCTATTCATTGAATTGCCAGTATAAGCATATTCTTCAAATTCATCGCTGCATGGACAGCAGCAGAAGGCACCCATATTTATGCTTTGAAAATATAATAATAAGAACTGATTGTCACCGCCAACGAAGCAACCAAACAGGACTTTATATTCACAATTACTTATAATTCAGGTCAAGTGCATTCCTCCAAATTAGATCCGACTTGAGGCTCAATCTGCAAGAAATCAATGATTTGGAAGCAATGTAAGAACAAGTATCACCAGAACCTATATGCATACAGATTACAGAATGATGAGAAGAAAGGGTAATAAAAAGCCAACTATCCTGCCATGGCAAGAAAAAAGTCATAAATGATATGCATCAGCCAGTAAAAATAAAGAATAGGAAAGCTCTTTCGGTTGGGATAAGAATTTCAACGGCAATGTAACGAACTTAAAACTTGTGTTCTTGCAATGGAATGGCAATGCAATCATTGCAATTGTAATAGCAACAAAATAAACAAATATGTAAGAGGCAATGTAATGAACTAAAAACAAAAACAAACAGTGGTAAGCAAAGCAGCTGCAGAATGAAATGAGAAGACAGTAGAGGAAGTTGAAGCTTACAGTCATGGTAATATCCTAAAAAGCACAAATTATTATTTACAGAAAAATGCAGCAATTGATGCAAAATTGAACTGAAGACGAAAAATCGAAGATTGGATCGGTCGCGAGACGCAAGTCTTCTTAGGGTTTGTGCAGCTGTAAACATGAACAAAAAGTGGAATAGCGAATCTACCTTGGGCGTAGCTTCTAGAGAAGTGAAGAGAATGATCTGCGCTTCTCACTTGCCATAATTGATAATCCAACGCGCCAAAGACTTTCTGCAGTCCATTAAAGAACAGAAAATAAAGGAAAAGAAAATGGGCTTTTGGGAGTATTAATTAATAGTTAATTAAAAAAAATCCCCAGCTTTAAATAATTGGCATATTGACCACTTCCTTTTTACATAATTAAATAATTGGGTTTTTGTTTGTTTCGAAAATCTTTTGGCAGAAATGAAACTAAAATTAAGATGAATTGCTGCTTGTTTTGAATTTAGTTGTCTTGTGGAGAAATGGCAAGTTTTATGTGTGCAATTTGCAAATGGTAAATGGTAAATATATAAATTTTCTAAGGACGTGTTTGGCTGTTTTTCTTTCCCATTCATTTTTTGTTTAAAGAAAAATTGTAATCCATTTTCTATTCATAAATTCACTTTTTGTAATTTACAAATATATTCTATAAATTCATGTTTATATACGATTCATTCTTTTTTTTTTTTCTATTTATCATTTTGTTTTCCATAATCCAAACACGACCTTGGTGTGATGATGGAGTGTAACTGCTTCGCCATACCTAACAATCTTTTATACATTAATCAGAAGTATTAAACTATTAATTCAAAGAGAAACAAAATTATGAACAGAGAGCATTGTGCTTACAGCTTATTAATTAGATAATCGAAGAATTTTTAAAAATATAGTGGTAATCAATTTCATTACATAACTTGATCTTTCGCACTTTTCTTGTCAAAACAGTAGTCGGGGGCTTGCCATTTCGCATCTTCAAGGACAGCTCCCACTTCAAACGTCATCACATGAGCTTCCCTTCCTGCAATTGCAATGGCATATATCATATTATAATAATAAATTAAGAAATTGGCATAATATACAATCAATCAATTGTATGTACCAGTGTAAAACACCCAGTGAACGGGCCTCTTGGTGACAGCATCCTCACAGTACCAAATGAAATCCACCTTCTCCCAAACATTGCAGAGGAATCCATCCACGTGGCGCTGACCCAGATATTTGGCTCCGTCCAGCCAGTTAGGCCGGAGGATCCCAACCTCTAATTGCGCGGAGGAACACTCCTTGTCGGCGTCCAAACTGAAAAAGAAGGAAGTGCCGTTGTTCCATTCGACATCGTACACTAGCTTACCCAGCTGGTGCTGGATGAGGTTCAAGTTTCTTCCGTTGGGCCAATCGTACCAGAGATCGATCTTTTGGAGGATCCCACTGTAATTCATCCACAAAATTGCGTGGAATTGCTGTGGCCATGGCGCTGGACTCGGCTCTCCTTCTGTAGATGAGATTAGGAGCAGCAGCAGCAGAGGGATAGAGATAGGGACAGACATGGGCTTGCCCATTCTCGAAGACGAAGCTAATTGGTCTTGCTCTTGCAACACACAATACTAACGCGTATACCTATCATGTTTTTATTTAATTCATTTAACAATATCTAATCCACCTGCTTCGCCTTCACCCTTGTTTGTACTTGAAAAGATTTTTTTTTTCACACGTAGGAGTATATCATTTATTATTATTTTATTTGATTATTGACGGGTTTTATGGATCTAGATGATACGAGTCTCCGAACAGAATCCTCTTTGTAGACCTATTACATATCACAGAATCCTTTCAAAACTAAGAAATTGGCAGAACATATAACTTACCAAGCAGACTTATTATGATGATCATGAACAATAATTGATTCCAACGGACATTTGTGATAATAATACTAAATAATTTACAACAACATTTCCTACCGACTTTAACCCTAAAAGAATTTCACTCCGATCAAAATGCTCACTCTACCCTTTCCCCATACATGTGGACCACTAGTCATTATTTGTGATGCTTAAAAAAAGATGGGGAAAAAGAACTAACTGCGGCCAGGTTTACTGACAAGCAAGAATTTTCTGACTACACCTTTTTGTTCAATAACTTGCTATTAGACAAAAACCCAAAAAAATAAAAAATAAAAAAAAGTTAGAAAAGGCCATGCAATCTTTACCCATTGAAGTTGAGAACAAGCAGGCAAATCTGAGTCAAGCTGAACCTGAAATTTTAACACCCCACTTGAAAATTGCCAGAACATATTGTACACTTTGTATTCGTCTAAATATACTTCAATCCCGAGATATATTGCTGTCTAGAGATTATAGTCTGGGCTATGGTATAAATAATTCCTAAGATCCCCAATATCTTAATCTTTATCACATCTGATATTATTATGGATGGAAGATTAAGGGGCAGAGTGATCAGCAATGTCGAGTCTGTCTGCTTTGTGTAACTCCACACGAACCTGTTGAACAGGATATGACTGGGGAATGTTAGAATGAGAAGGGCTACATTCTTCACTGCAAAGAACCAGTCAGGACCTCCAATCTCAATGCCCCACCCGGTATTCCCATGCCAGACATCCTCCCATATGCTGTATAGGGCTGTCAACACCAAATAGGTCGATATAGCCACCACAACAGGGAAATACCTCTGTTTGTCCCCAAAACCAGCAACAAAATCAGAGTCCTGGTTCAGAAGCAGCAGAATAGGAGCAAGGAAGAATATTGCCTGGTTTGAACCCCCTGTCAGGTTGACATTCAGGATCAGGCATATTGCAAAGCACATTACTGTGGCAACATTACCAACCGCAGGCATCCAGGCTCCCTCAGCAGCCATTCTCTTGATTGTGAAAGTTGGCACTGCAGAGGCACGGCGTTGCTGCATGAACCTCATTCGTGGAGCAAAACCAGCAGAACTGCTTTGAGTAGATTGGCTGTGTCTCATTCCACCCCTTTCAAGATTCTTTTCGCGCATTAATGAGGCAAGTTCAAACTTTATCTCCAGTGCTATAAGCATAAAGATTGCTGCGTATAAACCAAGAAGAGATGTTCTTGCTCCCTCAACAGCCAGTAGAGTTGTGAGCTTCCTATCTTCTTCTCCAATGTCTGCAACCCCACCATCTTCAAGGATACTTTTGATTCTCACCTGACCTTCCAATAGATATGTCACAGGAAAGAGGGCTACAAGTAGAGCAAACACCCAAGGTAACAGCTTTGTGCTTGAAGCAGATGGAAAATGGGTGAAGACAACAAATACAGAGGTACAAACCATAGTTACAACAATAAGGGCATGCAGAACTGCAGCCTGTAGGAAGTACTCGGCAGATATATATATTCCAAGAGCAACCCCCATAGCAATGGAGTATAATGTTCTCAGCTCCACCATGTACTTTATGGGTATGATGGATGTCACAGCTGCTAAAGTAAGTAGAATTGCCACAATAAGCAGCCAAGATGGCCAGGTAGGTTTTGATGCCATGAACCCATAGATAGAGATGTCATCAGAAGATTGACGAGCTGCTTTGATTATGTCGGAATGATAAGTCCATGCCACTGGGATTGGTGGTTGCATTAGAATGAATAATGCACCAGTTGCCATCACTAGCACTAGGCATCTCTTAGCAGACTGCACAAAGTGGAAAGAATCAAATCAATGCAATCAGTAAGCCAAAAATAATAATTACTGAATCAATTGAAAAACAGAAAATTAAAGAAGGAAGTCTGCCGCCACAAAAGGTGGCGAGGGGAGGAGATGGTTTGATTGGGTTGTTATCAGTACTCAAAATAAAACAGCTAGCGTGGCTAAAAGATACCTTCAATCAGACACCTTTCTATTCATTAATCACTTAAGCCATAACTTGGTTTTTTTTCCTCTAGATAGCAATCAGGATCAAACCAATTTTCCAAAATTATCAAATGTCTTGATAGATTTATTGTTTTATTGTATTAAGAAAGAAATATATGAAACACAGAAAAAAAAAACAAAATATATATGTATGAAGGAAAACAGACCAAGACATGAGAGAAGTGCAGAGCAACTATTGGTACACAAGCCAATCCTGTCAAAACAATACAGAAGCCCAGAAGTAAACCATCAGATGGGGGCCTCCCGTTCCACCATTGGAGAGCTTCAAAAATTGTTTCACGGCAAAACCATACAGAGAGAGCAACCACACTAGCATGCACGTAACCTTGCCATGGTTTCATCTTTGAGGCTGTTCGTGACTTATTCCTACAAAGTTAAACAAGAGAAGATGAAATATACTCAAACCTGGATCAGATGGAGAAGATTAATAGTCTCAATTCAGGGAAAATGTTTACAGACTTGTAAAGAAGCAACGGGGGAGAAACGGCCAGTAATAATATAGCTGAAACCCAAACAACTGATTTAGAAGAAATAAACAGCATGGCCAACTTCGAAGAATATAAGCATGCCAAAATCCAAACTGCCTTGGGTCCAATACGATGATCTGCGGATAACTTTCTCACCAGAGCCAAACCCAGAAAAGTTGTCATAATAACCATATAGCTCGGATACATCACATCATCCTCCAGTCCATAGAAGTATATGCCCGAATAATTAAAAAAACGATTTTCAATATGGCATAAAAGCACTGCGTGGCTGATTAAACCAGCCTCAACTAAAAAGTGAAGCTGTGACGGTAGAAGAGTTAAACCAGGAACAGCCAAGGCTAGCATGACACTCGCAACTATGAGTTTACAAAAGGACTTCAAGGACATGCCTGCTAACCAAATGTTTAGATCCCAGAAATTATGCAGCACAAACCATATGACCATCAAACTTCCAAGTATAGCAAAGGAAAAGTATGACGTCACACTTTTCTTTGTGAAAAAACGAGCCAGATAAAAGCCGGCAACTGAAGGAACTGGGAGGAACTGCAAAACCAAGGATGAGGGAAGTAAGAAGTAGAGAAAATACATAAAGACTCTACATCTACTACAACTGTGACTGTAATTACACATGTATGTCAAAATTTTCAATTACACGCTCTCATTTCAGTGTTCTTTGGTCATTAATAGCTATATGGCTGCATACAAGTATTTGAGGTACAAAAAAATCCTGCAGCAAAACATACAATGTAAAAGGGTATTTTCTTGTGCACTCGCTGAAACTTGCCTTAAATCCTAATCCAGTCACTACTCACTAGTCAGTCACTGACATGTAACTTTTCTCTATTGAGATACAGGTATTCCATTAGGGTATCAATGTGTAACTATTCTAGATCTGAACAATGTTTCACCATTATGTACTGCAAATTGACTATGGTGCAATGACTGCAGTCAGAACTTACCAACTCAATAAGGTTTGAGGAAAGCAGATTTTTATTTTGGCATTCTCCACCAAGCCACCAGCAAATGGTCCTAAAAATGATATAGATCTGAGTTTCTAAAAGGTGGGAAATGCCTGTGACATGAAAAAATTAACCGGCACTAGCTTGAGGAAGAAAATAACACCCACTCCCCTAATCACAACGTGAACCACTACAGCAAGTTTCCTTCAAATTTTTTAATTGAATAGGCTTGCCCAATGGGTGCAATTTTTATATGACAACAAATAAATGTCTGCAGGCCATTTTTCCATTATAAGTCATGAATTTAGCAAGTCAACTCACCAGACTCCCCCATCCTTCAAAGGATAAAAAATTTGGAAAACTTGATACACAATCATAAGCCCACACTGGTAAAGAGCACATTCCATTGCAAATTTTGTTATTGAAAATCTAGCCCCATCTCCTATACTGGGTCCAAAATTTAACAGTCCTTTTTTCCTTTTTCCTTTTTTTTTTTTTTTTTTTTTTTTATCTCCTAGTACTGGGTCCAAAATTTAAACAGTCCTTTTTTCCTTTTTCCGTTTTTATTTTTTTTTTTTTTTTTTGAGTTTATTTCATCTTTTTTAGCACCTTTTTTTTTTTTTTTTTTTTTTTGAGTTTATTTCATTCTTTTTTAGCACCTAAGGTAGAGACTGGAAGTATTTGAACCCCTAAACAGATTGGGGTTCAGGTAGTACAATCATAAATCTGATTCTCCTTGTCTTCACTTAAACTTGCTCATGTTATAACAGTAATGTCAATTACTTTTCAGAGAGAGAGCATCAATTCCCCCACCATTCCTAAGGATGCCAGATATGCAACTGTTATATGATAAATGCCAAATAACAAAGGAACACATCGTTTAGTAACAGAACATCCTTTAATTACAAGAACTACCCTTTTATGTTTGCTAAAGCAGCTTTTCAATTGTTTCTATCCCCATATTTGACATTGACATTTAAATTATTTCTGAAGCTAAACAACTTATGCATGTAGAATCATAATTGAGTGATGCCCTTTATTTCTTTCTTTCTTTTTAAGGAGACACAAACAGGACTGGACAATTTGGGCTGCATATAGTAGGGCTAACCCTCTGCTTAATAACTCTCATCATACTTGTGAAAATTTTCACCATATTGATGGATGGGAGGACTGAAGCCTAAGAGGCTTCCACCCCATTGCTCCCAACTGACCCCACACTGATTGAGAAGAACCACCGGGTTAGGTCTAACTGGCATATGCCCTGACTAAAGGGTTGCTCATTTCGTATCATCTACTTATCATAAGAAATGCAGCACAAATTCCCCATGAAAATCTGAATATATCCTCCCACAGTCCCCATATACAGTATGGAGTGCATCATATATTAGGAAGATTTCTATTATGAAGTAATGAAGTTTTATTATGATTACAGATTCAGAATCCAATCAAAACGTGCAATTAGTATAAGCAATTCAAACAGGCAACACAAATACCCTTGTCAAGGTCTCACAGCTGAAACACAAGCACAAGCAATTAATTTATATAGCTCATGCCCGTAAACAAACAAACAGAAATATATATAATAGACAAGCCAATTATTGATATAGGCTCCATCGCCCGTAAACAAACAAACAGGAAAAAAACAAAAAAAAAAAAAAAAAATATTATATATATATATATGTATAGTATATATATATATATATATAATATAATATATTAAACAGGACATGAATAACTATTAAGGATCAAATTGCATACCAAAATGGGAAATCCTACAACAATTGCCCCTGCTGCGCTGACAATTACAGCTAAAGCAGTGAAAGCCACTGAGCTGAAAGCATCAGAAATCATACCAAGAGCATAAGCACCTACTCCAGCAGCCCCTCCAAGCATAGTCAGAGTCACAAGAAGATAATTCAATGGCGGAGCAACCTGAATATACCGCCCAAACGAATGGAATACAACTCTAATCTCCAAACATAACACGACAATAACCAGTGCAACAGCACCATTTACAACTCGTATGCTATGGAGCTGGTCCGAATTCTTCGTAACCCACCAAAGCGCGCCCCTCGTGGACGCATAGAGTTGGAACAAAAAAGGGATGAAAAAGAGAAGAAATAAATCACAAACAGAAGCACCCGAAGAAAATATTACTGAATAGTGAGATGCAATATGAAATAATAGAGGAACAAAGAGCAAGTTTAAAGTATGAAAACAACTCTCGAGAGGGGAGAGGATAAAATTATCATCGGGAATCTCTCCCCCATGATATTTCGCTTCCTGTTTGGATTTAAAGGAAGAAACACGAGGAATTGCAAAAAGCCAATAGAAAATGCAATTGAAGACCATGAGATAATAAGAAGCGTTAATCATCCCAACTGCGGATACAGTGGCCCAGGTGAAGAGGGAAGAAGCCGTGAATGGGACGCAGGCGAACAAGAGGCGCTCTAGAGCAAGGACAATGGTAGGGTTCTCCAGCTGGATCCACTTGAACTGAAGGGAGGCCCATACCCCGATTAAGAAATTAGCGTAGGCGCAAAGGAAAGAGGCGAGAAGGCCCAGAGGGACCGAATAGAAGGTGGTGATGAGAGACGAGCTGAAGAAGAAGGCGATCTGAGCGGCGATAAGAGAGAACCACACTCCGAAGAATGCACCGGATTTGATGCTTAAGGAATCAAGGATGTAAGCGACCATAAGGCCAAGAGTTAGGATAGCCACCACGGGGGCGCCCCCGAGGTCGAGGAGGAAGGCAGCACAGGGGACCAGAGCGATGGCGATTCTGGTGTTGTGCGCAAAGGAAGATGGCAAGAACCGAGATCTAGAAGGAGTGGAGGAGGAAGGAGACGAATGGAAGTGGCTGCTAGGGCTAGGGTTTCGGTCAGGAGAGTAAGAGCGGCCATTATTGAAGGCGGAGAAAGAAGGGGCACTTACGGAGGATGCTATATATGGTCGGAAAGGCCGCGCTTGGAGCTCCGGCGGTATCATTTTCGCCGGATTAGATTCGAAAATAAACAGAGTAACTGAAAGTTACTGTGGTCTGATCGCAGGGAGAGAGAGTGTGACCAAGAGAGGGAGAAGATCTCAGAAATGAGAAATCGCGGATGTTTTGTTCATCTGTGGGTTCTGGAAACGATGACGTGCTTGGAGGAATGGGGACCGTTGGATCATTGATTGGGTAGGTCCCTTACAAAAACTATGTTTAACATAAATTGAAAAAATTATTATTTTGTCCTGAGATTTGACCATATTATTTAAATAGTCCTTACTATTTAGTCAAATCTAGCACGGTCCTTAAAGTTTAGTTCCGTCGGCCTTAATCATCCTATCATCCGATTTCTGTGTTTTTACCACTAAATCACAGGAAAAATGCTTACCATTACCCTATAACACAACTTTACGATTAATGACATGATCATTAGTTAGTTAAAAAATTAATCGAGACAAATCGATTCAAATCCCGATTTCAATTCTTCCTTACTTGATTATTAATTTTCTTGTACAACTACTATGTTGCTACCACTTTCTCTATTGCTACTGCTAAGTGTCCTGATCAATTTATCATTATTGTAGGCTTCAAAATCCATCTTCTCCTCTTCCATTATTGTAGGTCTCATTGGTTTAGAGATCTTCAATTTTGGCATGCTCATGACATGCTATAATGGTATCATATTCTCAAAAGTTGATAGAGAATGAGGAGGAGAAAGGATATTGATTAAGGAAGTAGTAGCGACGGGGTCTGATGCGGCAACAACGGACAAAACATGATCTCCAACCTCGCTTTAGGCATAATCACTAAGGGAAACTCTAACTCCAATGTTTTTTAAAGCGACATCATGGTTGGTGTGTGGGACGGTGAAGGTGTCGTGGGTGGAGACGATTTCTTCACAAATCTTTTGTGCTCTTTACAATAAAACACTGACTTCTTCATACTCAATTTTATATTGCATACACCCGTATCTCAATATTTATTCTATCTTTTATTTCTATATATAATTGAAATTGGAACCTTAGTACTAATTATGCTTTCGTGAATAATTTCATCTTTATTACTAATGATTCTTTTTTTAAATATGAAATTCAAGATTTTGATTACTTAATTTCAAACCCATTGTTAATAATCACCGATTCCTCAAAGCATCGCAAACTTTTTTTTTCTAATGGAGTTATGATATGGCAAGAGAGTGTACTGAATGTTGGAAGTATCACATCGCTTGAGAATGGTCGACTGAATTGTCTTTTGGAATTAAAGTCAATTTTCGTCAATTTTTAAATTTCATAAACATGCTGGATATTTGACTAAATATTAGGGATCACTTAAATAATTTGGTCATACTTTAAAAACGAAATAATAATTTTTTCACATAAATTTAGTGACTCGACTTTTAAAGTTTTTATACTTTGGTGCATTTTGAAGCCCAAAAAACATTATCAATTTGGTGCATAAATTTTTTTAAAAAAAATTAGTGTCCCATGCCTAGGGTATTTGAACCTACTTAGTAGGTTCGGAGAGTGAATAAACGAATTTGAATCGGGTTCAGGTAGTATTTTTGCGACCTGTGTTAGATTTGTATCGAATTGAAATTTAAAGACTTAAGCACTACCTATTACCATTTTAATTAATATTCTAAAACTATTTAAAATAATTATTTTTCTCAAAAAAAAAATATACTACACCTTTTTAATTATAATTATAACATATAATTGCATCTAATATTTATATTATATTTTATTAAGTCTAAATAACAATTTTATAATTTTTACTTACTTTTATCTTAAAAAAAATCATAATTTTAATACTAAATGGGTAATTATAATTGGATCCGGATGAATTGAGATACTAAAACTGAATTTTTCAACGCTTCAGGACAAATTTGAATTCAAGCAATGCACTTTAAGCGATAAGTTTGAATTCGAGTAATGCATCCAACCCGCTGGAAAGCAGAATGTGTTATTGCGGGGTTGACTTGGCATTCGACATGGCAATAGAGTAAGCCACATTAGTATTCCAACTCAGCCTATTTCCATGAACTCCCAAATAGTCAGCCCAAATAGCTGGTTGAAAAGCCCACGTCATTGAGTTGGTTAAGAACTCAAGATACAGGCCCAACGGAAAGACGATTTTTGCAATTGGAAACCCACTTCAAACTCTGGCTATTGGAGTTAGACGTCGGATATATATCTGTAATAGAAATTGATGGAAAGGAGAGTAACATCGTCGTAGGCAAGGCAATGGGAAAATAATGCAGGGCAAGGGAGTGATGGTACCATGACATATTGACATATATCCATACAAAAAGAAGGGCCTATATATGCTCCCAAGTAATTTGTTCTCATTGTCTAAATAACGTCAATCCTGCATTTGACTGCTGGGTTTTGAAGGGCAAGAAATGACCCACCTTCTAAGTCCTTTCACTTTCCACTCAATACAACAACAACCCACAAGAACGTCACCCTATCCCTAGCTCTTAACTCTATACATGCAGTTTTGTACTATTGGAGTTAAATTTTAAACAAGACAGCTGCAGAGACCATGTTCTTTTCTCCAAAACGTCCCCAACATCACTCCAACACACGTGTGCCTGGTGCCAGGTGCCTGGGTCTTAACTCTTAACTAACTGCCAAACTGCTCTTCCACTTTCAACATTGATTCAAACTACTCTTCCACTTTCCCTTTCCAATTATGTCTACAAGAAAAATGAAAAACCATATGGTAATTGGTTAACATTCAATATATATACATAATGGTAATTGGTTTAAAACATTCAAATATATATATATAATATATATATATAGTAGTATATAATATAATATTTCAATTTTCAATAGTGTGTGGTATGAGATATATATATATTTCAATTTCAATAGTGTGTGTATGAGTATGAGTAATGAGAAGAGCTTCCCTGATGTATAGATGGGATGGTGGTGGTTAAGGCCACATGTTCCCCATAAATGCGAGAGACAAAGGAGAAGGGCCTGCCTAGATACAAATTTCTCTCTATTGTTTGTACAGTTTTATTTGTCTCCTCGGGTAGCTTTCAGTGCCCCATTGTATGTCCATGGTTTATGCATCTCTGCCTAACTTTCCAGTACTCGTGGCCGCATGTTGGCCTTTGCCTGCATGGCTATAACAAGCCCTGCACCTTTTAAGTTTAATTTAACATGTGTGTGGACATTAATTTGCTTTTTCTTTCCATTTCTGAACTGCTCTAATTTTTTGATCGGTAATATGTTCCATTCATGACAACCGAAGTTTGGCCAAGTAAGGTCCCTGTTTTAACGATGTGACTGCCATAATACAACAGCTCAGTTCGCCCCATGCTTACTACCTACACGGCAATGGCAAACCTTGGGATGGGTTTCGGTTCTATTTCCATACATTCATCCTTGTAGCTAATTGATTAATTTTAAGTTGTATATAATAGTATTAAGCAAAATGATTTCTTACAGGCGGCTATTGTTAGCTAGATAACGATAATAATGTTGGAAAGTGACAGTGCAATGAATCTTTGAAAACTGAAAGCAAATCTGAATTTAATGACTTTCTTTTTCTTTTTTTTTTTTTCAGGTTAATCAGTAATAACAATTCCTATTTAACTCAGCAATGTTATATCACTTTCTTCATGTCGTGGGTGTCGGCATGTTTTTATTTGATTTACAAACACTAATCCAAGCATTATTGGAATTTTATAACATTGAAAACTATTTCTCATCAGATTCACAAGTAGAGACTAGAGACTAATAGTTCAGTAAAGATTAAGAGGATAAAAGAAATGACTAGACTAGACTACAAATTTAAATCCATTGTTAATAAAATAATGCAGATAGGAAGATTTTGCTTCAAAGCGATGGATTTAGTGAGTTTCCATTCTAAACGGCTCCCAGGAAGGAGTTTTGTTGCTGAAAAATTTTGCAACAACTCTTGAATCCAAAATCTTTAAGGCTGCCTCAGATTTGATGCACCTTGGAGTCTTGTATTGGTTAACTGAGGATCCTTGGGAGAGACAGAAATCCATGAGGGCATCAAATGTTCCATGTTTTACTACCCTTATCTCCAACGGTCCAATTGAATTGTCCTTGTTCCTGCACCTCCTGTAAACAGAATCCAGAGATTCTTCCACTGTCGAGCAGCATTGCTCCATTGTTATTCGATCAAGCTCTGCTGGGTCATTATTTCCTCTTGTTTTAAGTTCCCAGAATAGCACGTAGTGACCTGGGATTGAGCAAGTGTCAGCAAAGCTAGTGTACTCAGTCAGAAGGAAACCAAGCGGGGCCAGAAGAAGCTTTGCTTTTGTTACTGCCTTTAAGAGGTCTTCTTCATTGGTTTTATCTGTATCAATGCTTAGCACCACGTTTCTCCGGTGAACAAACCGGAACTGAGGGGCATTGTTATAGAAACCCGTCACCATTAGAATGTCTCCTACTCTGTATCTGTAGAGCCCTGAAAACAAAATAAAAACAAATTACTTTTAAGTGCGCTGAGGTATAATTACAAGATCGACAGATGCTGCTGGTCAAAATTAACCTGTAAAAGTTGTGACAACAAGTTCGTAGTAGTGACCAAGTTTCACATCCACAAGATCAACAGTCTCCATTTTCTTGTCTATGGAATTCTTCTGATCGGAAACTCCATTGCCGTGGAAATCTTGTTCTTGAACTTCCCCACAGTCTCTCTCAACAGGTAAGAATTCGAAATAGGCCATATTAGGGAGAAGGGTGTAAGAGACATCATAAGGTGAGCATAGTGGCTTGAAGTTAATTCCGAAGTAACATTCAGAAGAAGCATACATTGTTGAAACTAAAGGGAGCCCACCGCTGTAGAATTCAAGGGTTGGGATATATTGGGCCATAGAACCTGTAACAATGACTTCAATGTACTTTGTTCTAGGCCAAAGCTTTTTAATTATCCCTTCCCATGATATACTACTACATTCAATCTCAATCAAATCAGCCAATTCTGAGTTGCCTTCCTTCAAGATTGATGACACAACGTTTCTGCATCTGTGCTCATCAATCCAATCACTGATGCAACCTGTTCTTATATTAGAGCATAATTCTTTCCAGTAGTCCTCCAGGAATTTGATGGCGCGCAGGAAAGCAGATGCGAAAATTGCACCAACCCTTAAAACCTCATCGCGCTGTACTAAACCGCATAGCAATTGGCAGTACATACTCTGCTTGCTATCAGGACACAAGATTGTCTCATCAGGACTTGTATAAACATTATACCTGTTGAAAGGCCGGTTTCTGAAGTTGCTGCTCTTGTAATAGCTTGTTAGGACTGGTCTAGCCATCAAGCCAGAAGGAGTGCTAATTTCAGGTTTGATAAACAGAAGGTACATTCCTTTTCCCTGGTCCAACCCATCTATATATCTGAAATTAATTATTATTTCTTTCACTGTTACATTAATGGTATGACCAATAGTAAAACTAAAATGCAAAGAGAATGAAATTGGAGAGAATTATCTCACTTGTTCATTACAGGCACAAGGAGGTTGTAGAAGAACGTCTTCCTGTCCAAATCTTCAGCAGTTGAGGGCATCATTTTCGGTTGTCCTCCTGAAGTCCCCGAGCTGTACAGAAATAATAACAATGAACTTTGCAAAGAAAATTAATTGAGAAGGAAAAATATTTGATTGAAAAACAAATAAAAAGGAAAAGGTTATGCCTTGTGAGGAGCTCAGTGATGGGCTGAGCTGAAATGATAGTGGCAGGCTCTCCATTGGCAATTCGCTGGATGTAAGGCCTGAAATCTTCATAATTGACTACAGGTACTTTGTTCTTGAAGTTATCCTTGTCAGAAAGGCCATTGAGGAAGGGCTTAAGATATTCTGTGCGAGAATTTTTGGTCAGTATCTCCTCTAACACCTGCTGTTGTATTTGACATGCATTTGTTGTGAGGTCCTCCAAATGCTTCAAGCCAGCTTCATTGTCATTGGGGTCATAGCTTGGCAACATCATCTTTGCACAATTCAGATTGAACTTGAACTTGAAATGTATGGTTTAGTTGTTACTATCAGAGAGCTTTTGGCTGCTTAAAAACATGTCATATGTGTATATATATATATATATATATGAGCCTTCAAAATTTAATAAGAATTAAAAACTAAAGTTGTTGGTAGTTTAGACTGTCTTCCTACTCAATTCAATAATAATAAAAGCAGCATTATATATAGAGATAGAGAGAGAGATAGAGGGAGAGAGATTAGCAGCAAAGCAAAAGTAACAGAACTTACTAGCAGATGCTCTTGCTCTCACAGTTAAAAAAAGGGGGGTAAGCCTCAATCAAATTGGAATATGGTTTCTGGGTTTGCTGCTGCTAAGAAGGGAAATGATTAAATAACAGATTCTGGAAGGGATTTTGTGAAATGATGTATACTCAAAATTCTCACTAATATATATATATATATATATTATATATAATACCACAACAACATATTATATATAAGAGAGAGAAGGTAATGTGAAGGAAGTAGAGGGCTATGGAGGTCCTACACACGTGGCCTTTGGATCTGGCAAGCTGTGATCAGATGCAGCTTCTCATTAGTTCCAAAAGACCTGCAACTACAAGTAACTTATTAAAAGAGAACATAAGGAGACATTTTCTTTACAAAATCTTCCAAACTTTTCCTAGATTAAAATTAATAAAAAATACTCATATTACACCTTCCAAATAGAGCCGCCGCAATTCAACATTCAGCAATTCTTTCTCGGATTCTCTTTATCTTATATATATATTATAAGGATTTTCTTTTTTCGATCGTCTATTTCAGAATTTTTATAAAGCATAAACTTTATTGGTGAATTTTTCAACCCAATCACTACCTTAAGATAAGCCTCGGTCCAAGAAATTAATTAAGTAAATCAATCATATGCCATTAATGTTGCTTATAGTCTCCCTCTTACCTAATAAATAACATCCATAAATTTAAGAATTAGCCAGATGTTGATGGAAAAATAAATGAATAATTAGAATTAACTCCATATATGTTTTTGCTTGGTGTAGTAAGGTCTAGGTGGCACTGCACATGAAGATGTGCCATGAAAAAACAGTAGGTTTACTCCCATTGGCCTTATTAGGCCTTTGGCTTCATCTATTTTTGGCTAAAAAGATAAGTCTGTTTGGCTACAAGGAAATTGTTGCAATCAGTGAAAACAAGTTTCCACCAGCTTGCATGTCTCCAGACTGGAGAAACATGGTAACCTTATACTGGCTTGGAAATCTGTCGGCATGAACAGGAAAATATGATGAGATAGCTTGTTATTTCATTAGGCACGCTATGGGTTTACATTTGAAACATTGCTAGAGCAGGCGTTTGCGTTATACACGAAATGGTCCTGTCGTGATTGATTCTACTGTGTGGGAGCATTAAAAAGTAGTAGTGAATTAGGGAGAGACAAGAACTATATTCAAGTTAATTACCGCGATATAGGATTGTGGAGAGTTGGAAGATAATGTAGTTGCTGAATGATCATATGTCTCCTCAGCACAGAAGTCTTGCATAGTTGATTAAGAGTAGGGAAGGGGGAGTGGAAGATTGGGTAAAGCGTGTATATAAGGTCACATATTAACTCTCCTCCATACACTCCCCAAAGAGAGATTCATCTACAGTGTGGCTTGATTGCCAGATTCTGCGGCTTTTGGTTCTTTGCTTTGTGTTATAGAGTGTTCTTTTAAAGTTTTCATGAGGTCTAGGCGTACTTTGCGTTGATGAAAAACCCAGATCATATTATAATGTTTCTTGAGATAGAATATAAAATAGATGAATATTATTTCGATGATTATCAATGAGGTCCTTGATTAACGTTCATATTTATAGTATATTATTTAATTATTTGGTATTGATTCAGAGGAAAGTGTAACGTGAAATGCTTCTATTCGGCATAGTTAGGACCAATGTCTGGTGGGTTAGTTTTAAAAGTCTCGCATTGTGAGTTTAGAAAGAAAACTTAAAACCGTTAGGAGGAATTTTTAATCTTATAAAATGGAATATACTCTTAGGGCTGTGGAAAGTGAGAATGGAGATGTTAGTGCTAATGGCAAAAGGTTTCAGCACGAGTTCCCCTCTTCCGAGGACGGCAAGTATGTTTGGATTTATGTCCAGCAGGAGCACACCCAATCTAAAATTTTCTAATCAACCATCGACTTTTAATGTTTTTGCCTGTAATTTATTTTTATTTATATTATTTTTTTATTTTTTTATTGTAGTTATGTTTTTAAATTATATGAAGCATAGCAATAACAGTAATAGAATCCATTATACACATCACACGACCGATATATTAGTAGGGTACTTATGAAAACCAATAAAGAGGACACTGGTCCAATATAAATGAACAGTGATCGCCATGCGCAGCTCATCTCGAGTCTACGAGTGCATGGACAAAGCACAAAGTAAATAGTAAATGATGTCCCTCATCAAGACACGCGAGCAACGCAATTTACTATAAATAGAAGTTAAAATAAACACAGACTTTTGAAATAAAGTGCCAATCAAATTTACATTTTACAATCCTCTGATGTAAAGGCAAATATAAACCTTCCTTAAGAAGCAAATATCAGATAAATCAAGTATGCAAATATATACAATAATTGAAATAGCTCCCAAACTATTATTGGGACTCAATCAAACTAAATCACACCACAAACCAACGCATTGAAAATTCGGTGTGTTTAGAAATGTAGGCGCTCTAGCACTATAGCTAGAAAGTAGAAATGAGCAGGAGCTGATGAAAACCCCATAACTCTGAGTTCGCCATCTTGATCCACGCGAGATGGTCATAGTGACAGAGGAGTAGAGCACGAATTCGAGCATGCAATGTATGAGCGCATCTCGCTTGCCGAAAGACTGATTGGCTCGCGAGTTTATCTGTCTCCTCTGCGAACAGCTCGCCAACAAGCGGCACTAGATCTCCTCAGTCAAACACTCCATACACCCATAGTGTCTGCAACACATAGGCAATCTTTAAAGAGGGCATCAAGTTACATCACGGACGGCAAAGAGAGGAAAGACCTCAATTAACTTACATCTCCATGATGGACAATGCATAAGACAACCTATGGTATTTCTTTTGCGATCTCCACTGCTCACACAACACGCAAGCTAGACACTCTTCCCGTAGAAGCAAAATATTGGGTCCTCGAGAAATATTCCATCCTCATTTTGGAACATAACCCATTCACATCACTTATATGTGCGCTGCACTTCGCCTATCTAAACGCACACAGGTGGTCTCCTCGTTAAGGTAACCGACGTCACACTGAAGGGTTGACATGCTCTCTAGTTCTCACTGGTACCGACAAGAGGAGTAGATATCATGACATTGTTATATATTATTATTATTACTATTTATTATTTAATTAGTTGCTGGGAAGGAGCGAAAGGCAGAGATGTCGTGTTGTGAATTCGTCCGGAAGAGATAGTTGGAATAAAGTGACAGTAGTGACCTCATGGTGGCATATTCGATGGAATACATCAGACGTGAGTAGCTCACTGAGTCTCTTTGTTAGTGTCCTGCGCCATTTGTGATGTAGCTGCTCTATCTCTCCTGGGTAGACGAAAGAGACGGCACCTCACTCAGCACAGGTGAGTCAAAAGTACCATAAGCCACAGCCTCATCTATATGTAGTGCGTGTACTCTAATCTCTGCCGCATTATCGACCCCGATTAGGTCGTGCTTCTTCATCTATCAAGAGAGAATTATTCTCACTTAGACTTTGATGTCAGGTTGCTGCTGCTGGGTGGTCGTGGTCAGTAAGCCGCGGCAGTGCACTGACTGCATGCTTTATTGTATTGAGAGAGGAAAGTAGGTAACAGGAATATGAGGTGGACTCGAAAATTACATATATATTAAATCTTTATATAAAACGAAAAAGGAACAGAGATTTTTCTTAATAAAATATATAAGAGTTTGGAAAAGAGAAGCGAAGGAGTAGAGTGTTGAGAGAGTCTTTTCTCTCCTAGACTTCTTTCTGTTGTGTGTATTGTTGAAGAAACATGTCACTTGAAATTTTCTGTGAACAGAAGAGACAAAAGCTCAAATTGCAAGGTGTTCACTTTATGCCAACGGCGTACATAGGAACTGACTCCCATTGAAATATATTGGTGCGCGCGAGAACAAGAGGGGGAAGTTGGACGGGTGACCAAACAAAGGTGTGGGTGGAAATTAACTTCCGGATTACCATGCTTGCCCCTTCCCTTCTTCTTCCTTCCTGTAATTTCAATATTAGTATAAAATAATAATTATCTTAGTACAGCATAGACAAATTACTACTGCATCCTACGATCTTCAAAAATAATCATCACTCCACTACTTTGTTAATCATCAAGAGAGGTGGGTCCATTCCAGTTCCATTCTCCATGCAATTTACTTCTTTTTCCCCTTCCTTTTTTTCTCCTTTTTATATAATATTAATATATTATATATGGTATAATTTTTACTCTGCTTAAACACGCATCTGGTATACCTAGTATATATACCTCTGTAATAAACACGTTACTGCTTTATAACGACCTACCATTGTGAGTGATTTAAGGTTTATAAGGATATATATTCTCATACATATAATTCTGGTTGAACCTAATTGAATAAGGTGAATTAAGTCTATTAAGATGGAGAACTACTCTTGTGTAATTTCCTCACAAAACTTTATAAATGCATAGATTGGAATTAATAGAATTTTAGTTTGTTCTGAGATTTGAGAGCATAGTTTCATATTCATTATGCTAATAGATCTCATCGTCTTGATAGTCAATGAATTGCACTCCCTCCCATTCTCAAATCAGTCCATTCTTTCTTTCAGCTATGAGATGTGCAGGGGAGGGAGAGGGGGGGGGGTTGAGAGGGGAGAGGGGGGGGAGGGTCAATGAGGAGTAGAGGAGTATGGGAGGAGAATGATATTTGGAGCTTAATCTCATTTTTACTTCCTATTCATTCAGATCCGAAATATCAACTCCATAGATATTTGGTAAATGTATCTCTATCAAACAACTCATATGTGCTCACACTATGCATGTTTAATATTTGCCCTATCATATCCTATAAAAATATAAAAAGTGATTATCGTGTATATGCGATATGATGAGAAAGAAAACTCGCGACACTCATCCCTTACATCATTCAATTATATATTATTAATGCTCAGTATAAATATACCACTTCATCACTACCATAAAGTTTCCATAATAGATTAATTTATAATCATTAATTAATTAATATTATTATATAATCAATACAGCACTTATGTAAAATGCACACACAAGAGCACTAAGAGAAAGGTTTCAATATAGATATATTAGTCTAGGAGCACTATAAGAGTGAAATATAATAAGAATTAGCATTAGATTAAAGTATATATTACCGTGGAAAAGACATAACCAAAAT